TTTGACGTAGTCGTCCACAATAAACCCTTCTGCGACCTTAGAAATGCATGGAGTAAGCGAGATAGGTCTTAGGTCCTTTTTCAGTTCCTTTACTGATTTCTTTTTGGGCAGGGGTGTCACGTCAGCCAACTTCCACATTTTTGGTAAATGCTGCTCGGAGTAGGAGGCATTAAGGATTTCTGTCACTGGGAAAGCCACTGCATCTGAATATTCCTTCAGCAATTGGGAATTCTATCAGGCCCACACGCTTTCCCAGGGTTAAGGTGAGACAGAACCTTCTGAACACGTTGTTCACCCACGTGCAGGATCTCTGGTGTTGTATTCGCCTCCATGGGGAGAAACTCTAGTGGAGTTGGCAGTCTGTACTCCTCCAGCGGTTCTAAAAACGCGGCATTGATGGTGTTGGCCTTTTCTATTAATGACAATTCTGAAAAACCTTCCACGTCAATCTGGCTCAGAAGGTCGCCATTTTTCCTTTTTGAGCCGCTCAGACGCTTTACTTCGTCCCACCATTTCTTTGGGGCTTCTTGTCTTAAATTCTGAATTCTCACTTCATAATATTTAGCTCTGCATGCCTTTCTTTCCCGGTTAACCAGATTTCGGAAGAACTTGAATTGGGCAGAGTCGCCGCCATATGATTTGAACGCTTTTTGTCTTTTCAAAATCATTGACTTCAGCTTATGGTCAATCCAAGGAGCGTCCGCACTACAGGTGCGAATTTCTTTCTCAGGCATCAGAATATCAAGCCCTGTATGTACAGCAGTGTGGAAAATCTCCCACTTTTCCTGGCAACTATCCGTAGGAGCGAACAATAAAGGCCAATCAATAGAGGTTAGATATCTCCCCAAGGCAGCCTTGTTACTCTCACGTAAGTCACGCCTTTTAACAACGTGCTTTCTGTTTACATCACGTTTACCATCTTTTGGCGACACAACAACAGCGTTGTGATCCGACAACCCGAATGGAGGGTAGGCTTGTGGCGGATTATAGTATTCTTGCATGTTAGTGAGCACCAAGTCTAATATGGCATCCTTCCGGGTCTGAACTTGAACTATTTGCTGGAGACGAAAGTGATTCAGCAAGCCCTTAATATCAAGCGGTTGAAATCTCCTGTGACGACCAATCCACAGTTGGGATATCGCGTCTCCGCTAGGACGAGGGACTGGAACAAATGCTCCCGGATAGATGTCCCATCGGCCTTGGGGGTGATAGATCACTGCCGCGATTATGCAGGAAAACCCCCGGGGGAGGCGGTTTGGTCTTAGATGGAGCCACAATGTCTCATGATTATCACAGCACTTTAAATCGTTCAGTTGTTTATATTTGCACCGTTTTTCTTGAATATAGACACACACACCACCGTGTTCTAGTGTCTTCCTGTCCTCACGCACAATAGCAAACCCGGGGATGTCAACAACGGTGTCCAACACAGAGTCCTTTAGCCAGGTTTCCGTAACGAACGCAAGGTTGATATGATTACGAGTGATGAACTCGCTAACTTCATCCATTTTGGGGGCTAAAGACATGACATTCGCTAACATGATCTTAGGAACTTTGGGTGACCATTCAGTACTGGCTGCTCTGTTTTCCTTGGTGCAATCTATAACAATGCAGTTGTTTAGATTGCTACGTGGAAAGGTGTCATTTTGAATATTTAATATGTTCGCCAGTTGGTTATGTAAATGAGGTTTCCTGTGAAGGAAGTTCTTGGCAAAGAAACACCCATTAAAGTTCGGAAATTGCTGAGTCTTGCGTGCTCCATTCCCCATGCAAATCCCAATCTGCCTTTGTTTGCGCTGTCCTGCTCTTGTCCCTCGACGTGTAGGTCTTTGCCGTGTTATTCCCAGATCAGATATGTTGCGCCATAACTCACAACCGAGCGACTTCTTCGTCGTTGAAGATAAAATGGCATTCAGTGCCGCTCTTGAATAAAATATCGCCATGTAACTAGAGGCCAATATTATAAAAATCTACTCGTGATTAAAATAGTGCTCTTTGTCGTTTCGAGGAAGTTATTTTGAAGAAAGTTCGCTTAGAATCACGGAGCAGGAAAAAACGCGTGCTGCCTGTCAGGCGCTACGTCATGGGAGTGAAGGGGCTAATTACAGACAAATAAAATTGATTTTTTGATTAAAATCTTGTTGTAACTGTAACAATAAATTAGAATAAAGTTATCCTAAACTGCAAACTCAGCTGCTGTTTGTACTGTTTGTATTTTTTTTCCTGGGCTCACAATGAGTTGGCCTTGAATGAGGTTGTCAACAAGAACCTTGACCATTTTGTATCTGGATTCCTTGACATCTGAATTTGAAAAAAAATAATATATTAAAACATGTATATTTAAAGCTCAGACCAGGCTTTTAAGATGGCTATGAGGAAAAGGGCATTCATTGGATTCTCAAATTGAGAAATCTCTGTTATATTGAGTGACTTTTATATTGGAGTTAGTACATCTCTCTCATGGATTTTACTAAAAAAGGGCTGAATACATTATTTTGTTTTTACCAAGGAGGGCTTCTTTATGTACTAAGGTTTGTTTAATAACAATTCCTATTATGAATCTTGAATGTTCCCAAACGTGACTAGAGGAGTCTTGAAACCTTACTGATAGGTTTATTTCATTGTAAAGCATAAGCTTAAGAAACTGCGGCATGCAAGTGACCGATTCGATTCTCAGAATTATTCTAGTTTCAGTTGCGCCGAGCGTTATGTAAGCTTAATTCAACCCGCTACATCTATTCTTTTATAAGATTTTGATCACGTAACGAATATCGCAATTTTTACTCACCACAAACTTTCAAAATCGTAGCTTTACAGATGGCCACTCGACCCTTGTTTGTACCAGTCAATATGTCAACTGTTGTCCCTTCTTTTAACTCCACGGCGCCAACGACTTTCTTTTCTTTTACAACACTCACACTATTCTCGTTTTCCCATTGAACCACAATAAAAGCTATCTTTAGAAATGTTATATTAAGCAAAACAGTTGAGAAAAGCGATCAACCGATGAAAAGTACATTCAAAGATGAGCGCCAAATGGAGTCTTCTTTGTTTCCGATCACGGGCATGATCACGTGGATCTTTTAGGGCTTGTCATTGGCTAGCAGAGTGAATCCGCTGGCTTGCCGATTGCAGTGTTAGGAGAAGTGCCCAACTTTATTCTGACTTCTCCGACCGGTTCTCTGCTTCTAGAAGATGGATACCTTGGTGATATAAATAAAGGTGTGAGCTCACTCTATGTAGAAATAATCGACAAGAATCGATCGTATTACAAATGCACGATTTGTGGCCGAAAGTTGTCGAGGAAACAAAGACTCGAAACTCACTTGAGTTGTGTTAATGGCAAAGGTGAGAAATAACACAAGCCAATCACAGTTTTGAATGCGACTACAAATCGTCTTTTACCCTCATATTTATAAAAGAAGGATACCACATTCGGAAGTATAAGAGATACATAGATGATCCTAGTGTACCAGTACCTAAATCTACAAAGCTTGACCGTGGCAAGCGTTCAGCAACACGTTCCAACACCGCCATCTCGATTCCTCAGTCAGTCGTTTCCACTGAACTTAAAGCAGTATTGACAACAGAGTAGAGTGCGTCTTACAAAGGAGAAACATTTGTACAAGAGACAGAAGTAGCTATATGCGATTACAGAGGTGCGTTGGAACTCTGGTCCACAAATAGTTATGCACTGCCCGAAGTATAAAACAATTTTGTTGATAGCTGACAGACAGAGAAGAACAACAAGTAAACTTAAGAGCTGTTATTATTGAAGTGTGACTAGCACTTTTCATTTTTATATAAAGAAGGACTTGTAATTTGCACCAAAAATAAAAAGATGTAATGTTTTTGGGAGATCCAGTGATTGGGACATTTAAGAAATTAAGTTATGAAAGGAAACTTGGTTGGTACTTCTCACTACTAACAAGTCTTGTTGACAAATATTTTCAGATCAGAGTTTCAAATAAAGTAAATTGAAGATGTCATATAAAAGGTGTTTTTTCTCTAAGGGAACATTGACTACCTTTGTCTTGTCTGCATGCCAAATGTTTGCAAAGTGTGTGGATGATCCACAAGTATTGGAACTCTTACAAAAATGTTTTGTAAGAATAAAAACAGCAAAACAAATTACAGCAATTAGTCATGAAAATAGAGCAAAAAACTGAAAAAAAAAGCAGCAACAACAATCATGAAAAAAGAAAGATTAATTAGGTGTTGAATTTGTTTGTCTAAGGCATGAAATTTCTACTAAAAGTATTGTCAACAAAAAGTCTCTGACAGCGTTTGAGGCAACTGAGCTTGACTGTTCCAAGGTTTTCTAACAAAGGCAACCAGTAATGTAGGTTAGGGAAGTAAGATAACAATGTAATTATTGTTAATTACTGTGGAAGTTGGCAATTTCCATTTAACATAACTGACAGCTGGTTCATGAGAAAATCCATATCAATGTAAAGATTTACTAAAACTTAGTTTGAGTAATAAATTTCATGATCTTTAAGTTATAAACATGTACATGTATGTATATCTCTTGGTAAGTTTTGTATAGCATACCTTTTATTTTAAGCCTCTGAAATTACTCTTTTTCTTAGAACCTTCACATTCAAGGTATTGAGAATTTCTTAGAATTTATGTGGACCTCAGGGTATTAAAATTGCCTCAAATTCAATTCCCATAAATTCCCAAGAGTTCCACACTTCTTAAATTATAGGTAGTTTGTAAAGCTGAGAATTCCTAGGACTTCCTAGGGATTCCAAGTCCTCACAAAACTGGAGTCTTCCTTTCCCAGAAATTCCCAGTAATTCCAAGCTTTTTAAATCAGATTTAATTTGCATAGTTGGGAATTTTTGAGAATTCCTAGGAATTCCTAGGAATTCACAGAAAACTGGGAATTCAGTTCGCAAGGGTACTAATGTAAGGGTGTAAAGGGTTAAAGGTAAGCAAGCGAGGGTTCAGAGCTGAATTTCTCTGCTTTTCATTTCTGGACTTTTTGAACTTACTTTGTACAAGTTTGTCTGGTCATAGAGATAGCATCTTTGACACAACAAAAGTTTCTCAGCAAAAGCAGTTCATATGATGTGTTTACAATGGTGATCTATCTTGCCACTCAACAAAGTGCGTGGAATGTCCTAATGACCAAGATACTTTGAATCTACAACACTTGCAGTTCCAGTTTTCTGAAATATCTATGGTAGCCATGCAGAATTCTAGCTTGCACAACTTAATGAGCTTTTCAACGTGCTGAAGGACAACAATTTCTTCTCTGGAGTCAATTCTGCAAAAGAAACAGTAACTGAGGTGTTTGTCAAAGCCTTTGACTTGATGGTCTCCAGGGGTTCCACTACACCAGACTTGTATAACCCTTGGATCATGGCCTCATTGCACAACACCAGTTTTCGGCTAATTTCCCTTTTTATTTCAGTAAATGAATCTGATGAAACTGTTTGGTATAAGATATGCCATGAATCCATGAACAGGGAAGACCTGTTGTGTTAGAAGTCAGGAAGACTTCTCATTCAGGTCAAAATTTGCGTGACATACATTAGAAGTTTTGTTCTCCTCCAAGAGGCTGTAATAGTGTCAAATCAGATCTTGTCTTTCTTGTATTGCCTGTACCCACATACTTCTTTTCTGATGATCAATGTCACTGTAATGTAACTGCACGCTTACCCCTTCCCCAACCCAACATTAACCCTGACTTGTTACCAGTTGACTGTTGTTGAGGTTAGAGGAGGAGTAGCTGGGCAGTTGCTCAGATACTGACATTGATCTAAATTTGTAGTGGTTTGACTAAGGCAAAACTAGACTTATTGACCACTGACAAGTAACACATTCACAGGGGTACTTGGGGTTGCCAGACCATTTTCTGATCAGTGGGGAGGGGACAGTGCATTTCTTTGACAATACAAGTATGAAAGGACAGTGCAAAAAAAGATTTCTCTCTTGATCACAAATAGTTGATAGTCAAGTACTGATCAACCTTCTACTTCTCAAAAGCATGCCTCTTTCACTGAATTTTACAAGTTCAGCTTCGCTTTTAAGTTTAAAAAAGATGTATGTACATTCAGAACAGAGTTGGTTGGTAATGATTTTTTATTTTTTAATAATATTTCATTGATACATATTTTAATTTTCACATAGACATCATGGATGACGCTGAAAGATAAACCTGTTTAGCTTATGATTTCATGCAAAAGAAGTTAAAATGGAAAAAAGAAAACACTCGAATATTGCAATGCTTTGCTGTTTAAAATGTACTCTCCCAGGAATGTTTAAATCCAGAACAAGGATCTCCTAATAATGAGCTATTTTGAACTCGACAAAATTGATTTTTTTTACATTTAATTGTGTTAAATCTCTCTCATGAAAAACTTATTCAATCAGCAAAGACAATACGAATAACTTTCTTCCAGTGTATGTCTAGTAACAAGCATTAGATATGATCTCCCTAAATTTATCTTGACTAGAGCATGCTCTTAAAAGAAGCAATTCTCTTGGTCAAGATATTGGCCACTGAATACATAAACACTCTGATATTAAAGTGACCAAAAATGGCCTTTTAAGGTTAACTTCCCAGAACGCCAGGTCATGATTCAACTCAAAGGGTTAAGTTAACTCTTTCACTCACATGATCTCATTAGTAATTCTCCCTACTGACTGCTATATAATTGTTGATTTTGGTTTTAAATAATTTGGTAATGGATCAACTGAGAATCCCTTAATTTATATTTTTCTGTATTCACATTACTTTTCTGCTTGATATTGTATTGATATTGTGATGAGAAATTCTGTCTTGGTCACCTATGGCTGTTTCAGGGTTAACTGATGAATCAGTCTATCTATGTTGATTTTTCACTGACCAAAATTAACCAAAGCCATATCTCTGCTATCTCTAGGCCAACATATAATTTTTAAGGCTGAATTTATGTCTGTATATTACAGAAAGATACCTCACAGACCTTTCATAGTCTCACTTAGATGTGAATTTGTTGTAGCTGTGGAATATTTCACCACTGATAACCAAAGTATATTTCAGCAATCTCTCTGCCAAGATATTATGTTTGAGGCTGGATTTATGTCTGTTTATTACAGATAGATGCCCTACAGACCTTCCTTGGCTTTACCAAGAGGTCAAGAGCAAGTTCATAGTCATCTTTTTTACCAGACAATGACATTTTTTTTTTTGGAGAGGAAATAATCATTCCTTACCAACACATCTTGATAAGCTCCAACACAATCTCCTTTCCTAGAAACTTTCCTTGAAACACTGAGATTTTGGGCAAATTGCTCTTATTTACAGAATCAATTTTACTCAGATTAGTTCTAGCTTGTTTCTTATACTTTTAAAGAGTGTTTCTCGCAAAGCTGTAACAAAGCAAGGTTTATGGTAAGGCATCAGGCATAAGCTGCACTGTGATCAATGTTTTTAGTCCAAAGGCCTGAAACTCATGCCCAAACCTGGTGTGAGCAAAGCATCAGTCAGCCATTTAATTTGCTGACTCATTGCAGGACATCAAGAAAGTTAGGGGCACAGCTGAAATTAAGGATGGTTGATATCCACACAAATCACTTTTTTCAGATAGCCCTTTTCAACAGCCTTGTCTTTAGTAACAAAAATTTAGGCGTCACTTTTATATAGTCTGTCAATATATTAGCAGGTCAGAAAAAATAATTCAGGCTGATAACAGTTGGGATAAAATCGCCAAATTCAACGAAGTCAGCGATGATAATATTAAACTTGTGACACTTGGTGCCACAAAGGGCCTTCAGCCACCCGGTCACATAGCAGTTGCATCTCGAAGCCAAAACATCTTTTAAAGTGCTTGTCATGTTTTGAAACACAGTTGAAGTTTGTGGCGTAAGGATAGCTTGTGTTACTTGTAAAGCATCTTCCGAAAAACTGGACGCTTCTGACTGTTTGTTGAGGAATTCCAACAGCAGTTTCTTATCCGCTGTGTTCGGCCACGGGGAGCAGATTAGATGGGGTGGCCAGAAACAGGGGTAAGTATCGACCACATCATAGTCGTGATAAATAATGATGACCTTCTCTTCGTTTCCCCACATCTCTTGAAGGGTGACATTCGGGCCATCTGCGCCAGGAGCGCGGAAAATCTCGCTGAACGAAGCAAGCAGAGTATCTGCAAGTGTTTCATGAGCAGCTTGATCCATTTTGTAGAAATGATTGAAGTCTAAAATGACAATTTCTTTCGGATAATTCGCCACAAATCGGTTCACTTCGTCCAAGACTTGATCAATCGTCCAACCAAACAAACCGTGTACAACACGTATCTTTTTATCTTCGGCTCTGTACGCGACACGGAGATCCAGATAGCGAATGCCCGACAGTAGCTGCTCGTAAATTGTCATTGACTGTGTGACGGACCAACTGTGGATCACAGACTTTGCTACTTTCCCAAAAATACTCCCGAGCGTGTGAATGGCAGATGATTCATCGGGACCAATCTCCATGTTTTGATCCAGAAAAAACGTTCCCGAATCATGAGATCCTGGGATCACTAAATCTTTCAGTGGACTCAGTTGCTTTTCATTTGGCAAATTTTCCATCCATCGAGAATAATCGTTGTCTTCCAGAGCTTTTATCTGAAGAACTTCAAACTCGTCGACTAAATTTTGCGCCATAACTTTCTGCCTGGGCAAAGCCATTCTGTAGGGAGGGGTAAGGAAGCAGTTATTGTTGTGGAACTCAGTCCTCTTTCAATTCCGTCAGTTAAAGAATAATTACATGAAAAAAGAGTATTTCAATAGAGATCTCAATATAACATTTTTCATGGGATGGATCCAGCGAATTTACTTTTGTTGAAAAAAAAAAAAACATTCGTTAACTTCAAGTTGCTTCTCCGTGCAGTCCAATATTTGCGAGAGAAAACATTACGTCATTCGAAAGCCAAAAATTAAATAATATCACGTAATCAGGTAATGGCTTAAAACGGAAAATTACTACAACTTTAAGCGTTAATTTGCGAAGCAAATGATTTCTGAAACGGAAAAAGAAAATTGCTCACTTGCGCAGCGGTGCAGACTTGCTGAAGATATAAACATTGAGGTGTCGCTTTAAGACAGATGTTTTCTATTAAAGAAATCTCGGACATAGAATGTTATGTCTTACCGAAACTGAAATGCAATTTACATCCAATTGTGATGGTTTCGTACAAATTAAAACAGGTGCGTTTCCTCTTATAGAACCTGATGGCTGATTAAAACACTATTCTCGATTCAATACAGTAATTTAAAAGTGTAAAGGAAGGCATGGAGCGACGGAATAGAGGAATAACTACGAAAAAATGACAAAATATTCCAAAACTCTGGACAATACACCCAGCCATTACCTAAGGACGTCCAAAAGTTGCAGTTTAATGCAAAATTCTTTGAATATTAATGTTATAATGGAATCTTTTACTGTCAAGACTGCTAAGTGACATAGCCTTGTCTATGCTTTCACATTTATTATTAATTCAAGGCAAACAGGGCGTGCGTGGAAACTAAACATTGCCAAACTAGAATTGAAGTGAGCTGAATTTTTTCTCAAAAATGGATATTAAAGAAGCGCTTTTCATGATGCTGCAAGCAACATTCGTTTTTGTTACTGAAGGAAACCTAGTGGCCCGTTCGTCGTATTTTCAGACAAGGGAGAATAAGCAGCTTCTAGGGTATGCTTTCAAACGGTTCAACTCTGCCAGTGTGTTATCGTGCAGTCAAGAGTGTTTGAGATCTCCATCGTGTTCGTCCACAAACTTCAAGTTTTTCTCCAAGAAGGAAGAAGAAGGAACCTGTGAGTTGAACAAACACGACGTCACTGCTGTACACGAGAGCAACAACTTTGACTATCAGGAAGGAGCGATATTTTCTATTTTCCTAAAGGTAAACAGTAGAAAATTATACAAGTTATTACATATCACGCAAGAGCAACTAAGAAACACCGAAGTGAACATTTCCCGGCAGATTCGACACAGTGGAGGAAAGGGTTGCGTTATATCGCATTGTCCCAAATTTCAAAGGAATCCAAGAATTTATATCGAATTGTGACGAATATGGTTAGAAATATCCGAGATAGAACAATTTGGCTTGTCTTCGATAATGCCAGCAGCGGCAGCATATAAAAAGATTAAAATCTTTTGAATTAATTTTTATGTTTAAATCCATTTTTTTATCGCAATGTCTATCTGGTAGTGGCTTACATCGCGGCCGTCAATATTTCATACAAACAGACAAAATTCTCATTTCGCTTATTTCTTTTTATGACCGCAGTATATGCGATACGTATCCCAACGTTTTTCATTTTTTAGGGATGTTTGCTCGCCAGCTGCCTTAATGGAGGATCGTGTTTGCCTGACAAAGAAAAACGAACTTTTTCCTGCTCGTGCAAACTGCCTTGGACCGGGGACAGATGCGAAAGTGGTAGGTGATTCACAGCATTTTGACTTCCACGAAAGAATCGGAACAGTAACCTGAAAATAAGAGCTCACTTATAAAATAAATTGCAAAATTAGTTCTGATGAATAATAAGTAGATGACGGACCTCAGCTAATTCAAACACCCAAATTTTTTTTTTTTTTTAGTTAAAACTAATTCCTACTCCCTCCCTCAACACACACGCACACACAAATAGTTAACCACCAGCCGTTTTTCTCACCGACCGTTTCAAATTGCTCACTACGGGACGTAATAAAAAGTATTAAAACCGTAAATACAAAGAGAAAAAGATGAGTAGTTTTTTTAAGGGATTTAAATCTCACGGTACATAAGATTCGAAGGACCATTGTTAATAAATAAATTAAAAAAGTGCTCATATCCAAATATTTCCTTCAACCAATGTAGGCCTTCTAAAGAAAGCATTGGTTTCTTTTCTTTGTACATATAAGTAAATTGAAAACAAAGTATTATCATAATACTGATTATGAACAATTAAAAATTGTCCAAAACTCACATAACTCACTTTCAACGGATCGATAAGGCGACAAAATCCAAGGCCTCATTTCTTTAATAACGTCAGATTTTTGTTTTGGGAATTATGTTTTTCATGTTTGATACCATGAAGGCTTATAATTTTAGCTTCGTGCGCTCGAACGTGTCTCAGTCGATACATAGCAACAAGGAAGCAAAAGTCGTCAATCAAGTATCTCAGCTGAAGAAATGTCTTTGGTGGAAGTAGCCGATTTGGTTTAGTGAGGGTTGAAAATATTAGCAGTGTGATAGAATGATTCTGAACAGTGAAACACTAATTTATTTATATTCCTTATTGGCTCAGCACGCAAGCTGTTAAAACATTGAATGGCCGGCTTTGTAGCTTCTTCAGCCTGGAGTGAATTGGCACCTGTCAATAGAAAATGGCCTTAGCGGCGTTTTTCTAATTGGCTTTGTTGGCAGTCGCCTTACCCTCCCAACCCTCAGTGCAATGTAAAGTTTTCTCTGTGCTTAGCAATACAATTTGAGGATAGTTGGAGAAGTGGTAGGTAGAAATTTGACTGGAAGGTTTTGAAATAAACGGGAATAATCATCAGCGATCTGAGTGCTTTTGCCACGCTTTTGCCACGCTTTTGCCGCTGACTAACGATAGTTAGACATCGCATAATTTGTAAAGATTTAGAATTTGTGACACGGCATGTTGTTTAACTGAGTTGTGATAACATTTACAATCAGATAACTTTTTCCTTTCAGAACTACTGACGTCATGCAAGGAAATACATAACAAGAAATTGTAAGTGACAATTACTGGTGCATCTAAAACATTGTTTGGTAGCTGATTCAGTAGCTGGGCGGAGTGCACTGTGACTAGGAACGGTTGTATCTTCAGGAAATTGATTAAAACTCGATTCAGGTTAATCTCTGGTATTTTTTCCTGTTTGGATTTGTTTGTTGTTTGTTTGTTTTTTTATCAGGTCCTCATCAAACAAAGCCCACTTACTGAAGGTAGAATCAGCAGAGGTTGCTGTCTACTGTCACATGACTAACCTTGGTGCATGCGGTGGAGGCGGATGGACGTTGGTTATGAAAATGAATGGCACACAGGTACGAAAATGTTTCTTTAGGCGACTGATCACTCAGTAAGCCTGTTTGTCAATCTGTCTGTAGTCCCTCTTTCAGCTAACCAGCCAGTCGGTTTGTCAGTCGGTTAGGCTATCCGCCTTTCTATCTCTTGTATGTCTGATGGCCTGTCTTTCTGTGTTCTCTGTCACGGTCCTTCAGTAAGTCGATCACTCAAAAGTTATATAGGCAGTAACTTGGTATAATTCAGCCGATAAGAGAAGGTGTTGGAGATTTTAAGTGTACAAAATACTGGTTGAAAACAAGGACACCGAACAAACCAAGACTGTGTTTCGTTTGCTGTTCTTTGTTGTAATGGTTTTCAAGCTTTTTCCATTTTGGTTATTTGTTTTTGAATTACCCTTGCAGAGCACGTTTCGTTACAATTCTGATCTCTGGAGCAACAATGAAACCTTCAATCTAGAAGGAGGAAAGACTGGGTTTGACTTACATGAGACTAAATTACCAACCTACTGGGGTACACCCTTCACCAAGATCTGTCTCGGTATGAAGATCGGACATCAAATCAACTTCACCGTTATCAATAAGAAAGCTAGCTCTCTGCACTCACTGATCGCTGATGGAAAGCACCGTAACACTTCACTAGGTCGTGACACGTGGAAGGAGCTGATTGGTTCTCAAGCTTTCTTGCAACCCAATTGCAACAAAGAAGGGTTTAACGTTGTGACCGAAAATATCGACACAAAGTGGCCAAAGGTGAGGATTGGTATCCTCAGCAACAACGAAGATAACTGTTTCTCTTGTGATTCTAGGATCGGCTTTGGAGCAGAGTCGTCGATGGACGTAAGAAATAATTCTTGTGGAAATGAAGCTTCTATATCTTACGGAGATACACACATTAAGACGATGGGATACATCTTAGTCCAATAAGAAAACGAAATGGTACCAAAAATCCAAGATTTATCTCTGACGTTTTTAAGGTCAGGCGCCAGTTCCGAGAGGAAATTTGTTCGGCAGGGCATCGAAAACATAGGAAAGGCAATAAAGAAATGTGACAGACAAAATTTGTAGACAAAAAGATTTTATTAGCTAAACTAGAGTGGCGAGATTTTAGAAGCCATTGCCCTCAAACTCCGAGCCGTAAACTCTGGAACATATTTATGCCCAAGTTAAATAATGATTAGTTAGTTGGTTGGTCAGTCAATTTAATTTAATTTAAATTTTAAGACTGCACGCACAAAATGATAGAGCCAAATTATAATTAATGTACGATGGATTGAATCGTACCGATGATAGGAACTGTCCACCTTTCCCATTATTGGGAAAGGTGGACAGCTTTCACTAATTCAGTGGTTGGACCAACAAACCAACGCCAACATCGGAGGAAGCCATGCTCAGTAATAATGTTCTCAAAGGTTTTGGCAACAACACGGTTTTCTTTATCGCATGGATGGTAACGATGTTCAAAATGATGGTTGTATAACACAAAAAGCTGTGGAAGACACAATAAGCGACAAGTGCCGGACGAGAATCTTTAACATCCTTAGAGGTTCCAGAGAAAAACTCGTTAAGAATGTCGCAAACGTTTTCCGCCATGAGAGCTGAGCGTTAAAATTACTGTGGCTTCGAAACGGAAAATTTCAAGTCATATGTATCTGTCAATCACAGGCGTATAACACAATCGAAGCCATCTGTATGTAAATTCAAGATGTCTTCAACTCTGGCGTTTGAATTTTTGAAAAAGGCATCGAGTATCGCTTTATCTCGGCGTTGGTAAGAACTAAAGAAAATTATTTGTTTAATGCTTCAAGACATTTTAACTAACATGGGATATATATCTGAAAAATTTATTTGAAAGAAAGCTGTCATAAACATATATTTCATCTATCAAAATGAATATACGAAACATAATAGTCAGTTAAATTAAAAAACGCTTGACATTTGTTTTTTGTCATTAAATTTGCCTGAATACACTGAATACATCTTCAGAGACCGAACATTTTATGGTTGGTGAGGGGTGGGGAGAGAGACCAGAATAATTAATATGAATAAATTACACACTCGTTTGTGACGGATCTAAGAGGTAATCAGAATGTTAAGCAAACTAACTAAACTGAGATAATACCGACATATTTTTCAGTCGTTTTACAGTAATCCGGTGGTGGATTATTACAGATAACCCTCCCCTCATTACTGACGACCGCGTTGGGCTCTCACTTTGACCACCTTCTCACAATTCCCGGATCCACTTCAGTTCATGAACAGCTGCACTTAGCTCAGAAAAAGTTTAGTAATGGCCATGTAATATTTTGATATATTTCAACCGCAAAAAATACAGATAAGACATTTATCAAACAATAATTCTGCATCAAGCGCTTAAACCAAAAAAATACAGGAAGTTTGACTATTGTTTATGCTGACGGCAGACGTAAATTAAATATGTTGGAGGGCTTTTTTGTGACATCAATAGATGTAAATTAACTGTGAAAAATGCAATATTGTATTTAGAATATGAAAGACTTTAGCCTGTTAGGCTCAGAAAGTAAAGAAGGAATGAAAAACAACGAATCGGCAAATGACAGGACTATAAATTTATTTCGTCCAGAGGTAAAGAGTAGTTTGCAAATGAGCGGTGTCAAAGACAGTCAGGGATTGTATTAGTTTCTCTTTACATCGTAAAGTGATTGGTCGAAAATTTTGCTTCATCTGTCAGCTACTCCGTAGCAATTAGAGCCAGTCGCGACTTTACTAATAGATAGACAAAATAATTTTTCTTAATTTTTCTTTCTAAATCAACTGCTGGTTAAAGTTTGTCCACTATTGTAAATAGGGAATGTTGAATTCAGGTTGTATTGAACCCAAACAATTCAGCGCTTATCTGAATCTTGTGCCATTATACTAAACGAAAAGTGTTATGTGGTGCTATGCATTATGCAACCATCTACATGTACAATCATATGAATGCAGGCGACAAGTTGACCGACTTCGAGAACACCTTCGCGACATACAAAGAAATGACAAGGACGCATCCAAACCAGTCGCTAAACACTTAAATCTCCCTACTTATTCTATGTAGCACATGGCAGTTCCGGCCTTTCCCTAAATTTAGGCACTTCAGAAAGCCGCAAAACACTAGCACAAAAAATGTATCTTCCAAATCGGCACTCTTAATCCTCACGGTATCAACGAGCGCTTTTGATTCAACTAATTTATTCTTGTTTTCTCGTCACCATATTCCCACCGCCAGCGTAGCTCCACTTCCTGCCTATAAACCCACACACAACCCACAACTCCTTCAAGTATTTTTTTGCTGTGGTAGACAAAAACTAAAAAAAATTTCAAGATAACAACAAAAAAATGAGGATAGACGAGAACAGCGGTGATTGGCGCAGGGTAAAGGTAAAAATTGGCACTAAATTTTTCAAAACGGACCAACCGTCTGAGTGAAAGGCGTAGAGATCCTTTTACTTTGTGCAATTAGTATAAAATGCATAACCGTCATTCTTTGCCTGAGTACATAAATGCTCGGGTTACTATTGATAAGAATTTTGGTAGAATGGAGAACCATCAAGTCCAGTCGACTTAATATTATTCTTTATATCAGAAACCGCACAACTGAATTCTGTGATCGCGAGTAAGTAACGGCTTTGTTAAAAGAGGGTTCTATTTAACTGCAGTAAAAACACTGATGAACTCATGGCCCTTATTACACTATAAAGCGACCTAAAAATAGGTTTTTATTTAATTCACAAGCTATACACTTGACAATGTTATAAATCTATTATCCTATCGACGAATAAAAATACATACATTAGTTGATGACAACCTTAAAATCATATTTTAAGTAACCAGGAAGCTTTCTGGTTATTTATAAATTTCTAATACAAAATACGCTTGAAACTAGCAACTGATACTTTCTTATGCTTGACTTTTTATAGTACTCTATTGTGTAATTTTCCTAACCGTTACAGTTCTTGATCTCTCAGTTGTCGTTGACAAATCAAGTTTAAGTTAACGATGGCCAAGGTTCTTATCTTATGCATTGTGAATTGGCATCAGAAACGAACTGTTATTCTCTGAAACGATTGACGATGCCTCGCATTATGTCCATAAGAGTGCGACGAATGGGTTCCATCTTCCAGCAGTATATAACAGGGTTCAAATACGAGTTGAGGAAAACCAAAGTCACTGTATAGTGCCAAGCTTCGGGTAAAGCGGTTAAACTTGAAGGACGAGCCAGAAACAAAAACAAAAGAATATAGAAAGGCAAATAACAAAGCAAAAACACAATAAATACGCAGAATGTTCCAAGAGCTGACTTGCGAAGCTTCAAAAAGTTTGATAAGTCGCCATTTTGAACTCCCTGTTCTGCTTCTTCAACTTGAAGGTCTTGAATCTGCTTTTTGTGTCGCTTTAAGACTGTATAAATCCTCCAGTAGACAATTACTACCAGAATGAAGCAAACAGTCATAATCACCAACCTTATGACTTGATAAATGATATCCAATGGAGCCCAAAAGAGATCAGAACAAATAACTGCGCTAAACAGCCATAGTGATATCACCGCTACAATGACGCGCTTGTGAATCACAAGCTCTTGATATCTGAGATGAAGCTGAACAGCTAAGAACCTGTCCACACTTATGGTTACAACATTCAAGAGCGAGGATATACAAAAGAAATTGATAACGGCCAACAATTTCTTGTAGGATATGCAGTCGATACGTTTTTGATTTAACCGGCTGACCAAAGTAGAAATGTAAAGCGGTTGGACCAACAAACCAACACCAACATCGGAGGCAGCCAGGCTCAGTAATAATGTTCTCAAAGGTTTTGGCAAAAACGTGGTTTTCCTTATCGCATGGATAGTAACGATGTTCAAAATGATGGTTGTATAAGACAAAAAGCTGTTGAAGACACAATTAGCGACAAGAACCGGACGAAAATCTTCAACATCCGTAGAGGTTCCAAAGAAAAGCTCGTTCATATGGTCGCAAACGTTTTCAGCCATGAGATCTGAGCGTTAAAACTACTGTGGTCCTGATATTTTCCGATTCTGAAAATAGATAATTTTAAGTCATATGTAGATGTCAGTTACGAGCAAAACACTATATATCGAAGCCATCTGTACGTACATTCAAGATGTCTTCATCTCTGACATTTGAATTTTTGAAAAAAGCATCGAGTATCGCTTTAACTCGGCGTTAGTTAGAACTAAAGCAAATTATCTGTTTGATGCTTCAACTAAACATGGAATTTATAATTGAAAAAAGTTATTTGAAGGAAAGCTTTCATTAACATATCTTTCATCTATCACAATAAATATACGAAACATTAAAGTCAGTTAAAGTAAAGAGCGCTTGACATATACGTCTTTATTATTAAATTCGTCTGAATACATTGAATACATCTTCAGAGACCGAGCATTTTATGGTTGATGAGGGGTGGGGAGAGAGACCCAAATAATTATTACGAATAAATTATGCATTCGTTTGTGGCAGATCTTGGAGGTATTCAGAATGTTCAGCAAACTTACTAAACTGAGATAATACCGGCATATATTTCAGTCGTTTTAGTGTAGCTTGAGAATATTTCTCGGGAGTGGATTATTACAGATAACCCTCCCCTCATTACTGACGACCGCGTTGGGCTCTCACTTTGACCACCTTCTCACAATTCCCGGATCCACTTCAGTTCATAAACAGCTGCACTTAGCTCAGAAAAAGTTTAGCAATGGCCATGTAATATTTTTACATATTTCAATCGAAAGAAATACAGATAAAACATTTTATCAAACAATAATTCTGCATCAAGCATTTAAACAAAAAGAATACAGGAAGTTTGACTATTGTTTATGCTGATGGCAGATGTAAATTAAGAACGATGGCTCTCTTTTTTGTGACATCAATAGATGTAAATTAAGTGCGAAAAATGCAATATTGTGTTTAAAATATGAAAGACTTTAGCCTGTTAGGCTCAGAAAGTAAAGAGGGAATTAAAAACAACGAATCGGCAAATAACAGGACTATAAATTTACTTCTTCCAGAGGTAAAGAGTAGTTTGCAAATGAGCGGTGTCAAAGACAGTCACGAATTGTATTAGTTTCACTTTACATCGATAGAATTTTTAATCAATTGGTTCCTTCGTTTCTCTAATAACAGTTATCCCTTCGGTGAGGGTCTCGATGGCGTGACTACGTTAATAAGAGTAACAATTACATGAATCTGATCTTAAGTGACAGCGAGAAAGTCGTTTCCTCTTCGTCAGCAAAATGGTTGTTTTCGTTAATGGACATGCTGTGTTTGTTTAATTAGTTCGCAGGTTCCTTCGTCTCTCCTTGTAGAGGACGACATGTTGTTGATGGAAATACACCAGGTGTTTCTCAGACATTGCTGACCGTACCATAACAAACTGGGTGAATCAAACTGTTTGACGGCGTATCCCATCAACCTCTAAGGTTTCAAATAAAAGAAAAAAGAGGAATTTTGGGTTGTTGTATTTGGCAGAAAACGAGCCGTAGTTCTCAAGAGAAATAACAACAAAATTTCCTTTTACGCAGCCATACCTGCCTTTAGTTCAAGTTAACTGTAACATTGTACTGAATATGATTCCGTTATTAAAGAACCTTTGAAAGTGTTCATCCTATCTTTCAATTAAGTGCGAATGGTTTGAATTAACAAAATGTTTTCCTTCCGGATTAGCTTCAGTTGCCAGACAAACATTTTGACGGAGGGAAACTCGGCAGGAAATGAAGAATGCTGGGAAGAGTTTCGCTTCGCGTAGCTTATTAAAGATTGAGTTGATGCACATAATAGTTTTAACACGTATAGCGTGGCATTGAGAAAATGTAGACGGTTTGACTCTTCTGGTTTGCCATCAAGCAGTGAGAAATTTCTTAGAAATAGATGGCATTCTGCACAAGTTTTAAGCTGGACTCCAAGAGAGATGCCAAAGGGACTTCGTGATAAACACACACGTAATTCTTACTGTTAAGGAAAATATTAACTCTGCTTATATGAAGGATGTTTACTTTGCTAATGCTGCTAAAGGTAATAAAACTTTTTGTTCACTTAAAGGTTAAGCTTTCACTGATTCAGTTCTTACATCGATAGAATTTTAAATCAATTGGTTCCTTCGTTTCTCTAATAACAGTTATCCCTTCGGTGAGGGTCTCGATGGTATTAACCGTAAAAACTGACAAATTTTATCAAATATTCGTGAAAAAAGTTCACCGTAAAAAAAATTTAAGGTAATAAAATGGAATGACATAACCCATAAGCCGTAAAAGCCATCACCTCGTTGAGAACCTCTTCGGTATTCTCCAGTTCCCCCAAAAATTGGACGATTAAAACAAGATTTAATTTAGGAGCGTCAAATTTCTCTTATCTTCTCATAAGAAGCCTATCGGTATTTGTTTGTTTATTTCAGTTTGTGTAATGTATATGTTCTACTAAGTGTTTTCCGCGAAAGCTCAAAGTATCAACCTTACGAAGTGATTAAGGAATTTTACCTTGTTATGTAGCAAAGGTTTATCCCGTAGGTGACGTAAGTAATTGACGTCAGGTTAATTTTTTGCTTATATTCCACTTATGCAGGTGGTTTCCTGCTTCTAGTTACGTGGTATGAAATGACCCCTAATTCTCTTTGCAGCGTTTCTAAAATTAAAAAAGTAATACTTCCATTCCACTTATGCAGGTAGTTTCCTGCTTTCAAGATACGTTGTATGAAATGACCCCTAATTCTCTTCTCAGCGTTTTTAAAGGTTCAAAAGTAATTCTGCCATTTAATAAATTTTAAGGTGAAAGCGTCAAGGTAATTAAATCGACCCAGTTTGTTTTGAAACTGCAGTTGATAATGGCTGTCACAGCCACTTCCTCCCCCCTCGCCCACACCACACATCAATTGACATCGCCAGTTATTCTCTTACGGCTTTATCAGGGGGTGTTTCTTGTTTCTCTGACCGGCTGCTTTGAATCTGTCCTTTCCAAGAGGAATAAATAGTATTAAAATCGTACCTAAGGAGAGAAAACTTAATAATTTTCAGATGATTTAAATCTCAATGTACAAAAAAGTTCGCATGAACTTTGGTACTGCGTGGGTGGGAGGGGGGGGTATTGTACTGCGTGGGGGGAGGGAGGGGGAGTATTGCAAGAGGGGGAGTATTGCAAGACTATCTGATTTCATCTAATGAGTTGATAATGTAGATTGACCATTTTAGAATGTTTCCAAAACTGATGTTTCAAACGTTAGGCCTTGGTAAGATTTCAGTGGCACTTACTTGAACATCTCACAAAAACCAACTAGGGCCCAGTCCATTTACTAGTGTTTCAAACACACACTAAATCGACCTTTTTTGGTCCTATGGTGACGCTTTTCACAAAAGTTAGACCTACATAACGTTTAGATGGAATTTATGGATGGGTTGATTTATAGTAAGCCTTTCTGGCAAAGAACAAAAGGGGCAGACTGTTGGAATTCACGAGCTAAATTACAGCTGATGTCATTCCACTTTCCCAATGGTGAGAGTTTTCCGGCAAATATATTGGCACATTTCTCTTGACCACTGTTTGGTTCTCCTTTTGCCCATGCAGAAAACTGGCCTGTCACAGGAGTATCGTCAATCCAGTAGAACTCGTTGTCAGGTTTTCTGTAAAGTCCAATCCACACACCAAAGTGTTGCACTAATTCCTGATTTAGAATCAGATCGAGTATGAAGTTGTTGTCATCAGCAGATCTGATTACTGGCAGATCTCCCCCGTACTTCTTGCAAACCCTGCGGGCTTCAGTCCAATTTTGCGTTGGAGTGTCGAAAACAACGTAACATGTTTGAGAGTGGAGAGCCCATCCTTTCTGGCAAACCTGTTGTTATCAGTCGATGGAAAACGAGACATTTAGGTTAAAGTACTCCAACAAATTATTTCCCGAAGTGTCCATGAAAATTTTCTTTGCGCATACACTCAGATATCGTCCACAGACATTTCTTATCTGTGGCTTGTGGAAAAGTGTTACCTTCAAGAAACATATAATATTCAAGGTATCTTATATTCCGTCACTTGATGCCTCTCAATTGGTCACTGGCCGAGAATATTACATGATAAATTATAAATGATTACTAAACCCGATGATTATAAATGCAAAGTGAAAACTGGGTTCCACTTCTTGCTTAGAACAAGCAAAGTGAATACTAACATTTAGAAACCTTGAAAAAGTTGTTTCTTCTTGATCAGCAAAGTTGCTTCTTTCACTCACAACAGAGACGTCGTGCTTGTTCAGTTCACAAGTCCCTCCAATGCTTTTCTTCTTGGATGAAAACTTGAAGTTGGTGGAAGTACACCAGGTGTTACTCAGACATTTCTGACCGCACGATAACAAACTCGGTGAATCAAACCGTTTGATAACATATCCTATCAGCCTCTTGTTTTGAAAGGCTTCAAAATAAGAAAAATGAGAACTTCCAGACCCTTCGACAGAAAAACATGCTGTAGTTCCCATTAGTACCAACAAAACTGTTTTCTGTGCAGCCATAATGAACTGCCAGCTTCTAGTTGGAGGTCAGATGGTAGGTAGTCTTTTGAAGTTCTATAACATGGATTTGTATTGGCAGTCTTACAATTAAAAATTAATTGTTTAGGGTTAAAGGAACAATTCTTTTCTTTACGGACTTTGTTCAGGTCTTTGTTCCTTGATTTATGGTCAGCCTTTCTGAATAAATATTTAGCCTAGTGGGAACTTGGCAGAAGAAAGAAACCAAATGTTAAAAAAGAGTTTCGTGTAGCTAGGCAAAGTGGTAATTCATGCGAAATTGAATTTAAAAAAATTATTTCATGGTAGATCACAATCTTTAGGTGGATCACCATTTGGTATTCATGCGACTGCTTCTCGTTGTAAATTTATAATATGACCAAGAGCAAACAACAAATGAACCCTTTAAAAATTAATTTCTAAACTAGTGTAAGTCACGAAAAACTTTAACTAAGATTTTCCGCAAACACGCAGTAAATATTAATATAAACATGTTAGCCGCTTGTATTTCATCAATTCATTCTGTGAGCTTCACTGTGGGCGTCAGTTAGGTGATAAGTCTAAATTATGCTCCAGCTTTTTTAAGTCAGTGAAACGTTTCGCCTCAAAGTAATATTACTGAAAAAGTTGACAGAAAATTAACAAATATTCACTTAGAAAAACATTTTCCAATATTTCAACTCCGCATGGGAAAACATTTCGCATTAAGAAATAGATTTAGATACATATGTCACTGTAAAAAGGCAAAAAAAATCCTTCCTCCACGAATAGACTGGCTGGTTTTTATCAGGAAGCCTCACATTTCTTGTACCAGGACGGCTATACATGATTTTGACTGATTCCAGCTGCTCTCGGATGGTCAAGATTATGAGCTCGAGATTACTATCGCATGATAGGTACCGATCAATAAAAAATTGAGAGCGAATAATCTAGTTGTTATTGTTAAGTATATATTTAATACCTAAAAATTAACAACAAGATAGAGATATGTTTCTATTTATTTCATTCACAACCTCACACTGCGAGACTACTTTCTCTAATTTACTCTACTAGTTACTCACTATTCTGCTATCGCGGAATACTTAGCGAATGGCGTGGCTAATCAGATTGTAGTACCACAGGCGGTCCAAGCTCCAGCTGTGAGACGATCATCTTGTGCAATAAGCGTCATGTGGCAAATTCAAGAGTTTGAGTGGTATTTACAATCTCTCCTAGGAATAAAAAAATACATTAAATTCTCAATGAAAATCCCTCACCTTACTTCCACAGTGCATCACTTGTCATCTGACCACTCCCTATGTTGAAAAGAACCCATTTTAGCGAGTTATCCATTTCTAGGTTTCATAAGACAGGAAGTGATTACTAATATTTCCATACAAACTCTTACGCTTTCGTCATGACGCTTATTACGATGATCGTCTCACAACTGGAGCTTGAGCCGCCTTTGGTAGTAATTGGAATAGAACGCTGTTAGAGTTAGGGGGTAAGTTTCTAAAGAAACTGAGGTGCTGCGTCGGTGGGAGAGTATAGTAGGTAATTTAGTGTTAACAACTGAGTTGAAAACGTAAGTTGGCCACCGTAAAGAATAAAAAAGCTGACGTTTCGAGCGTTAGCCCTTCGTCAAAGCGATTGGAGGAATTGTGGGTTGTGTGTGGGTTTCTATGTAGAAAGTGGAGCTACACTATTGGTGGGAGTATGGTGACGAGAAAACAAGAATAAATTAGGTGAATGAAAAGCGCTCGTTGATACCGTGGGGATTAACAGTGCCGATTTGGAAGATAAATTTTTGTTCTCGTGTTTTGCGGCTTTCCGAACTGCTTAGATGTGAGGAAAGGTCGCAAACTGCCATATGTTGTTTAGAATGATTAGGGAGATTTAAGTGTTTAGTGACTGGTTTGGATGCATCCTTGTCATTTCTTTCCACGTCGCGAAGTATAATTTATTGCAAGTTAAAGTTATGCAGTAAATGACATTGGCGGAGGTACACGTAAAGTGATCAGTGATCTTAAGATGACTCACTGCCCGAACCCATACAAAAAACTTCTACAAAGACTTTTTTATTCAAAGAGCACTTTGATTTAAGTTATGTTAGAAATATTGCGATGAGAATTTTAATTTTTACTTTTACTTTTAATCTCAATTTCAAGATACGAATTTTTAACATGTTCTTCTATATATTTGTTTTATTATTGATGTAGTTTTTTCATCTACAAAATTTTCGGTCTTGAATATTCAGTTGTAAAGCGCCATGAGCATACGGATAAGGCGCTAATATTCACTTTAATATGTTTTAAATCCTTATTATTATTATTATTATTATTATTATTACTATTGTTATTATCATTATTATCATTATTATCATTATTATCATTATTATCATTATTATCATTATTATCATTATTATAATTATTATTATTATTATTATTATTATCATCATCATCATTAGTTCAGCGGTCATAGTGTGACTTGATAGATTTTCATGTAATCCTTTCACAAAGATGCAATGCTGGGGACTGGGTATTAATAACAAGAATTGATACTACTCTGGTTAACAGATTTAATGAATGTAACCGAAGAAGTTACAACTCATAGAGTAACGTCTTTCTAGTGCCTTCATCAGGGTTGATCTAAACGCTGCAACAAGAAACTTTCCACGGCAAACAGGAAAGACAAGATGTGCTTACTAAGCGCCCAAGAAATTAACATTTTACTTACGAGACCTTCTGAACAACAATGGCTAAAAGCAGCTATTAGAGATTATCAGGTTAATAGCTTGCCAAGAAGCGTGACAGTCATAGCAAGTAATTAACTTGTTAAATCGTGTTGTTTATTAACAAGGTCAGAGTACTTCTATTTCATTCCGCGAAAGCTTCCATCCTCGTGTACATTTTCGCGGTGCCATTACTTTAGCGCGATCAAACCGAGATCCCAAATCGCCTCAGGAGAAAACGTACCGAAACATCTATCGTAGTTCCATGAATAATTACTTTTATGTTTGAATCCAGCGGCCACAAAATCTCGATATAAACAAGGGAGTTCGTGTTGGGGGCATCAGCGAATCGAGATGGGAGTGAAAGGATTGTGGGAATTAATAAAACCGGCAGGAAAGCCTGTGACAATAGAGACCCTTCAGAACAAGATTATCGGAGTTGGTATCCTTGCTGTCTTCAGATCACATTTAAGGCAAAATATATAAGCTTACGTACCTCTAGTTCTGTTACATTTTACTCTTTAATGTTATCTCACGTAGACTGATGTGAAAGTATTCACCAATCTTGAGTCTGCTTGGGTGTGAGCTACGATTAAGCCTATCACGCTAAATGGAATTAAACTATGGGGTGAAAATCATTTATTTTATCAGTTTGTGATAAAATCAAGTATCAGAGCTGCAGAACTGTTTGAAAGAAAATTGTGCATTCCGTTGAGTTTGGTTTCACATCTGAATCTTCAATCCAAGATAATTGTGGATGTTGATATTTTACAAGTGCAGTTCAGTTTTCCAGACAACGATGTTTCAAGAAATTGAAAATATTTTCAGCCAATCATTGCATATAAAAAACACCAAGAGATGACCTTTTTTAGTTTGTCTCACAATGGAGTCACTTTGGATGCTGATCGCAACATTTCGACAGCAATACTGCTAGTCTTCATCAGGCAATGAGGTCGATTGTTTACATGTCGCTATTTGCAGTGAGGTACATAAAAGACACTATTTACATAACGACTATCCTAGTCTATGATATACCGCGAATTATTATGTGATATATCTTGATCATCAAATACTTGACTAGATTTTTCAGTTGTCTTGATGTCAAAGTCTTTTATAACCTTGATGCTAATGAACAGATATTAGTTTGCTGCTGAATCAGTCTGTTAAGGGAATGCGGGGCAGGCATGGTAATCCTTTGGCCACAGCACACCTGGCAGGATTGTTTTCCTCAACCTGCAAGCTGCTGTCTCATAGAATAAAACCAATATTTGTATTTGATGGTGCAGCCCCAGAACTCAAGGATAAGACTCTGGTAATGAATCAGTAAACAGTAAACAATAGAACATGTAAATCAGTCAAATGTGAACCACCTTCAAGATGGTGATAAATGTGCCTAACACCTTGGAATCATAAATCTTATGGACACCAACTATTCCTTACAGTAACTTTTTGCTAAAATCAGTGAAATAGCCAGTGTGCCCTTGAATAACATGATATTTAAAGGTTTTAAACCCTAAGATCCGATTTATAATTTTCCATCATTCATAAGTGTATACATAGCTTTAATGAACTTTTTTTTTTTGAAGATTTTTGGTGTAAATTTGTTTTTCCTATGAAGTTGCATGTAATATTTATATTGCAGATAACCCTATTAATTCTCATGACTAGTTTGCCGGTGAGGTATTGATGTCATAGAAAGACTTAAAAACATTTGGGAGTGTCCACATAAAGAATATGGTCTTATATTGCCAGTAAAGGCAATGGATTAATAAGTTATAAATTTTGTCAATCTTTGAAGCAATAATGATGATAAATTTGATATATTTTGTCATTTTCTTTAACAGGCTGCAAGAAGAGATCAAAGGTTTAAGGCTGTCCATAAGTCTAAGAGTGCTGCAGAGAAAATGTTGAAAAATAAATTGCGTTGTGAAGATATCAAAAAAGTCATTAAACAAGAAAGGTATCTCTACCTGTATAAATTGTACAAAAAGTTTAGTATTAATTTTGGAATCTTGTAATTTTACCAGCTGTTGGAATAGTTTGGGCAAAAATTTGTTCCAAAAGCCAGCCTGAAAACAGTTGATGTATAATTATGTAAAACTTGTAATTTTGAAATTTCTTTATTTGTTCATCAAGAAAATGAATTTTTCTTTTCCCAGGTCAGATTTCCCTTTGTTAAAGTTTGTTTTTCACATCTTGTTCTCTTTTGCTGGCAGTCCAAGTCAGGCAAACAATTCAATCTATAGTTGGTCTGAAGTTAACCCTTTAACTCCCAAGATCTGATTGTTAATTCTCCCCTCTAGATGCTACACATTTCCTTGTAAATTAGTTACAAGAATTTGGTGTTAGATCACAATAATAAGTTTGAGCATTCTTGTAACCTGTTTGCAAGATTAAGTGCGGCTATTACTGGTATAGGGAGAAGTTACATGTTGATTGACTATGAGGTCAAAGGGTTAATAAGTTATCTAAAATTTTAGGATTTTGTTGGTGAAAGTGCATTATAGTGAATGTTTTTTTAGCACAAGTACAGTTCTGGCCAGTGTAAACCTGATAAAACAGGATGCATTTAAACCAAAACATACTCCACTGCCTTCAGATACCCTGGTATCGTGTATTAAGAGGTGAGAGTTTATGAGTATGAAAATTGACTTTATTGAGCAAAAGCTGTTGGTAAACTTTTCAGCTGACTAAGTTTATGACTCACATTTGTAAATGAGTAATAATATTCATGAAAAAATTACACGTGTCTGATTGGCTTTAAACGAGTGCCTTTTTCATTTAACACAAGTGCAAAGTTGTCACACAAGTGCAAATTACAAATAGCATGTGCCCACTGCCAAAATTTTGTCTGTCTTGACTTTCAGTGATGTGATTTTATGTAAATTACTATCAAGTAACAATATGATTTTGAGTGCTATTTTGTGTCAATAAGCACTTTTAAATTTTTCTGAGACTTCAAATTGCACTTTCCTTACGTGCTAGGGCAATTTTGTTGTCTTTGAATAATTTACTCATGCTTAGTAACACCAAATTGCACTCAAAAACATGTTGTTACCAAATATACAAACATAAGACTCTACTTGTAAATCTTTGCACTCAAATTAAGTGGAGCAGGTATACTGATATTTCATTTTCTCAATGTGCACACTGATGACCTACGTGTGGCCATTGAAGCCTTATAGAGGGGAATTATCCCAACACATGTTAATGCTATTTCACAGAAAATTTTAGTGGAGCAATAATTGCTTAATTAATTATTGCCTTTACTTGTTAGCTGTGTGTTCATTGAAATATAAAACTCTTGGGAACTTTGGCAAACATTCAGGAAGCTGGAATTGCTAAAGGAAAATTTATCTTGCTCTCTAACTTCAAGCATGCTTCATATCTCAGTGAAGGCACTCTGAGTGCACAAAGGAAATAATTGTCAGTCAAGTTCATCCACTAACCAGTCTTGTGGCTTTTGTCCTGTTCAGGTCATTGCAAGGCAAAGCAAAGGCAAATACAAGCATTTCCTCTCAGTTGTTTTCAAATAGTCACACTGTCGTGCCAGCTTTGGAGAAACATGATTCTTTGGAAGTATTGAAAATTGGAATGGATTGTCCTGTGGAACCTAAGGTGAGGTGGTCTATTCTTAAGGTGACATGGCATGTTTCTAAGGAAATATAGGAGGTATCACACTATTACCACCATGACCATTTATCCAATGTCATATATGAAATAAGTTGACTGCTGCCCTCATAAAGTAAGATAACTTGTACAATATTCAACAGTTTCTATGAGACTTTCCCTTGCCCTGTGGCCAAAGTTTAGAATATATTGGTAATGGACTGATCGAAGAACATTGAAAACTAGTAAGCTTTTTGACTATCTTCAGGATAGAAGGTAATAAAATGCATACGTAACACTTTTAGCAAGAGATGGATGGCATATGGGCAGAACAGAAGTCTCTTGCAGCAGAACTTGCCAGGCAGAATCGCCGGGCAGCTACAGTGACCCCTCAGATGTACATCGATTGTCAGGTACATCAAAGCATTATTAACATCTCCATGTACTATTAGTTTTAAAACAATGTTGTTGTGCTTATTATCCCTTCTTTTATTCTGTTCTCTCTCCTCCTTCTTCTCGTGCATTTTTTCTCGCAGGTTACACCTTAACACAGCCTTTGCGTCCTCCCCTTCCTCTTCGTGTCTTTTTAATCCAGTTCCCGCTCCTTTCCATTCCTCCTCTACAAATTCTTTCTTACCCTTCCTTTAATTCTCAGTTTCATGCTGTCCCTCCCCTCTTCGTGCCTCTTTTATCTTGTTTCCGCCCATTTCCATCCCTCCTCTTCTGTTTCTTTCTTACCGTTCCTTTCATTCTCAGTTTTATGCTGTACCTACTCCTCTTTTCGTTTCTCCCTTTTGTACTCCGTCCATTTTCCCTTTAGTTGATAGATTGTGGAAAGACTTGCTTGTGCGGTTGAATGTCGTGTTAAAGGCATTAAAAACGCACTAACGCATCAATTGAAGAAGAGGCTATTACATTTCGCTTCCTTAAGTGCTCTTTCTGATATGAGATGGCAGCTCATCATCTTATCTTCCATAGAAACCTCAGTTAATTGTAGTATTCCTGAATGCAAGAGATGAAGAATTTCTCCAGCTAGTGCAGTGTCGATTGCCAAGTAAACTTCAGTTCGTGCCGCAGGCAGTACATTAAATTACTTTTTTCTTTTACCTCAGGAACTACTACTGAAGTTTGGTGTTCCTTATGTGATAAGTCCGAGCGAAGCCGAAGCCCAGTGCGCCGCATTAGAACTAGCTGGTAAAACAGATGGAACTATTTCAGACGACAGTGATATATTCCACTTTGGCAGTAAACGAGTGTATAGAAATATCTTCGACACTAAAATGGAAGCAGAGGAATACACAAGTGATGCAGTGAAGAGAAAGCTACGTTAGTCTGAAGTTTGTCGATTACCGTCTGTATTTTTTAATTGAAATCTCTTTTTTGAAACGTTTATAGGAAATATAAAGCGGGAAAGTTATATTGGTGAAAGCGCGCTTTTCGCGCTTTTCGATTGGCCGTTACAACGGCCAATCAGAAGAAAGGAAAATACATTTAAGAGCCAATGAGAATTCAAAGTGAAAACAAGGCGACCAAGTCGTGATTTGGTTTTTTAGTTTTGCATCTGATTGGTTGAGAGAGTGGCGCCAGTTTTCTGGACCAATCACATAACAAGTTAAGCAAAACTAATGCCATCATAATTTACTTTTGACACTCAGTTAAAAATTACTCTGACTTAAAAAAAACGTGGAACACTTAACAGGAAAAAGCGTAGAAAAAACGACTGTATCCGGTGCTGAATGTTACGTGAAAAACGCGAGGCTGATTTAAACCTTGGGAGAATAACTTTCCAACGAGTGTGTGGATTATGAAAACTCATGAACTCGTTAAAGATCCGCTCTAACGTGATAGCGTGCATCCTAAAGTGCGGTTGTACAATCATGAAAAACCGGAGAAGTCGCCAAGGTCATTCTGAATACAGATAAATGTTACTTGGAGCCAGTGAGAGGTCAAATTAAAGATGACTGAATAAACTCAAGTTGAAACAACGAGTGAACTTGTAGGATTGGTTATAGTTTTTCATTTGATTTCTTGAATAAGTGACACGAGTCGTCCTGGCCAATACCTTTGAACATGTCTGGTTAACACTGTTAGCTTGTTTTCAAGTCAGTTCCCAGTTTCAAGAAAAGAAAAGGTTCCATAATTTTAGTCGTTGAATGTAAAGCCAACCAGTGCGGCTAAAACCTCTGTATTTAACCATTTTCTTCTGTTCGTTTTCTTTCTCTTTTCACTTATTAATGTATAAGTTTTTATTAGTTCTAGACCGTTCGAGTCTTATCTGCCTCGCCTTCATCACCGGAAGCGACTACACTGATGGCTTAAAAGGTTAGAAGCTCATCGTATGACAAGGATGTTATAATGGACAACCTTGATGATTTGCGTCGTACGAAGTTCATGATCGAACCGTAAAACATGTGTAGTTTATAAGTCGTAGAAAATAATGCAAATTGATAAAAATTGGGCAGTTTCGAGTCTTTGCCCATGATCATCGGTATGGTGTTCTTGGTCAAGACACTTATTACATTTATTCCCACAAATTACCATTTCCATCCAGGAGTACAAATGGGTGACGTTGGATCGTCAGGGTGGGAAGGGAGGGTAAGACAGAGGCTCTTGTGAGAGCAAGCTCAGATTTCCCTTTTTAAGTGTCTTGGGTGTTTATCATGACGGATAATGATTCTCGTCTTAAAAAATAAGAAGTCAGCTCGACTCAAATCGTCGCAGAAGTTATAAGCAGAATTTTTCTACTCACGAAAGACTTCATTAAATGTGGGAGAGGAGCTTGTTCGAGGTCAGAGTATGTGCCCCAAAGAAATTTAAGATTTTCTTTTCTCGGTTGGAACAACACGTGACTTCAACTAACTAACTCAACTAACAAGTTGTTTTATGGATTTTTCTTTTGCAGGGTTTGGAGGAGTTAATGCCATGGAGATTCTTCACGAGTTTTCTATTAAAGATTTCGAGGGTCTTGAGCAGTTTAGGTAGGTTATTGTGGGATTGATGCTTGATTTAATAACTAGTTCGTTCAGTTTAAGACCAAGCCAACACTACGGGGGATAGATGTAAAAATTAATTTTTATTACTACTGTAATGTCCACTGTCCTCATTGATCGGGGTAAATTTGAATTTCAACCCACAGCGAAGCTTTTCGAGGTTCACATAGATAATTATATCAGCAGATCATCATGAAATCTTTGGTCGTGATTCCGTCCTGATCATCGTAATCGTGTTATTTTGTGTTTGTGGGTAGCTAATGGCATTTTATCTGCGTCAATTCTTTAGATCCTGGCATGAAGAAGCCCAAAAAGGCCCGAGGGATCCCCGCGAAGGCAGAATTAGGAAGCGTCTTGTAAGAAGCTCAATTTAACTAGCCCATATTGTGGACATTTTTAGGGTAATTAACCAGTGAAACCTGCTCAAGTATCGTGCCAGTGAATATTTCGATGCTAACTTAGAACTAAAATAGATAATTCAAGTCCTATTGTGGGTTATCAATTGTTTCTCTCTGCCTTTTTTGCTTTGTAGAGAGGTGTGGTGCTGCCAAGTGACTTTCCATCTAGAGCAGTTTATGACGCTTATAGCAATCCGGCGGTAGAGAAACAAACAGGGGATTTTGAATGGAAACATCCAGACCTGGAGTTCCTTAAATCATATCCTTTCCAAGTTAACCTTATCAGTATGTTTGTATCTTTAAAGGCCTTACTTGAATCAGGAACATTCCATGCAACATGTCCTTTAAGGACAACATGCAACTGTTGCAAAATAAATTGTCATGCATAATTGTATTTTTTTCAAAATTTGAATTTCCTTTACCAGGATGCATGGAGACTTGTCCTGTAATTAATTATTCTCTGTGTCGTGATATTGCCTAGATTCCGGCCAGCGGTTATCACGGTAGTAGTACCTAGGGCCACCATATACAAAAATGGGCATCTAATAATTATTCATTGGTAGTGTGACTTTGTTTTTTTTTTGTTAGTTCTGTTCTTTGTACTTTGTTATATACATATGTGCGTTTTCGTACGCTTCCTGTTCTTGAACGAGAACCACAACACTCGGTACTCTCGTTGTCCGCTTGCTTCGTAATATGTTGATAACACAAGGAGATAAGCATCACTAATAACTCCTTAACATTCTCACATTTGCTTTCAAAATCCTTGGCTGGACTGAAGCCAAGACAAACGAGGTTCTAAATCCTTTGATCAAGCGACTCAGTGAAAAAAAGGTAAATTAGAGGCAGGAATGTTAGTCTTAAGCGAGAGTAATGGTAATTCTTGGTGCACACTGATTTCAAGACTTTACCCGACGAATTATGTGCTTTTGTAATCTTGTTTTTCTTTGCGCGACTTCTCGCTATTGCACGCGGGAACGAAGTTACGTCCCTGTTTCCGATTTCCTGAAAAGTGGTTGGCACCTAACTGAGTATGGAAGATTTAACTTGGTGTTTATTTTTCGTGAAGAAAGTGTTAGAATTATCCAACACTTGGGTTGCACTTGATCGAAGTGCAAGGCAAACCTGAAAAAAACCAAAAACTTCTAACCCTAACCCTAACCCTAACCCTAACCCTTACCCTAACCCATTAAATTAACAATTTCTACAGAGTTTAAATGAACTCTAATCTTAGGCCAGTGTTATCATGTTCTGAATGGCGCGGTCCTGCGGCGCCGCTGTTAAGTGGGCTAAAAGCTTTTCCAGGGAAAGGGTTCGTATTTTTTCGATCTGGAGACATTAGGCTGGCTGTTATCGTTATTTACTAATACCGCGTGATCGCGTTGATAACTAGATCCCGTTGAGCAAAAAGTTTTATCCAAACGTTTTTTGTCGTGAGCAATGTCGAGAAAGTTTCTCACGAACATTACGAAAAAATGTCTATTTACTTTAATAATTTTATCAAAAACAGTAACCTCGAGGTCTAATTTTTGTTTGAAGTCTCGGTCTAACTTAAACTTTGCTGAGATAGTCAGAACTCTAACTGACAGATGTTACTTCTTTTATATCCTCTTCATTCCTGAAAGCCTTTTCTCGTTCTCCTATCAGATAGGGAGATACTCAATAAATATCGCAGCCGGAGGCTGAATGATGTGTATACAATATAATTATAATCTACCATATTAGTTGATTCTTTTTCTATGTTTTCCTCTTTTGTGTATTTCAACTGTTCTAGGCTATTATTTCAAAGATCCCGTGGCGTACAACATGTTTGCATATACCTAATAAGTTCATGTTGCTTTACTTCCAGACACAAATGAAGATCGATCAGTTTTTCAACCACGTAACGGTTTACTGTGACAACGTAAAAGTCAAGAGCAAACGTATTCAGCGAGTATTAAAACCACCTGGTAATCAGTTATCGAGTGGAAAAGGCGGCAAAAAGGACAAGAACAAAAACATAAAAAATCGAAATCCAAAAGCTGATAAAAGACCTCGTAAAATAACCAATGAAAAGCAGTTCAAAAACAAAAAGAGGTCATATTCAACAGAACTGAATAGAAATAAATTAAAAAGTGAAGCTGCTGTTATTCAATCGAAGGTACCAAAGAAGGAATGATGATGATGTGTGCGTTATATAAACCTACAGAATTCATTAACCAGCGAGAAAATTCCCCTCTTAGAGATGTAAAGCAAATACTAGATTAAAAGCTCTGTCTTTTTATGTATTTATTAATTTTTTTTTTCTCCGCACCCGTATTTTAACATATATGTACAATAATTGGAATACAGGTTATAGGTTTTTTTATGAGAAAAAGTTAAGTCTTAATTCCAAGAAATTAGAGAGGAGGAAGGCAAATCCAGAAAACTAATTTTGTGCCCCTTAAAAGTTATTATGATGAAAAAATATTTGCAAAAAAAACGTGACCTATGCGCCTAATTACCTATATATTGAGAGCATTCTATCACCTATGACGTATTTGTCTTTGTGAGGCAGGCCTGACGACATTTGAACCAAAAATCTTAAAGGGAGAAGACATAAGTCCTGCGAAAAGAAAGAAAAAAGACATAGTTTCATCTAGATTTTCTAGAAGGTCTTTAAAGGCATGTTATTGCATTTTTCAGTGCCGTTTTACAGTAATGAGAGATTTAACTAAAGTTCTTACTTCAAGAAGATATCTTCTCATCCCCGAGAGACTGGAAGAGCTTGTATCGGATTTATTTGTCAGTTGCGATTAACCAATAAATAAGTGCTATCTTAGAATTGATGTGTTGTTGATAAAACCTTACATAAATAGAACTCTTTTAACCGGCTGAAATTTTACCTTCAAATGATTTTGGTTTATGATGGCATCAAATATTGTTTTTTTTCATATTTAATTGTTCTACTGCAGTTTTATGTCAAGAGGATACTTCCATATTTTCTCGTTCAAGGTACATCAAAACGCTTGAAGATAAGGAGCTTGTGGGGTACGCTTCCAAAAGGTTTGATTCTTCCAGTCTGCTATCGTTTGGTCAGGAACGTCTCAGAAATACGTCTTCCACGAGCTTCAAGCTGTCCTTCAAGAAGGACGGCCAAATAACATGTGAATTGAACAAGTAAGGCATGTCAAGTGTGAACGAAAACATCCCCACTGATCAGGAGGGTGCTATTTTTTTGATGCTACTAAAGGTAAATCCAGTTTGACTTAGCATTGATGATTATGTTGGGTTTGCAATATGATCAAAACGAGAGAGGACTTCGGCCGTCTTTTATGTAAAGTTATAGTAAATGTTGGTTCCTTTTGAAGTGAAGAGTATCTTTAATTTCGACAGAACCACTCCAATTCTAACAAAAGGTTCTGGATGGGGTTAACAGACAAACGGCCAAAATCTTACCTGAAAACTGACAAATGGCTGAAAATCTAACTGACAACTGACATTTATGGTGGGCTTTTGCTGAAAGCTGACAAAAGACCGGATCGCCCTAAATATCCTAAAAACTGGATGTAAAACGAGGACGGTTGATTCATTTTGTCCAATAAAAGTACGTTTTTTATTACATATCCATAGGAGTACGCCACAGTGTCATATTTCGTAAATAATTATCGCATGGACAATCCACATCAAGGTCATATATCACATATCGGTTATATGATCTTTGATGCCCAACTCGATCGTCAACTTACGCGATGGCCGTCGATGCTGGTATTTTAAAAGCTTTTATCGATTTGATTCGGAAACGGAATTTCAGCGTCACAGAAGCTGCATTCTTATTAATGATGTACACACCGTACTGGCGCTGAAAAGGCATCTTATTTCGTTCCTTGGTTTAAAGGAATTGTCCAGTAAATATGGCCTCGGAGATTTTTATGTGAAACTTTATCACACGGCTCCAAAATCAGGGGGAAGAGCGACAATTTACCTTAACTACGGACGAGCAAAGGAGTCTGGAGCTTCCGACCATGCTGGCTGGAACAGGAAGCGAATCAAACAGTATGTATTGACATGGTTTGGTATTTGGTATTGATATAAATATATCAGTTAAAAGCCTACTCTGTTGCCGGTATAGAACGCCTATAGATATAGATTTATAAGCGCTGAGAACTTTCTCATTCTTGATTTCTTGTAGATTATGTTTTATGTAGATTATGAATGACGTAGTTAAAGTGACCTCGAATTATGCAGCAGAAACACACTCTCACCCTCAGATCGGGTAGGATCGAAATCGCCTCCACCTGATTGGTTCCCTAACCAACACTAAGGACCAATCGGAATAATGCAAAATCGATCCTCAAGCCCAACGATCCACGTAGAAAAAGGTCACAGAAGCAACTTCCACTCGGGAACGGAATTGAGAACACTACTCCACCTTTGCCCGAAAGACTTTGCTATTGCAACCCTATCTTCAATCAACAACTGAAGAGACTCGTGAAGAGTCGAAACTGTCATTGCTGTTGTAGCCACCATAAACAGTTGCATCAATGTCTGCTTTTGACAACTCTCTGGTGGAATACTTTACATCAAGTTTTGGTGAAGAAGACGAAATCATCGCAATGACGAAAACTAGGACCATCAAATGAATGTCTTTAATGTAATAAATGATAACCAAAACCAACTAAAACCCATTACAAGCCGACTGAGACCTTCCAATTTAAGCAGTTCGCCTCGTGCCACCCACCAGGCGTAAAATATGGTTTCATTAAAGACGAAGCAATAAGATTGTTTAGAACTAACTTTTCCGAAAAAATACATTTGAAGAGGGCCTTTTGAAATTCAAACAACACCTCAAGGCAAAAGGGCACTCGGAAAACATCATGGAAAGGTCTCTGACAGGAGTCAACTTTGCCTCTAGACAATCGGCTTCTACTTTTACAAAACCTCCGATCACCTCTTACAAAAAGGAAAAATTCCCTTAAAGACATACTTGCGAGAGCAAAAATATAATTTGAAGGCGATAATGCGACGCGACCACAAAAGCCACATGGCGAGTCCACGCCGTTCTGTCTTTACCTTTTTTCTCAAGAAGGAATGCGCCGCCTGCACAACAGCATAGCTTCAATTGACACATTAGCACATTAGCACATTACTCACGACAGTTGTGGAGAATCCACACGCAGTTTCCCATTTTAAGCATGAGACCTTCACCGCATTGCAGTATTCTCAAGACTTTGGGATAATTACCAAGAGTCGTTGAAGAGAGTAACAAAATGGGCAGCCAAGTATTTTACTCATGAAAAATCCAACTATCCTTTCCCTCAGACCGGCACGGAGTTTGCAAATGTCAACCTTCAGAATAGATTAACCCCGAGACTGAAAGTGTTCTGAAAGAATTTGTGGAGAAGTATCGTCCGTTGAGGCAAAGAACAATTCGGAAGGAAACTACCAAGGACAAGGCAGGGCCTTACAACCGCCGTCTACACGAAGTAACAAGATTCCGCCAAAGTGGACTTGTTGGCGGGATTACGGAACGAATAAAAGCTTTCCAACATTTTGACCGGCTAAGTAGTTGAAAAGGATTGTTTCAATGTTGAGCACAGGCAAACAGAAGTTTGACTGCAGAAGAGTTGTAAATTATTTAAACACCCTTCAAACAAAGGCTGAAAGTCACTTGAAAGATCTTGAATTATTTCATTCCAGAACTGAGAAAAAGGAATCCTTATTGTGTCAATTTTCGACTTAATTTTCGAGTTTACGCTGTATATGCCTTTTTAGCTTAAAATAGGATCGGAAAGTAATAATTAACTCGCCAAGTTAATTATCAACAGTCATTTAATTGACAACTGACAAATGGCCTAAAATTTAACTGAGAACTGATAAATGGCCGAAATTTTAACTGACAACTGACATTTGTACCCCCCATGCAGACCCTCTAACAAACGCCGTTCGGCATTTTGCAGATCAAACTCATAGGGTAACCATATGTATATTAAAACGGAAATTTAATTAAATATAGTTGATTCTTTTTTCATTTCACTCTGTTTTTGTTAGAATAATCAGTTTTAAATGCAATTTCTAGAGATTTAGATTTTTCTTTTTGGCGGTTTCTCGACTTTTAGATTTTGAGTTCTTTACTCATGGCAAAAAGGTTGTTAATTAATATGTCTTGTAGATGAAGTGATCATGCCTCAGGCTGTGATCTTACTGGTGATAAATACGTCTGTTTCTATCTTTGGTAAATTTGAGGACATTGGACGGTTCTAATTCATTTTTCGGTAGAACCGTCAGAAAAAAATCGGTCCATCAACCTTAGCGTTTTAAAAATCTTTCTGACTGCTTTGTGTACCAGTTGAGAATTCTCTTGTTCCAAAAAATTGAACAGAGCTTCTTAGTAATATGACTTGACTAATGACGAACGGCAGCAGGAACCAGCTTTTCTTTGACAGAAAAATCTTAAATGAGTGACGTTGCCATAAAAAATTTAATTTGCTTTAAACACATACCTCTCAAGATTTAACTAGTACCTTTTAAAGCTGAAACATTCATTTTGGCACGCTTTATTTTTATGCCGTATAATTGAACACAGGATGAACTGAAAAATCTCTTTACTAATCTTCTGTGTGTTATCTGAAAATTAAAGATTGATCTTGGGAATACTAAGTCGGAGGTATATAAATTTTGGTGGAAAATTTGGGCTTTTTTTTCAATTTGTAGATATCAAAGATCTTATCTCAAAATTTCCTATTGGTTCCGCCGGAGAGAGAGAGCGTGCGACTATTTGAACGTGATAACGTTTAACGTCGTATGTTCATTGCCTTTTCTGAGCGATTGTCATGGTCATTATAATTATCATTATTTTATGGCGTTTTTTCCATACGGAGCCTATCCGGCCCATGATATCTATTTAGTTTTAGTCATTGTCATTGTCATTGTCATTGTCATTCCCTTTATCAATTTTCGATCGCGTTTTTCCAATTCGGGTCTTTGGCGAGCTATTCTCAGCCAGATCCAAAGTTGTTGGCCGAATTACGTATTTGGTGAGGCTTCGGCAGTTGAGTATTAATTTGTTTGTAATGTGATGGTTTTTGAACAAAGAAAACTTTAAAGGCATTTGTCAAAAGTTAATCAGATGTCAAAAATATATAGTCGAATTACGATTTAGCAGATACTGCTCACGTCCTCTTCAAATAGACCGCGAACATTTGCATTAGGGTATCACAAATGGCATTAAAGGGAACAGCATTTTTATTTTTGCTGGTTCAAACATCGGCAACCATCTCGGACACGGAAAGAGACTATAATCTCTTGGCCACGGACGATAACTCAGAATTTTCGCGTTTCAATCACTTCAAACTGTGGGATAACAGACAGCTTTTGGGATACGTCGTCAAGCAGTTCAATTCTCCCAGTTTGTTATCGTGCGCTCAGCAGTGCCTTTTGACCGCCTGGTGTACTTCCACAAACTTCAAGTTGTTTTCCAAGAAGGACAGCAAAGGAACTTGTGAGCTGAACAAGCACGACATCTCTGTTGTTAACGAAAACGTCAATTTTGCTGAGCAGAAGGGAGTCATTTTCTCATTGCTTCTAAAGGTGATTTAATGAGGTGTTGGTTTAATCATCTTTAATTCTTCCATCAGGATTTAAATAAATTTTCTAACAAGCTAGTAACGTGGATTCACACAATTCCGTTTCTTTAACAATTCTGAGTAGATTTCTCGTTCTATCTTCTCTTCTTCGTGCAGAGAAACTGGACGGCGTAAGTTCTTCAATTAACGGGTGACATTGTCGTTTCCTCAAGATACATAACATCAAAAACAAAGAAAAACAAGAGACAAACTAAAAGCAATAAAGCGAAACCAGAAATTTTCAGCAATGTTTTGTCCAGGCTCTTAAGCACTATGACCATGTGATTGATTTTTCTTTCGTAATCGACCTTAGCAGATTGTTCAGTACAGGGTATTTGTTCAGTTGTCTCTTATTAAATATACCCAAGTTTAAAGCTGAGTGTTGTGTGAACATCGACCATACTGCATTACCCAAACTCACTTGCTATAAACTCACATTACTGTGGTGAGAAACATGTTAAAAATCTATTGTACCAGGTTGTAACAAATATTTTAACCTAAGTGTTCAAACGGCTGAAAGCAGGTAGTGAAAAATGTAGTTTTTTTTCTGTTTGCAGCCAGTTTTCAATATTTGATCTGCATAACGTCATTTATGGCCTGTATGCGATTTTTTATTTCGAAAATTACCCTTTGATGGGATCATTTGACCCATCGGTGGAAACACTTCCCCTCCACTTCTTATAATCATAGTTATGGCAAAATTATTTGTTATTAAAACTGGTATATCACTCGAATATAGTTTGTTTAGATCATTAGCTGTCACCTACAACCCCTTCATGTTCATTGTTATGATAATATTTTGGAAATGACATGATCTGATTTTTTGTCAACTTCTACTGACCAATAGGATTGCCCGCAAGGTTGGTTTCGTCATGAGAATTCATGCTACCTTATTCATAACACTCCCACTCCAAGATGGAACGATGCACTCACGTTTTGTCAAAATCACCGGGCACATCCGCCGATAATCAAATCTGCCGAGGAGAACGACTTCATATTTCGCCTTATGAAGAGCCAACCAGACGGGAGGGATCGTAGTGCATGGATTGGACTGAAGAGAAAAATGGACGATAAGTTTTACTGGTTGGACGGTACCCCATCAACGGGCCGGTTCTCAGCATGGGCGCAGGGAGAACCAAACCGCCGTCACGAAAAATGTGTTTTTATACTCGTCAAAAAAGATCGACAAAAAAATTGGTTCGACTCTCCCTGTACTTATAACGGTACACCTTATTTTCCAGTCCCAGTGGTTCTGTGCCAGAAAGGTCTTTTCTGACTGTTGGATTCCTTGATTGTTCACCTCAGTTTATGTAATGTTCACGTTATCTTCCCGAGGTTAAAGTTTGTACGCTGCCATGAGTTATACTGTCATCGTTTCATAATGGCCTCTCGTATGAATAAAGATTTCTAAGTTTTTATCAGTTCAATCGTTCATCAATCTTGTTCGTCGTTTGTTGGCATTCGAAAGAGACATCACATTTTAACATATTCTGTGTTTAATGGAAACCTGCTTACATTAAGTTCGATTTAAAAGTTCACTTGCATGAAAGGCATATCACAAAATTGAGAACTCATCTATTTTAGGTAAAAATGTTGAAATATATAGCAAAGTTTATATTTAGATTAATCATGCTAAACAAATAAAAAAAAACTCTAATTACTGGAAGAGTATAATTATTATTTTTTGTTACCGCTGATGAAGCAGCTCAGGAAAATGACCTGCATTGACATGGGAATTGCGTAAGGGATTGCGTGGTTTTCATGCAATGATTGAGCCTACACCCGTACATTAGGTTAAAAGCTTTTAATTGCATCGTCCTTCGCTTTCGAGTTTTTTTTTTTATAAAGATCTAGCTCTAGATACTTAAAGAAAAAATAAACTCGGGTGTGGCTTGTCAAAGGAACAGTTTATTAGTCATGTGCCGAGAAAGAGGGAAAGAACACACTCACTTATCTGACGAATGTGCAGTTCGCTTGTGTTTTTGTTTCTCCAAACAATACATTGATGCCCACCATCTGGATCACTTATCATGCCACTGTGGAAGAAGAACTAATGGAAAACTTAAGTTTATGGCAACTGCATATTCATAAGACTCGCCAGCCAGCTGCATAAGCGCTCACCGTTCGTGTCTTAATTATCTATCTCTTTCTGCTCGTTTCCTTGTTTTAAAACAAAAAAATAACGTGAGTTGAACTTAACGTCACAAAGAACAAGTTTACTACGCAAAGACCAAACGTTTGTGTTTTGAGCGTTCTTTGTCCGTGAGCAATATAGTAATTTGATGGCAGCTTTTCAACATCTGCACCCTCGTGTTTGTCATATTTGGTTGTGTTTCACTGAAAGTCAATTTTAAGTTTTTTCAAATGCTAATATTTCAGCAAATAAACTGAAAATTTAGGCTCAGACACCTCTAATAAAGCATTCAATCTGTCACATATCGTGAAGAAGAAAGAATCACTTTCTCTCCCCTGTAACCTAAAGTCTCCATCAACACAGATAACGTTCTTTGGTTGCAGATGGCTCGGTGGAAAACCATACTTTTATTATTGTTAATTCAAACTCCATCAGTTTCCGCTACCAACGATAATTTCGACTCAACGCCATCTCGTTCCTCACAATTCAGACAATGGGAGAGCAAGCAGCTTCTGGGATACGCTTTCAAAAGGTTTGACTCTACAAGTTTGATATCGTGCGGTCAACAGTGTCTGAGAAACCAACTTTGCTCTTCAACAAACTTCAAGTGGTCCTCCTCTAAGAAGGACGGCGAAGGAACTTGTGAGCTGAACGAGCACAAGTTTTCCTTTATTGAGGAAAATGTTAGCTTTGTCCATCAGGAAGATGTAACGTTTTCCATGAAGGTAATTCAAATTTTAGTTTTTGTAAAGGTTAAGGCGAACGTTGATCAGTATTGTCTAATATTTTAATTAAAAAAATTCCCCTTGTTATATTCTTCATATCATCGAGAACTTGGACAACTAAAATTTTGCAGGGTGAAACTTCTCCAATTTTGCTGTGAGACACCTTGCAATTGGGATTTGTGTATATAATCCGACTTATATACTATATTCTATATTGTACATTACTTTTCACGACAGGTCAAACCATCATTTTTAGCAGATAATTAAGGTGGTTTGCCAATTTAGGACTTCCATAGCGAGCAGCTGATTGATGTTTACACTCAGAAAGTTCGGATCTCTTTAAGAGGCTGTCTCTCTTATTTCCACCCGGTCAATTTTGCGTCAAAAATAATTTTGCCTGAAACTCTGTCAACAGAAAGACTATACGAAGGAAGGAACTAAATTAGATTTGGTTTGATTTGAAATAATTTTCTGACTGCATTAGGGGCCATAATTATTTCACAATCCGTAGGGACCGTCGCAACGTCTCGAAAATTGAAAAGTAGGCATTTTGTAACATTGTAAAATATTTGATTCGCATAGTTAAGCCCCAGAATTTATATCAGATTGTTTAAAAACCTTTCTAGTTTGCCAAAAAAGTTAGAATTTGCCCTCTCAATATTTTTGAAAAGGCGAATTTTAGCCTAATCTGACCTCTAGAAACTCCATCGGCCGATGGCCGTAAATAACCTTGATTTAGACGTTAAGTTTTGGGATTTAGGACCTGGTTGACCACTCTATTCTACACAGCCGTTGAGTTTAGACCTTTGTAGTAAAAAATACACAAAACCCCTGTACGTTTTTGTTTTTTCAAAAGTTATGGCCGTTTGAATCAGCACATGTAAGAGAATTCGCGATTTTTTCGCTTACACCAAAATCGAACCACTAGAGCAGATTTCGTCATAAATACAGCTTACCTTCGTCGCATCTTGAGTTTATGTGAAATTTCAGATAATCCTCGCTCCCCAAACTGGTGATCTTTATGATAACTCCAGCAAATAACTCCAAACTTCAGCGGTCGGCATCTATCGATACTCTTCTTTGACTCGTTTTTGCGAACTAAACTCGAAAACTAAAGCCATGTTTCGCGCTTAATGTCCCGTTGGAACTTTGGATTGCAGCTGCATTTTCTTCAACAATCAGTCATAGCACTCCACTTGTAAGTCTATGTGTCGAAGTTTGGGGGCTAAAAATTGGAATTTAAAGCTGAACGATCGCTCTATCGCGCATGACAGAGGTCCGTATTAACCATTGCGGGTGAACCCGCTGTCCCTTTTTTTTCTGGAAGGCCTGCAAGTGTAGTATGGCATGCAAGTGCTTTTTCGAAACCAGAGAAGCTTAAGTCTGTAGCGAGTCTTCAGCGAAATTGATAAAGCTTTCAGAATGTAGAGGTGATATCAATGATCATCTACAAGCATGTTACTTAGGTCAGCTTAGAGGAACGGTACAAGAATATGAGCTTACCGTTAACAGGTCAGGGTTGCCACACGACCTTTCCCCTGATGAACTTGAAGAACTTTGGATTTGCGAAAAGCATAGAGGAAACATGGGTAAAAACTGGCGACCACGTCGCACTTGCCAGTACCTGCTGCACAGCGGCCGGAAAAAGCAGCTAAATACTAGAAATGCAGTTCATCTTGACATGTCAAGGGAAATTACCACTATCTTTGCAGAACTCGTTATGATTTTTATGTAAATTATAGGTTATCAACCAGGTATTGTCCTGAAATGTGGGGCAGGGTTTAAATATAGATGATATCTACACATATATTGAGGTGCGGTAAATGACAGAATTCAGTATTTTGAAATTTGATTAACATTTGGGCCAAAGCTCGCACACGAGTGGGTATAAAACAAAACAACTGCTGTGATTTCGTCCCAAGATACGTAGCGTGATACCACATGGAGGCCATGTGGCAGCTAGTGCAACTTAATAAGTTAAATCACACTTCGACTTGTAACATTGCTCTAAAGCAAACTTGAAATCTACAACCTAAGTTTCCAACGCCACAAAATTGTAACGTTAGTCAATTATGTATATAATCGAGAAACACAGCAACTGCACTGAAAAATGCGTAATACATTGGGTTTTACTGCCCTACCTTATCTCTAACGTCTACATGTTTAGAAAAGCATTTTTTTATGTCACACACGCAAGGCGAGATACTAGATAAATAAACTTGGAAAGTAACTTGACACCAATGTTTACGCCGATGCAAGATAACATTCCTTCTGTTTTTTTAGACATTTATACATTTACACAGAGCCCTTTTGTGTTATCGATGTAAAAACAAGCAGGCATCGATTTTCGCCCTTTTATCCCTAAATAGAGTCAGAGTTTAACAACCTTTGCAACACCCCCTATCCGAAATTTAAGAGAATACCCGGGGTCACGTGATCATAGTGCGACAATTTTTATTTGTTATCTATAAGTATTGCTCTGCATATTATCATTTTGCATTATTGTTGTATTTCGTGCTTTTCAGTAATCTGCGTATCTTGTTACAAGCTGCACAAGATCAAACTCGCGGAGGATATGACGTTGTTGCTAGGGCAACGTCCCGATAAAATTAACCAGCAAGAGGACGAACCTTATAGGTGATATAACGCTACCTGATCCTATAAATAAAGCAGACCATCATATGCATTGACACCTAAAGAACTTTTATGGACAAATGTTTAATTGAAATGTTGCATGCAAGCAAAATTGTTGTCCTCGGCGTGGCCACACACTATAACATTTTGCGCAACATGGCTGATTTTGCGCAACATGGCTGATGCAGCAAGCAAGTTATGTTTACAGATACGTGGCCAAAATGGGCAACATTTTCGAAAAAAGTGACAAATAGTGTTTTGGCTTTAAATTGGATGACCTAAAAAGAGAAAATAGTTGATTAATGAACCATACAATTGCACGCGGTGGTGCTGATAGTGAACTGAAGGGAATTTTTTGCGCGTATTGCTGACGAAGAACTCATTCTCAAGTTTCTGTAGCTGCGCCTTTCAGAGAAGCAAAGTGACCGGTACGGAGAAAGAGGGTTAAGTTGGCACATTAGCAGCGTTGTGTCTCGAAGCCAGTCTAACACGACGGAAGTCATCTCGGACGCTCACCTCTTTGATTAGTGTACTCAGAACTGGTATGCAGTTACGTCAATTCTCGAAGGTCTTCTAAAGCAGCTGAAAGTCAAGAATCCTTTGCTACAGAAAGTCCATCTGAGGTTAGATGAAGCCGGTTGCTATCACAACAGCTCCCTAGTAACCGTTGTGAGAGATGTCGCAAAAGGAGTTGGGGTTGAAGTTCATAGTTATCACTACTCGGAGCCGCAGTCTGGTAAAGACATTTGCGATCGTATCCTGTGTCCAATGAAGTCCTCTATTCGTGCTTGCTGCAACGAAGGGCACGATGTTCTAACTGTCGTGGACATGAGAGATGCATTGACGCAACACCCAGTGAAGGGAACAACAGCTGCAGTGAGCATAGTCGACGAATCAAAGCACACTCTCCGTATAAATAAGATTGAGCATTTTAGTTTAGAAGCCGGGCTGCAAAGCGGGTAAGCTGTATTTATGACGAAATCTACTCCAGTGGTTCGATTTTGGTGTAGGCGAAAAACTCGCGAATGCTCGTACATGTGCTGATTCAAACGGTCATAACTTTTGAAAATCGAAAACGTACAGGGGTTTTTGCATGTTTTTGACTAAAAAGGTCTAAACTCAACGGTTGTATAGGATAGAGTCGTCAAGCAGGTCCCAAATCCCAAAACTTAACGTCTAAATCAAGGTTATTTACGGTCATTGGCCGATGGCGATTTCTAGTGGTCAGGATATGCTAAAATTCGCCTTTTCAGATATAGTTAGAGGGCAAATTCTAACTTTCTTGGCAAACTAGAAAGGTTTTTAAGCAATCTGATATAAATTCTGGGGCTTAACTATGCGAATCAAATATTTTATAATGTTACAAAATATGCCTATTTTTCAATTTTCGAGACGTTGCGACGGTCCTTACGGACTGGGAAATAATTATGGCCCCTTATGCAGTCAGAAAATGATTTCGAATCAAACCAAATCTAATTTTGTTCTTTCCTAGGTAAAGTCTTTCTGTTGACAGAGTTTCAGGGAGAATTATTTTTGACGCAAAATTAATCGGGTGGAAGAAAGAGAGACCGCCTCTTAAGTTACCAGATGTGTTTATGCTAATTATGTGTTTATGCTAATTTACATGAAATGTGACACAAAAGTCCTTTTTAGGCTTTACTTAAGTTCTCAAAACGATTCTGATGTTCACAAGTCAGTTTCGGCCTTCGAATAATTCATGCGAGCCCATTTATTTCTGAAAGACAGTGCGGGGATGCCCACGATCTGAATCACTTATTATGCCGCTGTGGAAGAAAAACTAATGGAAAACTCAAGTTTATGGCACCTGAAAACGACTCTGATGTTTGCAAGTCAGTTTCGGCCTTCGGATAATTCATGTGAGCCAGTTTTCTTCTGAAACTTACCAATATTGGCTGTTAAAGTTACTCCCCCCCTCCCCCCCTCCAATGAGAGCAGGTTCGTCTCTTTATGCACAAGAGACCTATAACGATCGTTAAGTCTAAATAAAATTACATATAGGTTTCGGGTTTGAACTTGTCAATTCTATTAACAACTACAAAACTGTTTTCCTGAAATTGATTTATCAAAAGTAGATTTGTAACACGTAACGCCCTTGGCCCCAGTTGTTCAAGAGGCGGATAACGCTATCCACCGGATATATCGCTATTCAGCGGATAAATGCCAACAAAACGTACTTCGCTATCCAACGGATAGAGGTTTATGGAGCGGATGGCTTTATCCACCATTTGAACAACCAGAGGAATAAAGGATATTTTTAAGTCATTTAGCTGGTTCCCAGTCGCTCACGACACCGCAGCCGTTGGTGGGTAACCTCGGTGTTTTTGTTTTAATTGTGATTGATTTCCATCTTTTACCGGTCCGAAAGGATTGCCCACTTGATTGGATTGTTTTTGGACGCTCGTGTTATCTCCTTTTCTAAAACTCTACCCCGAATTGGAGCGATGCAAATAGTATCTGTCAAACTCATGGGGTACATCTACCAATTCTTCATATCTACAGGATATTTGTTCAGTTGTCTGTGATTAAATATAACGTAAAAAGCCTTTATACGGGCCCAGGTAGTCCATGGGGCCGGTACTTAACTCCGGTTTTCTTAGCATGAAGCGGCTGAGAGTATTGCTACTCCCCCCTGGATGGGATGCTAGTCCATCGCAGGGTTACCCCCGGCACATTTGCTGGTACCCATTTGTACACCTGGGTGAAGAGAAGCACTGTGAGAGTAAAGTGTCTTGCCTAAGAACACAACACAATGACCCCGGCCAGGGCTCGAACCAGGACCACCCGATCCGGAGTCGGGCGCACTAACTATGAGGCCACCGCGCCTCCACATGTGATTAAATATACCCAAGTTTAAAGCCGAGTGTTGTTTGAATATCGACCATACTGCATTACTCAAATATTTTAACCTCAGTGTTCAAACGGCTGAAAGCAGGTAGTAAAAAATGTATTTTTTTCTGTTTGCAGCCAGCCAACCAAACGGGAGAGATCGTAGTGCATGGATTGGACTGAACAGAAAAATAAACGATAAGTTTTACTGGATGGACGGTACTCCATTGGCGGGCCGGATCTCAGCATGGGCGAAAGGAGAACCAAACTACCTTCACGAAAAATGTGTTTTTATATTCACAAAAAAGTGGTACGACTTACCCTGTACTTTTGGTGGTTCACCTTCGTTTCCAGTCACAGTGGTTCTATGCCAAAAAAGTATTTTCTGACTGTTGGATTCCTCAATTGTTCACCTCAGTTTATCTTATGTTCACGTAATGTTCCGGAAGTTAAAGTTTTTACGCCGCTATGAGTTATGCTGTCATCGTTTCATAATAGCCTCTCGTATGATTAAAGATTTCTAAGTTTTTATCAGTTCCATCGTTCGTCAATCTTGTTTGTCGTTTGTCGGTATTCGAAAGAGACATCACAGTTTAACATATTCTGTGTTCAATGAAAACCTGCTTGCATTTAGTTCGTTTTAAAAGTTCACTTGCATGAGCGGCATATCACAAAATTGAGAACCCGTCTGTTTTAGCTGAAAAATATTGAAAGATATAGCAAAGTTTATATTTAGATTAATTATGCTAAACAAATAAAAAAATTCTCATTTCTGGAGGAGCATAAATATTATTTTTTGTTACCAGTGATGAAGCAGCTCAGGAAAATGCCTGCATTGACATGAGAGTCTCAAAAATCTTGGCTCTGACCGCTGGTAAATGTCATAGCAGAAAAGTCTACATTATTTGAATACTGTGCAGATTGGTGCAAGTTTTAAGGGATTACGTGGTTTTCATGCAATCATTGAGCCTGCACCCGTACATTAGGTCAAAAGGTTTGCATTGTCCTTCGCTTTCGAGTTTCTCGTTTACTGGGTGCATTTTTTTAACAATCAAATATCTGGGTTTTTTTTATGAAGATCTAGCGATACTTAAAACAAAATAAACTCACATGTGGATTGTCAAAGGAATACTTTATTTGTCATGTGCCGAGAAAGAGAAAAAAAAACACTCATTTATCTAACGACAGCGGAGCTTCGCTATCTCCCTCTACAGTCTACTGATCGTGAACTCTCAGTAATAAATATGATATGCCTTATTCCAGACTCAAAATCTCCTCAAATCTCTTACTTTAAAGCCTGTCTCGTCGTCTCTTTGTATTCATTTTTCTTCAACCGTTTTGTCGGTAGCAACTTTCAATTGAGTGAGATTTGAAAAAGTATTTTCGTGGGTTAAAATGAAACCTTCTACGGAAAAATGCCATCGTTTAATCACACTAAATGGAACTTCTGTAAGTTTTTTTTTTCTCCAGACAGTGCGTGGATGCCTACGATCTGCATCACTTATCATGCCGCTGTGGAAGAAAAACTAACGAAAAACTTAAGTCTAGGGCACCTGCTTATTCATAAGACTCGCCAGCCAGCCGCATAGGCACTTATCGTTCGTGTCTTAACTATCTTTATCTCTTTCTGCTCATTTCCTTGTTTTAAAACCAAAAAAATCGTAAGTTGGCCTTAACGTCACAAAGAACAAGTTTACTACGCAAAGACCAAACATTTCGTGTTTTTTTAGCGTTCTTTGCCCGTGGGCAGTGTAGTAATTTGATGGCAGCTTTTCAACATCTGCACCCTCGTGTTTGACATATTTGGTTGTGTTTCATTGAAAGTCAATTATCATTTTTTCAAATGCTAATATTTCAGCAAATAAACTGAAAATTTAGGCTCAGACACCTCTAATAAAGCATTCAATCTGTCACGTATCGTGAAGAAGAAAGAATCACTTTCTCTCCCCTGTAAACTGAAGTCTCCATCAACACAGATAACGTTCTTTAGTTGCAGATGGCTCGGTGGAAAACCATACTTTTATTATTGTTAATTCAAACTCCATCAGTTTCCGCTACCAACGATAATTTCGACTCAACGTCATCTCGTTCCACACAATTCAGGCAATGGGAGAGCAAGCAGCTTCTGGGATACGCTTTCAAACGGTTTGACTCTCCAAGTTTGATATCGTGCGGTCAACAGTGTCTGAGAAACCAACTTTGCTCTTCAACAAACTTCAAGTGGTCCTCCTCTAAGAAGGACGGCGAAGGAACTTGTGAGCTGAACGAGCACAAGTTTTCCTTTATTGAGGAAAATGTTAGCTTTGTCCATCAGGAAGATGTAACGTTTTCCATGAAGGTAATTCAACTTTTAGTTTTTGTAAAGGTTAAGGCGAACGTTGATCAGTATTGTCTAATATTTTAATTAAAAAAATTCCCTTTGTTATATTCTTCAGATCATCGAGAACTTGGACAACTAAAATTTTGCGGGTGTAAACTTCTCCAATTTTCCTGTGAGACACCTTGCAATTGCCATTTGTGTATATAATCCGACTTATATACCATATTCTATATTGTACATTACTTTTCACTACAGGCCAAACCATCATTTTTACCAGATAATTAGGGGGGTTTGCCAATTTAGGACTTCCATAGCAAGCAGCTGATTGATGTTTACACTCAGAAAGTTCGGATCTCTTTAAGAGGCTGTCTCTCTTATTTCCACCCGGTCAATTTTGCGTCAAAAATAATATTGCCTGAAACTCTGTCAACAGAAAGACTTTACCTAGACTTTACCTAGGAATTAGATTTGGTTTGATTCGAAATAATTTTCTGACTGCATTTGGGGCCATAATTATTTCACAATCCGTAGGGACCGTCGCAACGTCTCGAAAATTGAAAAGTAGGCATTTTGTAACATTGTAAAATATTTGATTCGCATAGTTAAGCCCCAGAATTTATATCAGATTGCTTAAAAACCTTTCAAGTTTGCCAAGAAAGTTAGAATTTTCCCTCTCAATATTTTTGAAAAGGCGAATTCTAGCATATTCTGACCACTAGAAATCTCCATCGGCCGATGGCCGTAAATAACCTTGATTTAGACCTTAAGTTTTGGGATTTGGGACCTGGTTGACGGCTCTATTTTACACAGCCGTTGAGTTTAGACCTTTATAGTCAAAAATATACAAAACCCCTGTACGTTTTTGTTTTTTCAAAAGTTATGACCGTTTGAATCAGCACATGTACGAGCATTCGCGATTTTTTCACCTACACCAAAATCGAACCACTGGAGCAGATTTCGTCATAAATACAGCTTACCTTCGTCACATCTTGGGTTTATGTGAAATTTCAGATATTCCTCGCTCCCCAAACTGGTGAACTTTATGATAACTCCAGCAAATAACTCCAAACTGCGGCGGTCGGCATCTATCGATACTCTTCTTTGACTCGTTGTTGCGAACTAAACTCGAAAACTAAAGCCATGTTTCGCGCTTAATGTCCCGTTGGAACTTTGGATTGCAGCTGCATTTTCTTCAAGAATCAGTCATAGCACTCCACTTGTAGGTCTATGTGTCGAGGTTTGGGGGCTAAAATTGGAATTTAAAGCTGGACGATCGCACTATCGCGCATAATAGAGGTCCGTATTAACTATTGCGGGTAAACCCGTTGTCCCTCATATAAAAAGTCAACTGTAACTGGTTTTTGGCAGTTTCGGAGAAAATTTTTTGTATTACCATTAAATTGTAACACGTAACACCCTTGGCCCCAGTTGTTCAAGGGGCGGATAACGCTATCCACCGGATATATCGCTATTCAGCGGATAAGTGCCAACAAAACGTACTGCGCTATCCAACGGATAGAGATTTATTGAACAGATAGCTTTATCCACCATTTGAACAACCAGAGGTTAAAAGATATTTTTAAGTCATTTAGCTAGTTCCCAGTCGCTCACGACACCGCAGCCATTGACGGGTAACTTCCAATTTATACAAAATTAACCAATCACATCATTGGAAACGAACAACTATCCAACGTAAATTCAAATGTGCCAGTCTCTGTTTAGATACCAAAAAAAGCACAGACGATCAGGAATTTTTGTAGAACTCGTAGCTCGTCTCCTGTAATCTGATTGGTCGGTTTTTTTGTAATGGCACTTATAATAAATCTTTTTTCTTTTTGTTACAAATATCTACGTGTGATTTCAGTGTTTTTGTTTTAATTGATTTCCATCTTTTACCGGTCCGGAAGGATTGCCCACTTGATTGGATTGTGTTTGGACGCTCATGTTATCTCCTTTTCTACAACACTACCCCGAATTGGAGCGATGCACAGAGTATCTGTCAAACTCATGGGGTACACCTACCCATTCTTCATATCTACAGGAGATTTGTTCAGTTGCCTGTGATTAAATACACCCAAGTTTAAAGCTGAGTGTTGTGTTAATATGGACCATAATGCATTACTAAAATTAAACTTGCTATGAACTCACATTACTATGGTGAGAAACATGTTAACAATCTATTGTACCAGGTTGTAACAAATATTTTAACCTGAGTGTTCAAACGGCCGAAAGCAAGTAGTAAAAGATGTAGCTTTTTCTGTTTGCAGCCAGTTGTCAATAGTCATTAATGGCCTGTGCGTGATTTGCGTGATCATTTGACCCATCGGTGGAAATAACATTTCCCCTCCACTTCTTTTAATCATAGTTATAGCATGGTTATGGTCATGGTTATAGTTTGTACGCTGCTATGAGTTATACTGTCATCGTTTCATAATGGTCTCTCTATGATTAAAGATTTCTAAGTTTTTATTCCATTATTAATCAACCCTGTTCGTCGTTTGCCCACATTCGAAAGAGACATATTTAACATATTCTGTGTTCAGTGGAAACCTGCTTCTATTTAGTTCGATTTAAAAGTTCACTTGCATGAACGGCACATCACATAATTGACAACTCATCTATTTTAGGTGAAAAATATTGAAAGATATAACAAAGTTTATTTTTAGATTAATCATGCTAAACAAATAAAAAAATTCTCATTACTAGAAGAGCATAATTATTATTTTTGGTAACTGTTGATGAAGCAGCTCAAGAAAATGGCCTGCATTGACATAAGAGTCTCAAAAATCTTGGTTATGACCGCTGGAAAATGTCATTGTAGAAAAGTCTACATTATTTGAATACTGTGCAGATCGGTCAGGTTTTAAGGGATTGCGTGGTTTTCATGTAATCATTGAGCCTGCACCCGTACATCAGGTTAAAAGTTTTTAATTGCATTGTCCTTTGCTTTCGAGTTTCTCGTTTATTGGGTGCATTTTGTTAACAGTCAAATATCTGGGTTTTTTTATGAAGATCTAGCGATACTTAAAACAAAATAAACTCAGATGTGGCTTGTCAAAGGAACAGTTTATTAGTCATGTACCGAGAAAGAGAAAAAAAATACTCATTTATCTAACGACGGCGCAGCTTCGCTATCTCTCTCTACAGTCTACTGATCGTGAACTCTCATTTATGCATATAAAATGCCTTATTTCAAACTCAAAATCTCCTCTTATTTCTTACTTTAAAGCGTGTCTCGCCGTATCTTTTTATTCATTTTTCTTCAACTGTTTTGTCAGTAGCAAATTTCAATTGAGTGAGATTTGAAAAAGTATTTTCGTGGGTTAAAATGAAACCTTTAAAGGACAAATGTCATTGTTTAATCACACTAAGCGGCACTTCTGTAAGTTTTAGTTTCTCCAGACAGTGCATGGATGCCCACCGTCTGCATCACTTATCATTCCACTGTGGAAGAAAAACTAATGGAAAACTTAAGTCTATGGCACCTGCATATTCATAAGACTCACCACCCAGCTGCATAAGCTCTACTAGTTCGTGTTTTAACTGTCTATCTCTTTCTGCTCGTTTCCTTGTTTAAAACCAAAACAATCGTAAGTTGAACTTAACGTAACAAAGAACAAGTTTACTACGCAGAGACCAAACATTTTGTGATTTTAGTGTTCTTTGTCCGTGAGCAGTGCAGTAATTTGGTGGCAGCTTTTCAACATCTGCTTCCTCGTTTTTGCCATATTAGGTTAGGTTTCATTGACAGTCAATTATTATTTTTTCAAAGAAACTGAAAATTTAGGCTCGGACATCCCTCAGAAGCATTCAATCTGTCACGTATCGTGAAGAAGAAAGAATAACTTTCTCTCCCCTGCAACCTAAAGTCTCCATCAACACAGGTAACGTTCTTTGGTTGCAGATGGCTCAGTGGAAAGCCATACTTTTGTTATTGTCAGTTCAAACTCCATCAGTTTCCGTTACCAACGATAATTTCGACTCAACGCCATCTCGTTCCTCACAATTCAGGCAATGGGAGAATAAGCAGCTTAACATTTAACATTTCCCCTCCACTTCATTTAATTATTGTTATGGCAAAATTATTTTTTATTTAAACTAGTATATCACTCGAAGATAGTTTGTTTAGATCATTAGCTGTCACGTACAACCCCTTCATGTTCATTGTTATGATAGTATTTTGGAAATGACATGATCTGATTTTTTGTCAACTTCTATTTACCAATAGGATTGCCTGCAAGGTTGGTTTCGTCATGAGAATTCATGCTACCTTATTCATAACACTCCTACTCCAAGATGGAACGATGCACTCACGTTTTGTCAAAATCACCGGGCACATCCGCCGATAATCAAATCTGTCGAGGAGAACGACTTCATATTTCGCCTTATGAAGAGCCAACCAGACGGGAGAGATCGTAGTGCATGGATTGGACTGAACAGAAAAATGGACGATAAGTTTTATTGGATGGACGGTACTCCATCAGCGGGCCGGTTCTCAGCATGGGCGCAGGGAGGACCAAACCTCCGTCACGAAAAATGTGTTTTTATATTCACCAAAGAAGATCGACAAAAAAATTGGTTCGACTTTTCCTGTACTTATGACGGTAGACCTCGGTTTCTAGTTCCAGTGGTTCTATGCCAAAAAAGTATTTTATGACTGTTGGATTCCTCATTAGTTCACCTCAGTTCACCTAATGTTCACGTTATGTTCCTGAGGTTATAGTTAGTACGCTGCTATGAGTTATGCTGTCATCGTTTCATAATGGCCTCTCATATGATTAATGATTTCTAAGCTTTTATCACTTCCATCGTTCGTCAATCTTGTTTGTAGTTTGTCGGCATTCGAAAGAGACATCACAGTTTAACGTATTCTGTGTTTTATGGAAACCTGCCCACATTTAGCTCGATTTAAAAGTTCACTTGCATAAACAGCATATCACAAAATTGAGAACTCATCTATTTTAGGTAAAGAATATTGAAATATATAGCAAAGTTTATATTTAGATTAATCATGCTAAACAAATAAAAACTCTCATTACTGAAAGAGTATAATTATTATTTTTTGTTACTTCTGATGAAGCAGCTCAGGAAAATGACCTGCATTTACATGGGGATTGCGTTAGGGATTGCGTGGTTCTCATGCAATCATTGAGCCTGCAACCGTACATTAGGTGAAAAGTTTTTAATAGCATTGTCCTTCGCTTTCGAGTTCCTCGTTTATTGGGTGCATTTTATAAACCGTGAAATATCTGGGTTCTTTTTTTTTTTTATAAAGATCTAGCTCTAGATACCTAAAGAAAATAAATAAACTCAGATGTGGCTTGTCAAAGGAACAGTTTATTAGTGCCGAGAAAGAACACACTCATTTATCTAACGACGGCGCAGTTCGCTTGTGTTTTTGTTTCTCCAGACAGTGCATGGATGCCCACCATCTGGATCACTTATCATGCCTCCTGTAGAAGAAGAACTTATGAAAAACTTAAGTTTATGGCACCTGCATATTCATAAGACTCGCCAGCCAGCTGCATAAGCGCTCACCGTTCGCGTCTTAATTATCTATCTCTTTCTGCTCGTTTCCTTCTTTTAAAACTAAAACAATCGTAAGTTGAACTTAACGTCACAAAGAACAAGTTTACTACGCGAAGACCAAACATTTTGTGATTTTAGCGTTCTTTGTCCGTGAGCAGTACAGTAATCTGATGGCAGCTTTTCTACATCTACTCCCCCGTGTTTGTCATATTTGGTTGAGTTTCAGTGAAAGTCAATTATCATTTTTTTCAAATGCTAATATTTCAGCAAATAAACTGAAAATTTAGGCTCAGACACCTCTAATAAAACATTCAATCTGTCACGTATCGTGAAGAAGAAAGAATCACTTTCTCTCCCCTGCAACCTAAAATATCCATCAACACAGATAACGTTCTTTGGTTGCAGATGGCTTGGTGGAAAACCATACTTTTATTATTGTTAATTCAAACTCCATCAGTCTCCGTTACCGACGATAATTTCGACTCAACGTCATTTCGTTCCTCAGAATTCAGACAATGGGAGAATAAGCAGCTTCTGGGATACGCTTTTAAACGGTTTGACTCTACAAGTTTAATATCGTGCGGTCAACAGTGTCTGAGAAACCAACGTTGCTCTTCAACAAACTTCAAATGGTCCTCCTCTAAGAAGGACGGCGAAGGAACTTGTGAGCTGAACGACCACGATTTTTCCTTTGCTGAGGAAAATGTTAACTTTGTCCATCAGGAAGATGTAACGTTTTCCATGAAGTTTTCCATAATTCAACTTTTAGTTTTCGTAAAAGTTAAGGCGAACGTTGATTAGTATTGTCTAACACTTTAATTAAAAAAATTCCCCTTGTTATATTCTTCAGATCCTCGAGAACTAGGACAACTCAAATTTTGCAGGTTTAAACTTTTCCAATTTTCCTGTGAGACACTTTGCAATTGGCGTTTGTTTATATAATCCGATGTATGTTCTATATTCTATATTGTAAATTATTGTTCACGTTAGGCCAAAGTCTCATTTTTACCAGGTAATTAAGGGGGTTTGCTAATTTAGGACTTCCATAGCGAGCAGCTGATTGATGTTTTCACTCAGAAAGTTCGGATCTCTTTAAGTAACCAGATCACGTTTTCCTGTGTTTATGCTAATTTACATGAAATTTGACACAAAAGTCCTTTTTAGGTTTTACTTAAGTTCTGAAAACGATTCTGATGTTCACATATAATAATTCATGCGAGCCGATTTGTTTCTGAAAGACAGTGCATGGATGCCCACGATCTGTATCACCTATTATTCCGCTGTGGAAGAAAAACTAATGGAAACTCAAGTTTATGGCACCTGAAAAAATTCTGATGTTTGCAAGTCAGTTTCGGCCTTCGGATAATTCATGTGAGCCAGTTTGCTTCTGAAACTTACTAATATTGGTAATATATTACTACAAAACTGTTTTCCTGAAACTGATTTATCAAAAGTAGATTTGTAACACGTAACGCCCTGGACCCCAGTTGTTCAAGGGACGGATAGCGCTATCCACCAGATATATCGTTATTCAGCGGATAAGTGCCAACGAAACGTACTGTGTTATACAACGGATAGAGATTTATTGAGCGGATAGCTTTATCCACCATTTGAACAACCAGAGGCTAAAGGATATTTTTAAGTCATTTGGCCGGTTCCTAGTGGCTCACGACATCGCAGCCGTTAGCAGGTAACTTCGAATTTATACAGAATTAACCAATCACATCATTGGAAACGAACAACTATCTTACGTAAATTCAAATGTGCCAGTCATTGTTTAGAGACCAAAACAAGCACAGACGATCAGGAATTTTTGTAAAGCTTGTAGCTCGTTTCCTGTAATCCGACTGGTCGATTTTTTTGTAGTAGCACTTATAATAAATCTTTTTTCTTTATCGTCACAAATATCTACGAGTGATTTCGGTGTTTTTGTTTTAATTGTAATTGATTTCCATCTTTTACCGGTCCGAAAGGATTGCCCACTTGATTGGATTGTTTTTGGACGCTTGTGTTATCTACTTTTCTACACCCCTACCCCGAATTGGAGCGATGTACAGAGTAACTGTCAAACGCATGGGGTACACCTACCCGTTCTTCATATCTACAGGATATTTTTTCAGTTGTCTAAGATTAAATATACCCAAGTTTAAAGCTGAGTGTTGTGTGAATATCGACTATACTGCATTACTCAAATTCAACCTGCAATAAACTCACATTACTAGGCATGGTGAGAAACATGCTAAAAATCTATTGTACCAGGTTGTAACAAATATTTTAATCTAAGTTTTCACACGGCTGAAAGCAGGCAGTAAAAAGTGTAGCTGTACCTAAAAAATTATTTGTCATTTAAACTAGCATATCACTCGAAGATAGTTTGTTTAGATCATTAGCTGTCACGTACAACCCCTTCATGTTCATTGTTATGATAATATTTTGGAAATGACATGATCTTATTTTCTGTCAACTTCTACTGACCAATAGGATTGCCTGCAAGGTTGGTTTCGTCATGAGAATTCATGCTACCTTATTCATAACACTCCTACTCCAAGATGGAACGATGCACTTACGTTTTGTCAAAATCACCGAGCACATCCGCCGATAATCAAATCTGCCGATGAGAACGACTTCATATTTCGCCTTATAATGAGCCAACCAAACGGGAGAGATCTTAGTGCATGGATTGGACTGAGCAGAAAAATGGACGATAAGTTTTATTGGATGGATGGTACTCCATCAGCGGGCCGGTTCTCAGCATGGGCACAGGGAGAACCAAACTACCTTCACGAAAAATGTGTTTTTATACTCGTGAAAAAAGATCGACAAAAAAATTGGTTCGATTCTCCCTGTACTTATAACGGTACACCTTATTTTCCAGTCCCAGTGGCTCTGTGCCAGAAAGGTCTTTTCTGACTGTTGGATTCCTTGATTGTTCACCTCAGTTTATCTAATGTTCCCGAGGTTAAAGTTTGTACGCTGCCATGAGTTATACTGTTATCGTTTCATAATGGCCTCTCGTATGAATAAAGATTTCTAAGCTTTTATCAGTTCAATCGTTTATCAATCTTGTTCGTCGTTTGTTGGCATTCGAAAGAGACATCACATTTTAACATATTCTTTATTTAATGGAAACCTGCTTACATTAAGTTCGATTTAAAAGTTCACTTGCATGAACGGCATATCACAAAATTGAGAACTCATCTATTTTAGGTAAAAATGTTGAAATATATAGCAAAGTTTATATTTAGATTAATCATGCTAAACAAATAAAAAAAACTCTAATTACTGGAAGAGTATAATTATTATTTTTTGTTACCGCTGATGAAGCAGCTCAGGAAAATGACCTGCATTGACATGGGGATTGCGAAAGGGATTGCGTGGTTTTCATGCAATGATTGAGCCTGCACTCGTACATTAGGTAAAAAGCTTTTAATTGCATCGTCCTTCGCTTTCGAGTTCCTCGTTTATTGGGTGCATTTTATAAACCGTGAAATATCTGGGTTTTCTTTTTTTTTTTATAAAGATCTAGCTCTAGATACTTAAAGAAAAAATAAACTCGGGTGTGGCTTGTCAAAGGAACAGTTTATTAGTCATGTGCCGAGAAAGAGGGAAAGAACACACTCACTTATCTGACGACGGTGCAGTTCGCTTGTGTTTTTGTTTCTCCAGACAATACATTGATGCCCACCGTCTGGATCACTTATCATGCCACTGTGGAAGAAGAACTAATGGAAAACTTAAGTTTATGGCACCTGCATATTCATAAGACTCGCCAGCCAGCTGCATAATAAGCGCTCACCATTCTGTCTTAATTATCTATCTCTTTCTGCTCGTTTCCTCGTTTTAAAACAAAAAAATAACGTAAGTTGAACTTAACGTCACAAAGAACAAGTTTACTACGCAAAGACCAAACGTTTGTGTTTTGAGCGTTCTTTGTACGTGAGCAATATAGTAATTTGATGGCAGCTTTTCAACATCTGCACCCTAGTGTTTGTCATATTTGGTTGTGTTTCACTGAAAGTCAATTTTAAGTTTTTTCAAATGCTAATATATAAGAATCACTTTCTCTCCCCTGTAACCTAAAATCTCCATCAACACAGATAACGTTCTTTGGTTGCAAATGACTCGGTGGAAAACAATACTTTTATTATTGTTAATTCAAACTCCATCAGTTTCCGCTACCAACGATAATTTCGACTCAACGTCATCTCGTTCCACACAATTCAGACAATGGGAGAATAAGCAGCTTCTGGGATACGCTTTCAAACGGTTTGACTCTACAAGTTTAATATCGTGCGGTCAACAGTGTCTGAGAAACCAACGTTGCTCTTCAACAAACTTCAAATGGTCCTCCTCTAAGAAGGACGGCGAAGGAACTTGTGAGCTGAACGACCACGATTTTTCCTTTGTTGAGGAAAATGCTAACTTTGTCCATCAGGAAGATGTAACGTTTTCCATGAAGGTAATTCAAATTTTAGTTTGGGTAAAGATTAAGGCGAACGTTGATCAGTATTGTCTAATATTTTAATTTTAAAAAATTCCCCCTGTTATATTCTTCAGATCATCGAGAACTTGGACAACTAAAATTTTGCAGGTTTAAACTTCTCCAATTTTCCTGTGAGACACCTTGCAATTGGCATTTGTGTATATAACCCGACGTATATGCTATATTCTATATTGTACATTATTTTTTACGACAGGCCAAACCATCATTTTTAGCAGATAATTAAGGGGGTTTGCCAATTTAGGACTTCCATAGCGAGCAGCTGATTGATGTTTACACTCAGAAAGTTCGGATCTCTTTAAAAGGCTGTCTCTCTTACTTCCACCCGGTCAATTTTGCGTCAAAAATAATTTTGCCTGAAACTCTGTCAACAGAAAGACTTTACCTAGGAAAGAACTAAATTAGATTTGGTTTGATTCGAAATCATTTTCTGACTGCATTAGGGGCCATAATTATTTCATAATCCGAAGGGACCGACGCAACGTCTCGAAAATTGAAAAGTAGGCATTTTGTAACATTGTAAAATATTTGATTCGCATAGTTAAGCCCCAGAATTTATATCAGATTGCTTAAAAACCTTTCTAATTTGCCAAGAAATTTAGAATTTGCCCTCTCAATATTTTTGAAAAGGCGAATTCTAGCATATTCTGACCACTAGAAATCTCCATCGGCCGATGGCCGTAAATAACCTTTATTTAGACGTTAAGTTTTTGGGATTTGGGACCTGCTTGAGAACTCTATCCTACACAGCCGTTGAGTTTAGACCTTTATAGTCAAAAATATACAAAACCCCTGTACGTTTTTGGATTTTCAAAAGTGATGACCGTTTGAATCAGCACATGTACGAGCATTCGCGATTTTTTCGCCAACACCAAAATCGAACCACTGGAGCAGATTTCGTCATAAATACAGCTTATCTTCGTCGCATCTTGGGTTTATGTGAAATTTCAGATATTCCTCGCTCCCCAAACTGGTGAACTTTATGATAACTCCAGCAAATAACTCCAAACTTCAGCGGTCGGCATCTATCGATACTCTTCTTTGACTCGTTGTTGCGAACTGAACTCGAAAACTAAAGCCATGTTTCGTGCTTAATGTCCCGTTGGAACTTTGGGTTGTAGCTGCATTTTCTTCAAGAATCAGTCATAGCACTCCACTTGTAAGTCTATGTGTCGAAGTTTGGGGGCTAAAATTTGGAATTTAAAGCTGAACGATCGCACTATCGCGCATAACAGAGGTCCGCATTAACCATTGCGGGTGAACCCACTGTCCCTCACACAAAAAGTCAAGGTGTTATGGTGACACCAAAAGAGTGTAAATTTATGCAGCTGTGTGAGCACCATTTTAGTGTTTCATCAACGCTGAAACGGTGTTCTTTTACACCAACGTGGTGCAAATTCGTTTTCATGTCATGTAACTGGAGTGTAACTATACACCACAATGGTGCTGACTTATCACTGTTTTAGTGTACTTTAACTCTAAAAGAGTGTCTCTTGACACTGAATTGGTGTAAAATGCGTTGCAGCTGTGCCAACATTGAGACGAGGTGATTTTACACTGTTATGAATTTTACACTCAATTGGTGTAAATCAGCACTTCCACTAGTGTTATAAAACAACACCCTTAACTCCAAAGCTACGAAGACATTTGAATGCGATGGGGTTCTCTTGTTCCCACCTTTATTATTTGCAATCTCAAACTCACCAACGAAACAAAAAAAATAAAGCCTTAGCAGTTTAGTACGTTCAAAAATTGCAATAATTTTGTTGGCAGTCTTGCGCTATCATAAACTTTTAAAATGTATCTCTGCAAGAAGAGATGCACATTTACACATTCTTTTGGATACTACACATAACACACAAAATACAACAATAAAAAAGTAATCGGCGCCTCTGTGTGCCCCCCATTTATCTTTATCAAGAGCTCCTGCTCCCCACTGATAAAGATAATTTTTGGGGAGCATAATTTCCCCTCAAATACGATGAAGGGAGGCATTCCTGTCCTTGCCTCCCCGGCCACTTTTTTTGCTTCAGGAGCATTCTACAAAATAAAATAAGGAAACAAAACTGTATCAGTCACTTATTATATAGTTAAGCAGTGCCAAAAGGAAGGCTGAAGGCATTCTTTTATAGTGAATGCTTTGCCTGCCGCTCTATAGAATTGTAAGACAAGCAGATAAGCTTTTCCGGACAAGAATTCCAAAGAAAACTAGTAGATTTAAGTGCTTGAAAGAAGACATAATGTTTGCCTCATGTTCTATTTCTGCTTTAGTAAGACAGCAGCATGGAACTGCTTCTCAGCAACAGGTAACCCTTTGTAGGAGGCAAGTGTTACTTGGCCAAACTTTCCTTCTCCCAAGGTAGCATTTGAATCCTGCAATCCAAATTTAAAATTTCCCCGGGAATATCCAGTAGTGATTTAATGGGAACAACACCCTTTGAACAGTTATCGCTTGATTTCTTTTCTAGAGACATCTGGGACTGATGTGATTTTTCTTTTTCTCGCTCTGTTTGGCGCCACATTTGGTAAAATTTATCCTTCTTTTTTTCAGTGTGAAGCAATTTCTCTTTTGCTGCCTTTCTTTTGTATTTCTCTTGTTTTAACTCTTGAACTGCATTTTTCTCCAGTTTCCTTTTTTCTGTCCGTTTTCTCTTATTTCTAGCTAATCTCTGGCGTCATGGTAAGTAGACACTCACAGGCTATAGAAAAACTGTCAGTAAATTTGTAAAATGAAGGAGTGATTAATTGATAGAATTCCTAGAGCAGCGAAGTGCTACTTTAAGGGAATTTTTAAAACTCTATGCCTGAAAATGGTTCCTACGTCAGCACAATGAGCGTTATTACGAAATATTGCACAAATCTTGCCTTTAAAGGAACAAGTTAAATCGCGAATATACAAAATTGAAAAGACGAACCGCAAACGGTGCTCTTTGTCTTATCACCTAATATGCCTTAGATATATACCAGAACTTAATTGGAATATTGCGTCATGTATCTGTTACGGTCATGTTGACTCAGGCAGTTTGTACTCTAGTTAGTTTGTAGTCAACTATAAATCGTTACCTTTCTTCGCCAGAGCTATATCGTTTGAATCGTCTAGGTTTTTGCTGCAAGTTGGTGTACCGTGCGCAAGTGGTTCATTCTCCGCAATCTCAGTGGTCTTTCCGGGCAACGGAAACGACGACTGCTCGCTCGCTTTGAGCTTTTCGATCTTGGCAAGTAGTTTAGCACGGACACCCGCTGGGGGCATGAGGCTTTTCAGACAGTGTCTTCGTTCATGCAGAATAGAGTTTCTCCATCAACTAACTCGTCTCTTGATGTTCAAGAAAAAGTAAAAACGAAACAGAAAAAGAAGCAAAACAAGCAAAGAAGATAAGAACTTGAAAATAAAGTATTCATAACCATCAAGGTGATTGTCATTTGGCGCCAAATTGTATTTTCGGTTAGTGGAGAAGATACGTAAGTGTCACGGTGCATTTCAAGCAAATTTTCCTAGAGAAATTGCACAGTCGTTTGAATTCGTATCTTCAAACAAGTGAAAAGTTATCTGGAGTACATCTACATCAAACGCCCTTACTGGTAACAGTTTGGAGTTGCCTTGGCCTGTAAAAACTTCATGAAACGTGACTACAATGGTCTGAAATAATTGAATAAGGAATTGTCTAGGGAAATTCTAGGTTGCGTGATGTGTCGTTCGTGCAGCAAATATTGTGTGTGGGTGTAAATTACAGAAGTGCTGATCGGTCTTTAATGAGAAACAGCTGTTAAAATCAAGTTGACAGGAAATAGCTTGGGATTTTAGTAAATCACGAATAAGTAATGTCAGTCTTGGATTTAAGTAGTTCAAGCGTGTATTTCGGTTGTAATAGCAGATAAATATAATCACTATCTTGTAACAGAAGACTGGAGAACGATTGAATGTAGAAAGTTCGGATACTGTAGATCGTAAATAAACGCGAGAAATCGGAAAGATACAGTCCTACTGATTGTCGAACAGAAAGTCCATCTGAGAAAGTCCATCTGAGAAAGTCCATCTGAGGTTAGATGAAGCCGGTTGCTATCACAACAGCTCCCTAGTAACCGTTGTGAGAGATGTCGCAAAAGGAGTTGGGGTTGAAGTTCATAGTTATCGCTACTCGGAGCCGCAGTCTGGTAAAGACATTTGCGATCGTATCCTCTGTCCAATGAAGTCCTCTATTCGTGCTTGCTGCAACGAAGGGCACGATGTTCTAACTGCCGTGGACATGAGAGATGCATTGACGCAACACCCAGTGAAGGGAACAACAGCTGCAGTGAGCATAGTCGACGAATCAAAGCACACTCTCCGTATAAATAAGATTGAGCGTTTTGGTAGCTTCCACAACTTCGAATATGGAGATACCGGTCTGAGAGTTTGGAAATGTTATGGCATCGGTAAAGGGAACTACATTACATATGACGTAATTTATATCAAGCACGAAGGTCAAACGTCCCTTCAAACCATAGAATCTCAAGGAATTTATGATCCTCCTGAAAAGCGTGTGTTCAAGGGTTTTCAAAGGGCATCAAGGAAACAGAGAGTACAACACCATTGTTTGAATGCTCTGTTCTTGGATGTGTTGAAGTGTTCGAAACGTTTTCGCAGCTAGAGCTGCACCTGGACGTTGGAAAGCATACAGTCAGCAGGTTAAGCCAGTATGATGCAATCAAAAGGGACTGGGCCCTTAAATTCTCGTCGATAGATACCGCTGGTATCGAGTGTTCGAGCTGTTCGTTAGATTCCAGTACACCACTCACTTCTTCCGGGGATACTTCGCCTCACTCGTCTCTATGAACAGGATGGGTCGTAAGCCAACCAAGGGGCAGCGTTAGATTTTCAGAAAAGGTAAAAGAATATCTAACGGCACGGTTTACACTTGGAGAAAGAACTGGGCGAAAGGAAGACCCCGCCCAAGTTACAGTGGACATGCGAAATGCGAAAAATGAATCAAATGCACGTTTGTTCACTAGAGAACAGTGGCTGACAAAGAGCCAAGTTCAGAGATTTTTCTCCTGGCTAGCAGCAATGCAACGAAAAGATCAGGGTGTGATCGGGATATCGCTGGATGAGGAGAAAGATGTCCAATGCGTCCAGGAAAATTCCGAGAGACAAGATCTGGTAGACAAAGTTAACAAAGAGATCAAAGTCTTACATCCAATCTGCTACGACACATGACCTCTGTGAACGTCACCACAGTAACACACTTCAGAAATTCAATGTGGTTTTGTTGAGAGCCATCTGTAGTCATTTTGAGATCCCTGTAAAATTGAGAGACAAAAAACAGTTCCTCATAGAAAAACTGTCGGACGTGATTAGTGATTGTCAATGTGTTTCTCAATGTCTTATACGATGGCTGAAAGTGTAGACTATGCTCTACAGATGCAAACTACCTTTAGTTCCGATATCAAGTTCTGACGGCGTTGTTATAATATAATATATTATAATATCTAGTAGTCAGGGAAATGTTTTGATGAAAACGACTGAAAATTTACCAAAAGCAACACTTATAACATATGTTCATACGAAGCATGTGTCAAAGTTTTTATCACGTTGTTAGCCAATTTCTCCGGCTATTGACAGGTTGCTGATCTGTGGACACAATCGACGCGGAACCGAGAGAAGCAAGCTCAGCATATTTGAAATTGATTTATTAATTATATGATATTAAACTCCAGGTAAAAGCATTTATTCTTTTCATCCAAAATTTTTCTCCCCAAATATTACATTGGGATATAAATTGGAATATAAAACAAAACCATACGGCAGAACTTACGGCACAAGCTATCAGCGGTCTTCTCTTTTGTGCGGACCTTTGTGAGAACAGTATAAAATCGAACTGGATCATCGTGATCTAAATTTAAGCGATTATTTCTTCACTTCAGAAGCCTAAAACCTTCATTTCCCCTCAGCTTCCAGACATGGAGACTTTATATTCTGATTTAGGAAAAAATTCAGCTCTGAAGCGATGTTAAATGGGTGATTCACCGCGAAATGTGGCCAATTCCGACATTTGTTCTGATACCACGAATCACGATGGACGCCGCCTACTTTTCGAAGGCAATACTTAGCTATTTATTGAGGTTATCATGGATTTCACCGGTTTGGTTATCAGAAAAATTCTAAAGTGAGCCATGAAGCCGGGCTGCAAAGCGGGTAAGCTGTATTTATGACGAAATCTATTCCAGTGGTTCGATTTTGGTGTAGGCGAAAAACTCGCGAATGCTCGTACATGTGCTGATTCAAACGGTCATAACTTTTGAAAATCGAAAACGTACAGGGGTTTTTGCATTTTTTTGAATATAAAGGTCTAAACTCAAAGGTTGTATAGGATAGAGTCGTCAAGCAGGTCCCAAATCCCAAAACTTAACGTCTAAATCAAGGTAATTTTTTTACGGCCATCGGCCGATGGCGATTTCTAGTGGTCAGGATATGCTAAAATTCGCCTTTTCAGATATGTTGAGAGGGCAAATTCTAACTTTCTTGGCAAACTAGAAAGGTTTTTAAGCAATCTGATATAAATTTTGGGGCTTAACTATGCGAATCAAATATTTTATAATGTTACAAAATATGCCTATTTTTCAATTTTCGAGACGTTGCAACGGTCCCTACAGACTGGGAAATAATTATGGCCCCTAATGCAGTCAGAAAATGATTTCGAATCAAACCAAATCTAATTTAGTTCTTTCCTAGGTAAAGTATTTCTGTTGACAGAGTTTCAGGGAGAATTATTTTTGACGCAAAATTAATCGGGTTGAAGAAAGAGAGACAGCCTCTTAAGTTACCAGATCACGTTTTCCTGTGTTTATGCTAATTTACATGAAATGTGACACAAAAGTCCTTTTTAGGCTTTACTTAAGTTCTCAAAACGATTCTGATGTTCACAAGTCAGTTTCGGCCTTCGAATAATTCATGCGAGCCCGTTTATTTCTGAAAGACAGTGCATGGATGCCCACGATCTGAATCACTTATTATGCCGCTGTGGAAGAGAAACTAATGGAAAACTCAAGTTTATGGCACCTGAAAACGATTCTGATGTTTACAAGTCAGTTTCGGCCTTCGGATAATTCATGCGAGCCAGTTTGCTTCTGAAACTTACCAATATTGGCTGTTATAGCTACTCCCCCCCTCCCCCCCAATGAGAGCAGGCTCGTCTCTTTATGCACGAGAGACCTATAACGATCGTCAAGTCTATATAAAATAACATATAGGTTTCGGGTTTGAACTTGTCATTTCTATTAACAACTACAAAACTGTTTTCCTGAAATTGATTTATCAAAAGTAGATTTGTAACACGTAACGCCCTGGGCCCCAGTTGTTCAAGGGGCAGATAACGCTATCCACCGGGTATATCGCTATTCAGCGGATAAATGCCAACAAAACGTACTTCGCTATCCAACGGATAGAGATTTATGGAGCGGATGGCTTTATCCACCATTTGAACAACCAGAGGCTAAAGGATATTTTAAAGTCATTTAGCTGGTTCCCAGTCGCTCACGACACCACAGCCGTTGGCGGGTAACCTCGAATTTATACAAAATTAACCAATCACATCATTAGAAACGAACAACTATCCTACGTAAATTCAAATGTGCCAGTCATTGTTTAGAGACCAAAACAAGCACAGACGATCAGGAATTTTTGTAAAACTCGTAGCTCGTTTCCTGTAATTTGATTGGTCGGTTTTTTTGTAATCGCAATTATAGTAAATCTTTTTTCTTTATGGTCACAAATATCTACGTGTGATTTCGGTGTTTTTGTTTTAATTGTGATTGATTTCCATCTTTTACCGGTCCGAAAGGATTGCCCACTTGATTGGATTGTTTTTGGACGCTCGTGTTATCTCCTACAACACTACCCCGAATTGGAGCGATGCACAGAGTATCTGTCAAACTCATGGGGCACATCTACCAATTCTTCATATCTACCGGATATTTGTCAGTTGTCTGTGATTAAATATAAAGTAAAAAGCCTTTATACGGGCCCAGCTGGCGCATGGGGCCAGTACTTAACTCCGGTTTTCTTAGCATGAAGCGGCTGAGAGTATTGCTACTCCCCCCTGGATGGGATGCTAGTCCATCGCAGGGTTACCCCCGGCACATTTGCTGGTACCCATTTGTACACCTGGGTGAAGAGAAGCACTGTGAGAGTAAAGTGTCTTGCCTAGGAACACAACACAATGACCGCGGCCAGGGCTCGAACCCGGACCACCCGATCCGGAGTCGGGCGCACTAACTATGAGGCCAGCGCGCCTCCACATGTGATTAAATATACCCAAGTTTAAAGCTGAGTGTTGTGTGAATATCGACCATACTGCATTACTCAAATATTTTAACCTCAGTGTTCAAACGGCTGAAAGCAGGTAGTAAAAAATGTAGTTTCACTCCACTTCTTTTTATCACTGTTATGGCAAAATTATTTGTTATTTAAACTAGCATATCACTCGAAGATAGTTTGTTTAGATCATTAGCTGTCACGTACAACCCCTTCATGTTCATTGTTATGATAATATTTTGGAAATGACATGATCTGATTTTTTGTCAACTTCTACTGACCAATAGGATTGCCCGCAAGGTTGGTTTCGTCATGAGAATTCATGCTACCTTATTCATAACACTCCCACTCCAAGATGGAACGATGCACTCACGTTTTGTCAAAATCACCGGGCACATCCGCCGATAATCAAATCTGCCGATGAGAACGACTTCATATTTCGCCTTGTAATGAGCCAACCAAACGGGAGAAATCGTAGTGCATAGATTGGACTGAACAGAAAAATGGACGGTACTCCACTGGCGGGCCGGTTCTCAACATGGGCGCAGGGAGAACCAAACTACCTTCACGAAAAATGTGTTTTTATATTCACAAAAAAGTGGTACGACTTACCCTGTACTTTTGGTGGTTCACCTTCGTTTGCAGTCACAGTGGTTCTATGCCAAAAAAGTATTTTCTGACTGTTGGATTCCTCAATAGTTCACCTCAGTTTATCTTATGTTTACGTAATTTTCCGGAAGTTAAAGTTTTTACGCCGCTATGAGTTATGCTGTCATCGTTTCATAATAGCCTCTCGTATGATTAAAGATTTCTAAGTTTTTATCAGTTCCATCGTTCGTCAATCTTGTTTGTCGTTTGTCGGTATTCGAAAGAGACATCACAGTTTAACATATTCTGTGTTCAATGAAAACCTGCTTACATTTAGTTCGTTCTAAAAGTTCACTTGCATGAGCGGCATATCACAAAATTGAGAACCCGTCTATTTTAGGTGAAAAATATTGAAAGATATAGCAAAGTTTGTATTTAGATTAATTATGCTAAACAAATAAAAAAATTATCATTACTGGAGGAGCATAATCATTATTTTTTGTTACCATTGATGAATCAGCTCAGGAAAATGCCTGCATTGACATAAGAGTCTCAAAAATCTTGGCTCTGACCGCTGGTAAATGTCATTGTAGAAAAGTCTACATTATTTGAATACTGTGCAGATTGGTGGAAGTTTTAAGGGATTACGCGGTTTTCATGCAATCATTGAGCCTGCACCCGTACATTAGGTTAAAAGGTTTGCATTGTCCTTCGCTTTCGAGTTTCTCGTTTACTGGGTGCATTTTTTAACAATCAAATACCTGGGTTTTTTTGATGAAGATCTAGCGATACTTAAAACAAAATAAACTCACATGCAGTTTGTCAAAGGAACACTTTATTAGTCATGTGCCGAGAATGAGAAAAAAAAACACTCATTTATCTAACGACAGCGGAGCTTCGCTATCTCCCTCTACAGTCTACTGATCGTGAACTCTCAGTAATGCATATGATATGCCTTATTCCAGACTCAAAATCTCCTCGTATCTCTTACTTTAAAACGTGTCTCGTCGTCTCTTTGTGTTTATTTTTCTTCAACCGTTTTGTCGGTAGCAACTTTCAATTGAGTGAGATTTGAAAAAGGATTTTGGTGGGTTACAATGAAACCTTCTACGGAAAAATGCCATTGTTTAATCACACTAAATGGCACTTCTGTAAGTTTTTTTTTTCTCCAGACAGTGCATGGATGCCTACGATCTGCATCACTTATCATGCCGCTGTGGAAGAAAAACTAATGAAAAACTTAAGTCTAGGGCACCTGCTTATTCATAAGACTCGCCAGCCAGCCGCATAGGCACTTATCGTTCGTGTCTTAACTATCTTTATCTCTTCCTGCTCGTTTCCTTGTTTTAAAACCCAAAAAATCGTAAGTTGAACTTAACGTCACAAAGAACAAGTTTACTACACAAAGACCAAACATTTTGTCTGCCTGTGGGCAGTGCAGTAATTTGATGGCAGTTTTTTAATATCTGCACCCTAGTGTTTGTCATATTTGGTTGTGTTTCATTGGAAGTCAATTATCATTTTTTCAAATGTTAATATTTCAACAAATAAACTGAAAATTTAGGCTCAGACACCTCTAATAAAGCATTCAATCTGTCACGTATCGTGAAGAAGAAAGAATCACTTTCTCTCCCCTGTAACCTAAAGTCTCCATCAACACAGATAACGTTCTTTAGTTGCAGATGGCTGGGTGGAAAACCATACTTTTATTATTGTTAATTCAAACTCCATCAGTTTCCGCTACCAACGATAATTTCGACTCAACGTCATCTCGTTCCTCACAATTCAGGCAATGGAAGAGCAAGCAGCTTCTGGGATACGCTTTCAAACGGTTTGACTCTACAAGTTTAATATCGTGCGGTCAACAGTGTCTGAGAAACCAACGTTGCTCTTCAACAAACTTCAAGTGGTCCTCCTCTAAGAAGGACGGCGAAGGAACTTGTGAGCTGAACGACCACAAGTTTTCCTTTATTGAGGAAAATGTTAACTTTGTCCATCAGGAATATGTAACTTTTTCCATGAAGGTAATTCAACTTTTAGTTTGCGTAAAGGTTAAGGAGAACGTTGATCAGTATTGTCTAATATTTTAATTAAAAAAATTCCCCTTGTTATATTCTTCAGATCATCGAGAACTTGGACAACTAAAATGTTGCAGGTGTAAACTTCTCCAATTTTCCCGTAAGACACCTTGCAATTGTGTATATAATCCGACTTATATACCATATTCTATATTGTACATTACTTTTCACGAGAGGCCAAACCATCATTTTTAGCAGATAATTGAGGGGTTTGCCAATTTAGGACTTCCATAGCAAGCAGCTGATTGATGTTTACACTCAGAAAGTTCGGATCTCTTTAAGAGGCTGTCTCTCTTATTTCCACCCGGTCAATTTTGTGCCAAAAATAATTTTGCCTGAAACTCTGTCAACAGAAAGACTTTACCTAGACTTTACCTAGGAATTAGATTTGGTTTGATTCGAAATCATTTTCTGACTGCATTAGGGGCCATAATTATTTCACAATCCGTAGGGACCGTCGCAACGTCTCGAAAATTGAAAAGTAGGCATTTTGTAACATTGTAAAATATTTGATTGGCATAGTTAAGCCCCAGAATTTATATCAGATTGCTTAAAAACCTTTCAAGTTTGCCAAGAAAGTTAGAATTCGCCCTCTCAATATTTTTGAAAAGGCGAATTTTAGCATATTCTGACCACTAGAAATCTCCATCGGCCGATGGCCGTAAATAACCTTGATTTAGACGTTAAGTTTTGGGATTTGGGACCTGGTTGACGACTCTATTCTACACAGCCGTTAAGTTTAGACCTTTATAGTCAAAAATATACAAAACCCCTGTACGTTTTTGTTTTTTCAAAAGTTATGACCGTTTGAATCAGCACATGTACGAGCATTCGCGTTTTTTTCACCTACACCAAAATCGAACCACTAGAGCAGATTTCGTCATAAATACAGTTTACCTTCGTTGCATCTTGGGTTTATGTGAAATTTTAGTTATTCCTCGCTCCCCAAACTGGTGAACTTTATGATAACTCCAGCAAATAACTCCAAACTTCAGCGGTCGGCATCTATCGATACTCTTCTTTGACTCGTTGTTGCGAACTAAACTCGAAAACTAAAGCCATGTTTCGCGCTTAACGTCCCGTTGGAACTTTGGATTGCAGCTGCATTTTCTTCAAGAATCAGTCATAGCACTCCACTTGTAAGTCTATGTGTCGAAGTTTGGAGGCTAAAATTGGAATTTAAAGCTGAACGATTGCACTGTCGTGCATAACAGAGGTCCGTATTAACCATTGCGGGTGAACCCGCTATCCCTCATATAAAAAGTCAACTGTAACTGGTTTTTGGCAGTTTCGGAGAAAGGTTTTTGTATAGCCATTAAATTGTAACACGTAACACCCTTGGCCCCAGTTGTTCAAGGGGCAGATAACGCTATCCACCAGATATATCGCTATTCAGCGGATAAGTGCCAACAAAACGTACTGCGCTATCCAACGGATAGAGATTTATTGAACGGATAGCTTTATCCACCATTTGAACAACCAGAGGCTATAAGATATTTTTAAGTCATTTAGCTAGTTCCCAGTCGCTCACGACACCGCAGCCGTTGACGGGTAACTTCCAATTTATACAAAATTAACCAATCACATCATTGGAAACGAACAACTATCCTACGTAAATTCAACTGTGCCAGTCTTTGTTTAGATACCAAAAAAAGCACAGACGATCAGGAATTTTTGTAGAACTCGTACCTCGTCTCCTGTAATCTGATTGGTCGGTTTTTTTCTAGCGGCACTTATAGTAAATCTTTTTTCTTTTTGTCACAAATATCTACGTGTGATTTCGGTGTTTTTGTTTTAATTGTGATTGATTTCCATCTTTTACCGGTCCGGAAGGATTGCCCACTTGATTGGATTGTTTTTGGACGCTCGTGTTATCTCCTTTTCTACAACACTACCCCGAATTGTAGCGATGCACAGAGTATCTGTCAAACTCATGGGGCACACCTACCCATTCTTCATATCTACAGGAGATTTGTTCAGTTGTCTAAGATTAAATATACCCTAGTTTAAAGCTGAGTGTTGTGTGAATATGGACTATACTGCATTACTCAAATTCAACTTGCTATAAACTCACATTACTATGGTGAGAAACATGTTAACACCGTCTATTGTACCAGGTTGTAACAAATATTTTAACCTGAGTGTTCAAACGGCTGAAAGTAGGTAGTAAAAAATGTAGCTTTTTCTGTTTGCAGCCAGTTTTCAATATTTGACCTGCGTAACGTCATTAATGGCCTGTGCGTGATTTTTGATTTCGAAAATTATCCATTGATGGGATCATTTGACCCATCGGTGGAAATAACATTTTCCCTCCACTTCTTTTAATCATAATTATGGCAAAATTATTTGTTATCTAAATTAGCATATCATTCGAAGATAGTTTTTTTAGATCATTAGCTGTCACGTACCGCCCTTTGATGTTCATTGTTGTGATAATATTTTGGAAATGACATGATCTTATTTTTTGTCAACTTCTACTGACCAATAGGATTGCCCGCAGGGTTGGTTTCGTCATGAGAATTCATGCTACCTTATTCATAACACTCCTACTCCAAGATGGAACGATGCACTCACGTTTTGTCAAAATCACCAGGCACATCCGCCGATAATCAAATCTGCCGATGAGAACGACTTCATATTTCGCCTTGTAATGAGCCAACCAAACGGGAGAGATCGTAGTGCATGGATTGGACTGAGCAGAAAAATGGACGATAAGTTTTATTGGATGGACGATACTCCATTAGCGGGCCGGTTCTCAGCATGGGCACAGGGAGAACCAAACTACCTTCACGAAAAATGTGTTTTTATACTCGTGAAAAAAGATCGACAAAAAAATTGGCTCGACTCTACCTGTACTTATAACGGTACGCTTTGGATTTCAGCCCCAGTGGTTCTATGCCAAAAAAGAATTTATGACTGTTGGATTCCTCAGTAGTTCACCTCAGTTTATCTAATGTTCACGTGATGTTCCCGAGGTTTTAGTTTGTACGCTGCTATGAGTTATGCTGTCATCGTTTCAAAATTGTCTCTCTATGATTAAAGGTTTCTAAGTTTTTATTCAATTATTAATCAACCCTGTTCGTCGTTTGTCCACATTCGAAAGAGACATCATAGTTTAACATATTCTGTGTTCAGTGGAAACCTGCTTACATTTAGTTCGATTTAAAAGTTCAATTGCATGAACGGCATATCACATAATTGACAACACCCTTACATCAGGTTAAAAGTTTTTAATTGCATTGTCCTTTGCTTTCGAGTTTCTCGTTTATTGGGTGCATTTTGTTAACAGTCAAATATCTGTGTTTTTTTATGAAGATCTAGCGTTACTTAAAACAAAATAAACTCAGATATAAAATGCCTTATTTCAAACTCAAAATCTCCTCTTATTTCTTACTTTAAAGCGTGTCTCGTCGTATCTTTGTATTCATTTTTCTTCAACTGTTTTGTCAGTAGCAAATCTCAATTGAGTGAGATTTAGAAGAGTATTTTCGAGGGTTAAAATGAAACCTTTTAAGGACAAATGCCATTGTTTAATCACACTAAGTGGCACTTCTGTAAGTTTTTGTTTCTCCAGACTGTGCATGGATGCCCACCGTCTGCATCACTTATCATGCCACTGTGGAAGAAGAACTAATGGAAAACTTAAGTTTATGGCACCTGCATATTCACAAGACTCGCCAGCCAGCTGCATAAGCTCTACTCGTTCGTTTCTTAACTGTCTATCTCTTTCTGCTCGTTTCCTTGTTTTAAAACCAAAGCAATCGTAAGTTGAACTTAACGTAACAAAGAACAAGTTTACTACGCAGAGACCAAACATTTTGTGATTTTAGTGTTCTTTGTCCATGAGCAGTGCAGTAATTTGATGGCAGCTTTTCAACGCCTGCACCCTCGTGTTTGACATATTTGGTTGTGTTTTATTGAAAGTCAATTATCATTTTTTCAAATGCTAATATTTCAGCAAATAAACTGAAAATTTAGGCTCAGACACCTCTAATAAAGCATTCAATCTGTCACGTATAGTGAAGAAAAAAGACTCACTTTCTCTCCCCTTAACCTAAAGTCTCCATCAACACAGATAACGTTCTTTGGTTGCAGATGGCTCGGTGGAAAACCATACTTTTATTATTGTTAATTCAAACTCCATCAGTCTCCGTTACCGACGATAATTTCGACTCAACGCCATCTCGTTCCTCAGAATTCAGACAACGGGAGAATAAGCAGCTTCTGGGATACGCTTTTAAACGGTTTGACTCTACAAGTTTAATATCGTGCGGTCAGCAGTGTCTGAGAAACCAACGTTACTCTTCAACAAACTTCAAGTTGTCCTCCTCTAAGAACGACGGCGAAGGAACTTGTGAGCTGAACGACCACGATTTTTCCTTTGCTGAGGAAAATGTTAACTTTGTCCATCAGGAAGATGTAACGTTTTCCATGAAGGTAATTCAACTTTTAGTTTTCGTAAAGGTTAAGGCCAACGTTGATTAGTATTGTCTAACATTTTAATTAAAAAAATTCGCCTTGTTATATTCTTCAGATCCTCGAGAACTTGGACAACTAAAATTTTGCAGGTGTAAACTTTTCCAATTTTCCTGTGAGACACTTTGCAATTGGCGTTTGTTTATATAATCCGATGTATGTTATATATTCTATATTGTACATTATTGTTCACGTCAGGCCAAAGTCTCATTTTTACCAGGTAATTAAGGGGGTTTGCTAATTTGGGACTTCCATAGCGAGCAGCCGATTGATGTTTACACTCAGAAAGTTCGGATCTCTTTAAGTAACCAGATCACGTTTTCCTGTGTTTATGCTAATTTACATGAAATTTGAAACAAAAGTCCTTTTTAGGCTTTACTTAAGTTCTGAAAACGATTCTGATGTTCACATATAATAATTCATGCGAGCCGATTTGTTTTTGAAAGACAGTGCATGGATGCCCACGATCTGAATCACCTATTATTCCGCTGTGGAAGAAAAACTAATGGAAAACTCAAGTTTATGGCACCTGAAAAAATTCTGATGTTTGCAAGTCAGTTTCGGCCTTCGGATAATTAATGTGAGCCAGTTTGCTTCTGAAACTTACTAATATTGGTAATATATTACTACAAAACTGTTTTCCTGAAGCTGATTTATCAAAAGTAGATTTGTAACACGTAACGCCCTGGACCCCAGTTGTTCAAGGGACGGATAGCGCTATCCACCAGATATATCGCTATTCAGCGGATAAGTGCCAACGAAACGTACTGCGCTATACAACGGATAGAGATTTATTGAGCGGATAGCTTTATCCACCATTTGAACAACCAATGGCTAAAGGATATTTTTAAGTCATTTGGCTGGTTCCTAGTGGCTCACGACATCGCAGCCGTTGGCAGGTAACTTCGAATTTATACAGAATTAACCAATCACATCATTGGAAACGAACAACTATCCCACATAAATTCAACTGTGCCAGTCATTGTTTAGAGGCCAAAAAAAGCACAGACGATCAGGAATTTTTGTAAAGCTTGTAGCTCGTTTCCTGTAATCCGATTGGCGATTTTTTTGTAGTCGCACTTATAATAAATCTTTTTTCTTTATCGTCACAAATATCTACGTGTGATTTCGGTGTTTTTGTTTTAATTGTGATTGATTTCCATCTTTTACCGGTCCGAAAGGATTGCCCACTTGATTGGATTGTTTTTGGACGCTCGTGTTATCTACTTTTCTACACCCCTACCCCGAATTGGAGTGATGTACAGAGTAACTGTCAAACGCATGGGGTACACCTACCCATTCTTCACCTCAGTTTATCTAATGTTCCCGAGGTTAAAGTTTGTACGCTGCCATGAGTTATACTGTCATCGTTTCATAATGGCCTCTCGTATGAATAAAGATTTCTAAGCTTTTATCAGTTCAATCGTTTATCAATCTTGTTCGTCGTTTGTTGGCATTCGAAAGAGACATCACATTTTAACATATTCTGTGTTTAATGGAAACCTGCTTGCATTAAGTTCGATTTAAAAGTTCACTTGCATGAACGGCATATCACAAAATTGAGAACTCATCTATTTTAGGTAAAAATGTTGAAATATATAGCAAAGTTTATATTTAGATTAATCATGCTAAACAAATAAAAAAACTCTCATTACTGGAAGAGTATAATTATTATTTTTTGTTACCGCTGATGAAGCAGCTCAGGAAAATGACCTGCATTGACATGGGGATTGCGTAAGGGATTGGGTGGTTTTCATGCAATGATTGAGCCTGCACTCGTACATTAGGTAGAAAGCTTTTAATTGCATCGTCCTTCGCTTTCGAGTTCCTCGTTTATTGGGTGCATTTTATAAACCGTGAAATATCTGGGTTTTCTTTTTTTTTTTATAAAGATCTAGCTCTAGATATCCAAAGAAAATAAATAAACTCAGGTGTGGCTTGTCAAAGGAACAGTTTATTAGTCATGTGCCGAGAAAGAGGGAAAGAACACACTCACTTATCTGACGACGGCGCAGTTCGCTTGTGTTTTTGTTTCTCCAGACAATACATTGATGCCCACCGTCTGGATCACTTATCATGCCACTGTGAAAGAAGAACTAATAGAAAACTTAAGTTTATGGCACCTGCATATTCATAAGACTCGCCAGCTAGCTGCATAATAAGCGCTCACCGTTCGTGTCTTAATTATCTATCTCTTTCTGCTCGTTTCCTCGTTTTAAAACAAAAAAATAACGTAAGTTGACCTTGACGTCACAAAGAACAAGTTTACTACGCAAAGACCAAACGTTTGTGTTTTGAGCATTCTTTGTACGTGAGCAATATAGTAATTTGATGACAGCTTTTCAACATCTGCACCCTCGTGTTTGTCATAAAAGCTTTTAATTACATCGTCCTTCGCTTTCGAGTTCCTCTATTATTGGGTGCATTTTATAAACCGTGAAATATCTGGGTTTTCTTTTTTTTTATATAAAGATCTAGCTCTAGATACTTAAAGAAAAAATAAACTCGGGTGTGGCTTGTCAAAGGAATAGTTTATTTGTCATGTGCCGAGAAAGAGGGAAAGAACACACTCACTTATCTGACGACGGCGCAGTTCGCTTGTGTTTTTGTTTCTCCAGACAATACATTGATGCCCACCGTCTAAATCACTTATCATGCCACTGTGAAAGAAGAACTAATAGAAAACTTAAGTTTATGGCACCTGCATATTCATAAGACTCGCCAGCTAGCTGCATAATAAGCGCTCACCGTTCGTGTCTTAATTATCTATCTCTTTCTGCTCGTTTCCTCGTTTTAAAACAAAAAAATAGCGTAAGTTGAACTTAACGTCACAAAGAACAAGTTTTCTACGCAAGGACCAAACGTTTGTGTTTTGAGCGTCTTTGTACGTGAGCAATATAGTAATTTGATGGCAGCTTTTCAACATCTGCACCCTCGTGTTTGTCATGTTTGATTGTGTTTCACTGAAAGTCAATTTTAAGTTTTTTCAAATGCTAATATTTCAGCAAATAAACTTAAAATTTAGGCTCAGACACCTCTAATAAAGCATTCAATCTGTCACATATCGTGAAGAAGAAAGAATCACTTTCTCTCCCCTGTAACCTAAAGTCTCCATCAACACAGATAACGTTCTTTGGTTGCAGATGGCTCGGTGGAAAACCATACTTTTATTATTGTTAATTCAAACTCCATCAGTTTCCGCTACCAACGATAATTTCGACTCAACGCCATCTCGTTCCTCACAATTCAGACAATGGGAGAATAAGCAGCTTCTGGGATACGCTTTCAAACGGTTTGACTCTACAAGTTTAATATCGTGCGGTCAGCAGTGTCTGAGAAACCAACGTTGCTCTTCAACAAACTTCAAGTGGTCCTCCTCTAAGGAGGACGGCGATGGAACTTGTGAGCTGAACGACCACGAGTTTTCCTTTATTGAGGAAAATGTTAACTTTGTCCATCAGGAAGATGTAACGTTTTCCATGAAGGTAATTCAACTTTTAGTTTGCGTAAAGGTTAAGGCGAACGTTGATCAGTATTGTCTAATATTTTAAATTAAAAAATTCCCCTTGTTATATTCTTCATATCATCGAGAACTTGGACAACTAAAATTTTGCTATATAAAATTACAAATGGGTCTCGGGTTTGATCTTGTCATTTCTATTAACAACTACAAAACAGTTTTCCTGAAATTGATTTATCAAAAGTAGATTTGTAACACGTAACGCCCTGGGCCCCAGTTGTTCAAGGGGCGGATAACGCTATCCACCAGATATATCGCTATTCAGCGGATAAGTGCCAACAAAACGTACTGCGCTATACAACAGATAGAGATTTATTGAGCGGATAGCTTTATCACCATTTGAACAATCAGAGGCTAAAGGATATTTTTAAGTCATTTAGCTAGTTCCCAGTCGCTCACAACACCGCAGTCGTTGGCGGGTAACTTCCAATTTATACAGAATTAACCAATCACATCATTGGAAACGAACAACTATCCCACATAAATTCAACTGTGCCAGTCATTGTTTAGAGGCCAAAACGAGCACAGATGATAAGGAATTTTTGTAGAACTCATACCTCGTTTCCTGTAATCTGATTGGTCGGTTTTTTTGTAATGGCACTTACAATGATTCTTTTGTCTTTATCGTCACAGATATCTACGTGTGATTGTATTTTTTTTGTTTCAATTGTAATTGGTTTCCATCTTTTATAGGTTCGAAAGGTCTGCCCACTTGATTGGATTGTTTTTGGACGCTCATGTTATCTCCTTTTCGACACCCCTACCCCGAATTGGAGCGATGCCCATAGTATCTGTCAGACTCATGGGGCACACCTACCCATTATCAGATCTTCCGATGAAAACAACTTTATGTTCCGTCTAGCTCTGAGCCAGCCAAACGGTAAAGTCAGCGGTACATGGCTTGGACTTACTCGGAGGAAACCTAAAGGTACCTTCTACTGGGTTGACGATACACCTTTGGCGGGGCAGTTCTCTGCGTGGGCAGCTGGGGAACCGAATAATAGAGGAAACGAAGAGGACTGTGCATACATAACTTCTCAAGGAGGTGGACAGGGAAAGTGGAATGACTGTGGATGTACGTGTGCATACCTTGCTCCACACGGGCCTGTGGTTCTTTGTCAGAAGGAAGTCAAGTGAGGGGTCAGTTCCTTGGGTGTTTCGACTTGATGCAAGAATTTGTTTTTCAGCAGCAACTACGATGTGTTCGATAGAGTGAAGATAATCAAAAGAAAAGGAAATATTAAGATTTTTCATCCTTGATCCCTGCATTTGACTCCTTTGTGAGCCCTAGAGCGTAGGATTAGGCCCTAAAAACAGGATCAATTAATTTTAAATGGGCGATGATTCTTGTTCTTTTTCGAATTTTTTATCTGTAGGTTTAATTTTTATGCTTTTTACACTTTCTTTAACAGTAAAAACACCCTTTCGGTGCTCGCAATCTCCCCTTGAAAACAAACGGTACGGAATTTGTAGCTCATGGGTGAAATTCTACTATTTTAGCATTAGACTGCAGCTGTTTTGCATTTATTTCCTTGGATACACTTTCGGAGTATGATAAACTGATTACTCATAGGAACTCAAAGTATCTTTCCAATCAGATAACCAAAGGATTTTTTGGATTCAGCCAAGTTTAGCCCTTTTGTATGCCTTATATTGCAAGAAGAAGATGAATCACTTATATCCAGAAATGCGCGCAGTAAATAAACGGCAGATTTGACGAAATTTCGTTAAAAGTAAATGAATCTTCATTGATTTGACGATTTTGGCGAATTTTGGTCAAAAGCAAAGTCAGCTTGGCGGAATTTACGATTTTGACGAGTTTTTCGCCATTTTCGTTACTGCACGCATTTTTGGACATATCTCATGAATCTTCATTCATATTCCCCTTTTTATGCAGGTGCCTCTGTAGATAAGAACGTTCGGTTGTCTTAAATTTAATATTTCCCGCTTCTAAGCTATCTTTTTAACTTACTTCAGTGGTAAAAGCTTTTGTGATAATAGAACATAGAACTTGCAAAGACTTAAGCGTTGAGTTTTTCACGTTCTTTGTCCATGACAACTGCAGTGATTTGAGGGCATCTTACCAACATTTCACCTCAGCACGGGTCATATATATTTGGTTGGGTTTTGCTAAAAGGTAATTATTATTTTTGACATTGTTTGAACAAAGAAAATGAAACTTAAGGTTCAGGTGTAAAAACATCCCATTTGTCACATGACGTTGAGATCAGGTTTCTGAAAAAAGACCACTCTTCTTTCTTTGTAGCCTGAAATCTCCATCTACACAGGGAACTCACTTTAGTTGCAAATGGCTTGGAGTAAAATAATATTACTATTATTGTTCGTTCAAACTCTATCAGATTTTGTTATCCAGTTAGGTAAATATGACTCAATGTTTTCTCGTTCATTACGGTTTCAACATTGGGAGAACAAGCAGCTTTTGGGGTATGCTTTCAAATCAGGGTTTGTCTCTTCAAGTTTGCTATCTTGCAGTCAGCAATGCCTAAGAAATCAATGGTGTTCTTCCACAAGCTTTAAGTCGTCTTCCTCTAAGACAGATGACGAAGGAACTCGTGAACTGAACAAGCACGTTGTCTTTGTTGTAAACAAAAACAACAACTTTGATGACCGGGACGGAATTTACCTTTTCAATGCTTCTACTGGGAATTTCAGTGCTGCATAATGATATTTGAACTTAGCTCTGCATATCGTTCGCTGTTTTAAATTATTAAAATATGTTGTAGTGTTGTACCTTTTTGATAACGTTTGTTTAGAACTAGCTTGGACAAGAAAATTTCAAATACTCTCCAGCCCCGAGAAATTGAACGGTTTGAATTGTGCCGCGAGAGAGAATGTTCGCGGTCATTTTGCCTTTATTTCACTTATTAAACATTACCTGAAAATGATTATTTTTTCACAAGGAGTGAAGTTAACTTTTCAAACAGGAAGTCAAAGGATTTTGCTCATTTAGCCTAGTTTACTCCTTTGTTTGGCTGATTTTGTAAGTGGCAGGTGACTCCACTAATATTCCACAAATGCAGGTGGTTTTATTGAGAAGAAGCTTCGGTTCTTTTTGAATTGACGTTTCTTCCTTTTAAGTTTTGTGATGCAAATTTCGACACGACGTGTTTTTATCTTCAATTACTTTGGTGGTAAAAGTGATTCAGGGGTTTGATAACATGTACTTCTTGAGTTTAAAAGCTAAAAATTGGTTGATTTTGCACGTGAGTCCTTCAAGGATCTTCGAAAACATTATTCATTACGTTTAGGTTTTCAGGTTAAAATTTTGATACAATTCCCCTTCCCAATCCCCTTCGCTTTTTTTCCACAGCGTAGCAAACAACGGCAAAAAAGAAATTGTAACAACACCCAGACTCAAATATTTTGCTGGTTATTGTAATCATTAATTTAATCTATAAATCGATTTGTTTGGAAACGAATAAGGAAAACTGGGTCGAGTTAAACTTGCTCCCAGTTGTCATGCGTAGGGTATGTCGAGACTCTTGCGACTGCACTTTGCATGTAAAAAGCAAGAGAAGAATGGGGTTATGTACATAAAGTCCGAGCTTAAGGGTACTCCTTCATCGAAAGCTTATCAAACAAAAATCTTAGATTCATTTACTTAACAGTCCTGGCCCCGGTTGTTTAAAAGATGGTTACTGTTGACCAGTATATCATTTACCACACCAGTTAAAAAAAAAAAAAAAAAAAACTGTAAAGTACATTTGACTAGCCAGCTGCGTTAGCGGAGGCAATATGTACTTACATGTAAATCTCTTTGTCTGTAACAAGTGCGAAAATGTAGATCGCTTTTACCGATAGTTAATATTCATTAATTTTTTTTTTCGGCAATTCGCCGACGGTAAGTCGCTTTAGTTACGGTTACGCAATATATTTTTAAAATTCTTCTTGTGCTTGACATGGCATGAGCAAAGAAAATGGAAATGAAAGCTTATTTAAGTACTTCTCTAAAGAAAAAAATCAGCCATATAGCAAAAAAAGAAACAGATTCCAAAGGAACCTGATATCTCCTCTACAGTTTCACTTAGAAAACTCGCTCCAGTTGCGAATGGCTCGGACAGAAACAATACTTCTATTAAGATTACTTCAAACTCCAGAAAGCTCCTCTGTCTCGAATGACAACGATATCTCCATTTCATCTCGTTCCTCTCTAACTAAAGCGTGGGATAAACTGCAGCTTGTGGGATTCTACCGGTTTAATTCTGCAAGTTTGGTATCGTGCAGTCAGCAATGTCTAAGAAATCAATGGTGTACCTCTACAAACCACAAGTTGCCATCTAAGAAAGACGGAAAAGGAAATTGTGAGCTGAACAAGCACGAAATTTCCATTGCTAAGGAAAATATCAACTTTGTTCACCAGGAAAATGTTCCTTTTTCAGTGCTATTGAGGGCAATTCCTGTTTCACTTTGCCAAACGGTAAGGTCAGCGGAACATGACTTGGACTTACTCAGAGAAGTTCTGATCGTGAATACTACTGGGTCGACGGAACGCCTTTAGCGGGGTATTTCTCTGTTTGGGCGCAAGGATAATCAAACAATTTTCATAGCGAAGAGGAATGTGTAAACATATCTTTTGAAGGAAGTGAACAAAGAAATGGAATAACTGTTAATGTACATGTTGGTTGCCTGGTTTGGACGGCCTTGTGGTTCTTGTCAAAAGGAAGTTATGTAAAGGGTCATTGCCTTTGGAACGCTGACCCAAGGGAATATTTACTATTTATCGCCACACGAGGGGGAGAGAGGATTTTGGTGGTAGGATGACATAGTTTTAGGGGGGGTAGTCGTCGCCAACACAGTATGAAGAGGGGAACAAAAGATATAAATTGACTACCAATCAATTGCCCATGATAGGAGGAGGGGGGGGGGCACAACTAAAATCCTCCTCCCCCGACCCCTTTCCCCCGGCGACAGATAAAGACTGGTCCTTAGTGCTAGAGTTGTAATGTTTAAGCTGCTACTAAGATGTTTTCGATAGAGTGAAATTTGAGCAAAATCTAGGTTGATGAACCAAAGAAAATATAAAATGTTAAGGTCCTCAAACCTTTTAGCCCTGGTTTTGATTGGCTTATGAGCCTCAGTGCTCAAGAGAGGAGTTCGGCGAGGAATTTGAGAAGAGGAAGTGTGCAACCATGCTAAATTTTGTTATCATTGAAAATGAAATAAATTCTACCGTTGAGTTATTTTTTCATTTATAATAAGTAATTATTGAATGAATTTAAGCATAATATTTAAAAATTACTCACCTCACTGTCCGTGGCTAGGGCCAAGGTAAGGTAAGTGATGTATTCTAAAGTGTTTTTGTGAACGTGGATACCACCAGCTGACAAGCGGCGAGGTACATATCTACCATATGCCACTGACACTAAGATGAAAAATTGTTTAGTACGTACAAAAAAAGTGCGATAGAAGATTAATTTTATTAATCATTTATTCCGCAACGATTACCACACTTTCGGGTGCAAATCCCGCGCGACAGGCTCGAAGGTGAATAGCAAATGATATTCGGAGTTTGAGTAGCCAATCAGAGCGCGCCTTCAACGCTATTCACTGTGGCAGTATATTCTAACATGAATTATCAAAACCAAGATGTGAGTTATCTGCCTTAGCCTTCGGTATCGACAGATTCTACAGACGTGAAGTTTGATAATCCATGATATCGTGCGAAAATCTAACTCAATAACTGTTTAATTATACATTTTTAGAACAATCTGCAAAAGAGGGCACTTTTCTCCAAGTATGATAAAGTTTGAGAACAATACACGGACGATAGACTTGGCAACTACAGGACTTTGAATGCAAAATCCACCGCTGATATTGCACTTGTCATGTCAATTTCGAACGCTATTGTGTATCGATTGAATACTCTCGACCAATCATGATTTCATATTGATTTTAATGTATAACGATTAAGCTCAGCAGGAACCGAGCATTACTCTATTCGATCTAGGTAAATAAAAAGATCGCAGATTAACAGTGTACCACGGCACTATAGAGATTTCGGAACAAAAAAGCTGCCACTTTTAATTTCTTTTGATCATAATAGATTCAATTTCTTTGCGCTGTATTCTCCATTCAATTTTTGACAACAACGTTTATAATAAAAACATTTTATCTTAAACCGACTTAAAGCCTGATTGATGATGCGATTTTTGTCGCATGGAATAATCTTGACCATCTCTGATACAGAAAAAAATAAACCAGGCGGGGAAAACCTCTATGAAGACAGGTGTTCTGTCTTCACTTTTTTCTAAATGATTCCTGTTTTCATCAAAAAGATTAAGTGCTTCTCGATATTGGACCTTTACAAGAAACATAACTAAATAATGAACAAAAACCTCTTGATTATCGCCCTTACGATGGTTAAGACTGTTTTAGTCCTTAATTATGAAGTACACTAAATTTTTTATGTCAGTTCTGCTTCGAGTTATTTTGGCTGATAAATTGAAATTCTCCATCGAGAACTACACAACATCTTCCCGTTCGTCCTATTTTACAACCCTGAAAGATACAGAGCTTATCGGACACGTAGTTGATCATTTTGATTCTCCCAGTTTGTTATCGTGCGGCCAACACTGTCAGAACACTGCCTGGTGTACTTCCACAAACTTCAAATTGTCCTCTTTGAAGAACGGAAAAGGAACTTGTGAACTGAACAAACATGATTTCTCGGTCAACAGCGAAAACAGCAACCTCCGAAACCAGCTGGGAGTCACCTTTTCGCACTTACTTAAGGTAATAAAATCAGAATAATAAGGATAGCCAGTGTAATATAGCTTGAGAGAACTGTTTGGGCTTGTAATTTACAAGAGTTTTACGTAAGCAATGGGTCTTACGTATTCTCTATAAGCCTGTTTTTTTTTTCGTTAAATAAATGTCTTTCCACAACTTGGTTTGACCCTATTGACACTGTTTACAAAAGTAAATGTTCAGATAACAGATTCAGCTTAGTTCAAGAAGGCTTACGACGCAGCTTTGTTAAATAATGGCTAAACTTTGTTCGAATTACCGGGCCTTACTGTCTTAAGAAAGGTATCCGTCTTTTTATGTTGCATCGATAAGCCAGAAAAAATCATTACAGTCATGATGATATCTATCGTCAGCCTTGCTATAGACTTGCAACCGTAAAATGGCCTCAAATTCTCCTTTGAAATTATTTCAAGCTCTTTGCCAAAAGCATTACATCTCAACATCTTGCGTGCCGAATGAATTGATTGAGCAAATGGAACATCTTGCACAAGGTTCTAAATCTTAACTCAAGATTCTGTCTTATCCGATTACAACCGAACCAGGTACGGTAGTTTATAGTGTAATACGACTGGAGATTGTATATAACGAGGCTCTCGCATTTCCATTTTATCATAATTATTTGGAAGACATCTGCATTTTTTTTGCTTTTAAAGCGGCCATTGTCGAGCGCGAAAAATTTTATTTGGTACGGCACACGAGGGTACAACCACTTTACCTTCCTTAAATGGGTTTGTTTCACCTGTGGGAGGCTTTAAGTTCATCATTCATCATCAGTAAACCAGAATAATATTATATTGGACGGCTAGGAAGCAACTACTAAAAGCCCCCAAAAATTTATTAAAAACAAATGTTGCTTATCCTCGTTTGGTGGAGTCAATGTCCATTTAATCCTACTTTTGGGCATAATTCGGGTTTGGGAAAATATTTTACACGCATAACATATATGTCAGTTTCATGTGTTCTTTGGGTCAAACTATCGCGTTCATCAAGCCGATAATATCTCTGGTTGAAACTGCTATGACGGCTTAATGAATGGGAGAAAATATTTCAGAAATTTAAATCTGTTAATTTTGCAATTTTTCCTTCACATCAAACGACATGCATCAACAAATTTATAGTGGCCATGAGTTGCAGTTTATTATCAGACTACTTTACAATCTAGAGACTCCTTACATTAAACTTTGAATTGAAGGTTACTACCATCCTTAAAGTGCTTACAACTCTTGCTTCTAACCTGTTTCATAGGGCTGTTTGGTTACCGGCTGTATGAATGACGGTTCATGTTTATCAGACATGAAGAAAAACACGTTCACATGCTCTTGCAAAATACCTTGGATCGGAGACAGATGTGAAATTATGCTTCCCGCAGCCAATGGATATGAGTTTTCAGGTAGGGCGTATCTCCATGAGCTCATGTTTGAATTTTTGACAAAAAGTGCTGAAAATAAGCCTGAATGAGGCTTGCCCATGCTGGTCTGCGCAGACGAGATTTGCTTTGAGAATGACCCGGCCCAGCCTTTTTGACGAGAAATTGCCTAAACACAAAGGCTATACTGAAAAATCAACTGAAAAAAGAGTCCAAAAAGGAATACTTTCAAACGTACGACAAAAAATGGGTTGCCTTTCGAGGTGATTCAACCTGAGATTAGAAAGCTTCCCGAGGTTGTGTGAAAAGGTCAGTGGTTAATGGCTTTTGAGGTGAAATTCTGGTCATTTTGTTGCTTCATGTATTTGAAAATGCAACAAATTTGTCTTCCTCATCAACCTCACTGTAACCTCAAAGTAGTTCGATACCTTTCGGGAAGCGTGGAATTAGCAAGATTTATCAGTAATCATAGATTCTCGGTTAAATCCTTACGACCTCAAGAATCATTTTACTCCAAAAAATGAGCAGACAGAAACTATCGTTAATTCATTTCCTTTCATGAATGCTCGTATTTTGACTGTTTGAAGCATTTATTAGCCCTGGGGCGTTCAAATCGGAATCTCTTTATAAAGGAGTGAATCGAAGTCGTTACTGAGAATCTCATTTTTTTGTCGAACAGGCAATTGTCCCGAAGGTTCCGGAGCCGTTTTTGAAAGCTCGTGTTTTTTCATAATCGATATTCCAACTGCTTCTTGGAACTATGCTCGTTGGACTTGCGAAAATTATGGAGCAGACCTGGCCGTCATAAAATCCGTGAACGAGAATAACATCATCCTAAACCTGGTAACGAATCAGCCAACAGTACAAGCGTTAGGCGTGTGGATTGGACTGCAACGAAATTTTTTTCAAGACTACGCGTTCTACTGGGTCGATGATACTCCGTTGGAATACTCTGCATGAGCCGGGTCACAGCCGAGCAGTACCCGAGAAGAGTGCGTTCACACCGTCACTGAAGGGCAGGAAAATGGAAAGTGGAATGACAATTATTGTGTTTTGAACGGGAGGGTGTCAACGAAGAATTTTCCTTTCATTCTTTGCCAAAAAAGTATTTAATTAAGGCTAACTCGTAAGTGGCTGTTTCTCTTGCAGTCACTTAATTTTGATATACAGACCCCAGCTACTTTCATTTTGAAAGAAATCATTTCATTTATGTTTGAAAAAAACCCTAACTGTAATAGTAAAACTAAAATACCTACGAACTTAGAATAGAATTAGTTATATCATCATGCAGCCACATACCTTTGTCCGTCAAATAAACGGTCATGAAAAAAAACATAAGAAAATGGAGAATTTTGTCCACTAAATCTTTATTCATGTAATATGGACATAATGTTCTCCTCGGAAGATCATCTCATGAATGCCTCAAGCTGCCATCTTGGAAAAGATCCTCAGCAAAGCCTGCGAATCTCAACTTCCCTGCTTTTGCGTTCGACGTGAGGACGTTGTTTATTGCAAATCATCCCATAGACTCCTGTCAAAAGAATTCATAACTTCGTTTTCCAATACGAAAGCGATCTTCGCAGTACTTGAGCAGTGGTGCAAATAAGGCCTGAAAAAAATTCAGGCCTGTACGGGATTTGAACCCATGACTTCTGCGATACTGGTGAAGCGCTCCACCAACTGAGCTAACAAGCTAACTGGGAGCTAGTCATTATGCTGGTTCCAAATAGATCCGTGAAGTGGTTGATAAAGACGTGAATATGAAAGCGATCTTCGTAATAATAATATAACTTTCATATATTCACAGTCGTGCATATTCCAATTTGGCACGGGTCAATAATACGGTTTAAAAATCTTTCGTCACGAATTAGGGAAAACGTTGGTTATAACAAGTGTGCGCGACACGAAAAACACGTTCTTTATTTAAATCTCCTAAATTCAATTCGCTTTAATTGCATCATCTGAATTAAAATGGTTTTTCCGTCGTTCGTCGGTTACCTTTGCCATGTCTTCTTATAAATAGCCCTTAGTCCCTTGTGTTTGGATTCTGAGAATTGCATCAATTTACAAAGTAAGAGGGTGTTATCAAAAATATAACGTCGCCCTACTCTTCGTATCGACAATGATATCCGAAGATTACCGAAAATAGGCGAAAGACTTCGGCTCTAGTTACGAGGCAGCCGATCGCGGTGACGAAACACTTTTATTATCACAGGGTCGAGATGCGACGAGGCAACATGTAATAACATTTGAATATCTTCTGGCTGGGGTATGTTTGTTTAGTCTATTTCTAATGGAGTGTAAAAGCGTCCTATTACTTTTCGTTTTTCAAAGAATTACTGCTTTTTCAACCGAAGAAAAATACATATCAGCTTCTCATTCATCATATTTTGAAACGCACGGAAACAAGCAGCTTTTGGGATATGTTGTCAAAAGGTTTGATTCTCCCAGTTTGTTATCGTGCGGTCATGAATGTCTGCGAAATTCGTGGTGTACCTCCACAAACTTCAGGTTAGGTTCTTCCATGGAGGAAGACGAAGGGATTTGTGAATTGAACAAGCATAACATCTCTGTGATTAACGACGACACCCACTTTGCTGAACAGGAGGGAATAACTTTCTCAATTCTACTAAAGGTAATGAAATGTATGTTGTTATCGTCCATATCACATATGCAAACAAGTCATAACCATATGAGAGTGAAATGTCTTTGGGCAAAATTGTCATTTCTAGAATCATTCGAACAATCAGTGATTGTGCCTTCCATTTTTGCTGCGGGATTTCTCCATGTTTCTTTTGGATTGTTTCATTCATTTGCATCCGAAAGAATTAAATTTAATTAACAACGAGGTGTTATTTTGCCAATACTTTAAGAAGTAAACAGTTTTTTGGGAAGCAAACAGGTTTTTTTGGAAAGTATGGATGGAAATCTGCTCAAAATCTGACATCAAGAATGGGTGAAATTTTTTCGGATCTTTGCTTATTTCAAGTTTTTTTTCTCGGTCTTTTAAAGACCATTATACTTCTACTGTCCCTAATTTTGCTAAATTTCAATGCAACCTTTTTGAAGTAATATCTACCAATGTCTTCCTAAAATAGACCAGTTCATTATCACCTTTTTCGCATCGTCTAACAAGTTCTTCTAAGTAGAATCATATACACTTCATTATTGTAATAATTCCATTAAGTCTTTTAAGATTGGAAATACAACATAAAGCTTGGGTTTGAAAAACTTCGAACCCAAACATTTGTTATCTATGATTCTTTTTGAAATTGAAAGAACTATGTCTCCTGAGGATTTTAGCAAAAATTTGATCTCTCAGCAATAAAAAGGCTTCAGGATTTTAGCGCACGGTTCTCTTGTTTACCTCCTAATGCAAATTTCTCGCGAATGTGTTAAAAGTAATAATTTTCTTCTAAATTTCTAGCTTAATATTTGGTTCTTTGAATCAAAAATTACCTTTTGTGGAGTGTATATAACATTTTACGATGATTCAGCTGCTTAAAAATCAAATCGCGAATGAAAAGTCACCAGACCATGATTTTAACTCAAAATCAGTTTTATCACAACGGATTTTTTTTACACAACTTTTTATTGTGGTTATTTTTCGTTGACAGGGATGTCTTATTGAAATTTGCCTCAACGGTGGTTCTTGCTTGCCTAACGAGAACAAAAAAACTTTTTCATGCTTTTGCGAAAAACATTGGACAGGAGACAGATGTGAAATTAAGACAGGTAGCATTTATCTATTTCTTGCTCGTAACGTTTAATTTGGAAAAAGGAATAATAAATTTGATAGAGGTGTGAATCGTTGCATTGCAAAAATTACCAGCGATTGTGAACTTATAAGCTAATATTTTGCTGATTTAGGTTTCTTCAGCTGGCAATATCTAGTGCTGTAGTTTTACTTCATTTGAAAACCCACGCGTACTTTAATATCTCGGCGTGTTTTTTTCTTTCGTCCATTTAGCTGCCTTATGGAACTCGTCTTGCAAGGGAATCTATAACAAGAATTTGTAAGTCTATGACTTTACTTAAATTGTCTTATACTTTCAATTGTTAAAAAAAATTTTATCACTGTAATCAGATGTTGATGGATTTAACACTTCTGTGAACATCAGAGACACTGAAAATACCTAAAGAAAAAGGGTTAATTAGCTAAATTGTTTCAAATTGTAAAATAAAGGGGGTAAATTTCTGAACAAAATGTAGTGTTGCGTCGATGGGGGTTGGGGGTTGGGGAAGGGAATTACGAAGTAGTTCGGTTCTTTAAACTGAGTCGATAATTTCTTCATACAAAGGGCTAACGCTTAAAAGGTCAGTTTAGAAACTCTGTGCCCTATTCACAATGTCAACTCAGTTGATTAAAACAAATTCTTCGACTTATGGAACTGACCGTAGGTTTGCTAGTATATCGAAGGTTTTATCACTTGCGCTTTATTCTATCAGGGGCATACAAAACAAAGCCTATTTATTGCAAATTGGTAATCAGAGCATTTGGGTGTACTGTCACATGAAAGGGCTTGGCAGATGCGATGGAAATGGTTGGACGCTGGTCATGAAAATGAATGGCTCAAAGGTATACACAGCTTTCATTTTAAAAGGCAAGAAACTTATGCAAGCGATGTTACAGAAAATTAAGACATACCCTGCCTATAAAATGCACAGGGAATAAAAATGCTGCATGCAAAATAGAAAAGACTGAATTTCAAGTTTATCAGTAATCTTCTCGCATCCTCCCATTGATATGTGCCTCTGGGATCTGTATTCCAGTAGAGATTTCCTGAATTGCATTTCCCTCGACCTAGACGCGTAACCTAACGGAAGATACCCAAGCTAACACTGGCAACAGTCTGATGACATTTGCCTAGTGATATTCCGGCTAGTTTAAAACCTTTTCTCATGATGCTAACGATGACCGTATTCTTTAGCAAAAGTTGAGTGTATTTTGATGATGTTTAAAGAGACGCGAGGAGACTTAAGTTGTTTGTTCACAAACTCGCTCTCAATAGTTTACACCTGTTTGCGACTGAAAGCTGTTTTTAAACCTTTTGCTCCGCTCACTGTATAAAAAATAATATATGATAATTACATAAACTTCCATTTGGCCTGGAAATAAGCTGGAAATTTGTCCTTGGATATCATCTGTTCCTCTAAGCTCGCAATTTTTTTCTCTAGCTTTGCTATTGGTTAACTGTTCACTTCTCGGAACAGATTATATTTACGGGCGAATAAATCCGTGCTTATTTGGGCGCCAAATGGAAAGCTATCCTTATACGAAATTTAGTGAGAATTATGTTTGTACTGATACCCAGAGGACGTTCCATTACGATTCCAACCTGTGGATCAACAAGGATACCCTTAATCTTGAAGGAGGGAAGTCTGGGTTCGACTTACAAGAGACCAAATTACCGACTTATTGGAACACACCATTCACCAAAATCTGTCTTGGTATGAAGATCGACGGTCACATTAGGTACGTAGCCATTGAGAGGCAGGCGAAGTCTCTCTACTCACTGATCGCTGATGGCGAATACCGTGCAACCTCATTGGGTCGTGACACGTGGAAGTGGCTGATTGGTTCTAAGGTTTCATTGCAGCCCAATTGCAACAAAGAAGGATTTAATGTAAAACAAACGTCTGAAAACAGGGATAACCTGATTTGGCCCAAAGCAAGGATTGGAATTCTGGGTAACGGCCAAAATAGCTGCGCTACCTGTGATTCTAGAATTGGGTTTGGTTCTGGAGGACATGGCGACGATAATAACACATGTGGCAACGAAGCTGCCAGAAATAACGGTGACACGCATATCAAAGCGATGGGATATATCTTGGTCCAATGAAATCATAGTTCGTATTGTTTACAGGAAGGTACTGTGCGTATTTTTGGACATGAGCATGCACAACATTCAATAGCACTTCAATCACTTTGATCTAACAAACCGATATAACCTTCATACCCAGTCATCATATCTGAACACAAACAGCAACAAACGTACACGTTAAGGAAGCTCTCAAAACATAAATCAGAACACCGTTGTTCTCAGCTTCGATTTAAGCCAGCAAAAAGGCATTCACTGTTAGTGCTGCAGGAAAAAGCGTTTCTCCACCTGCGGGAAAATTGAGATGAGTCAAATAGAAGTCTGCCGGGGGTCTAGCACCTAGTTACCTATAGCCTACTAACTCTACTGTTTGAAGAGGGATTGGGAGGGCGACAGAATTTTTATTAATACTCCTGGTCAGTTTCATCTGCGGCATGCACAGTGACGCTGATATCCCATGTGAATTTCACTTTGTGTCAAAAGTTCTACGTGTACGGTAGGAACACCTTCTTTCAAAAAAAAACCAAGGGATTATTTCATAGAGGTGCCTAAAACGGCAAATTATGCATCTATTTAACACTTTCATCAATAGCTAAGTACCAGAAAGTTCCTTCAGCATTTTGCAATTTTTGACTTTGTTCTGTCAAATAAAAATGGTGACGTACGGCAAGTGTTATTACAAAGTACGACAAGTATTATTACAGTGTGACAAGTGTTATTGCAAAGTGTGACAAGTGTTATTGCAAAGTATGACAAGTGTTATTGCAAAGTGTGACAAGTGTTATTGCAAAGTGTGAAAAGGGTTATTACGACGTACGACAAGTGTTATTACAAAGTAAGACGTGTTGTTGAAAAGTACGATAAGTGTTGCTACCAAGTCGGACAAGTGTTGTTACAAACTGCGCCAAGTGTTATCACAAAGAGGGAGAAGTGTTTTCTGACAAAAAACGCAGCAGGTGTCATTATGAGGTACGACAAGTGGTACTCCACAGGGTGACAAGTATTATCACAAAGTGTGACAACTGTTCTACAGATTGCGATAAGTGTCATAAGAAAGTGTGACAATTTTCGAAGAGAGCACAACGACTGTTTAGAACAGACTTTAAAAATCGTATATTTAGCCATTGTAGCCGAATTCTTGGAAAATTATACAGGAGGGGATCGGTCGGGGGATCGGGGTAGCAGCGACGGAGGGAGGAGGGGGAAGGGATGCACAACACAAAAGAGGTTTCAATTTCAGGTAGACTATATGACAGGTAAGGATTTCAAATGTTCCGCTACAGAAAGAACCATACCAACCAAAACAAATTCACACAACAACGAAAATCCCGACTCCAGCCAACTTATCCACGAGTTTAAGCCATAGGGTAAATACAATGCTTTTTTTTCTCCAACTTTTCACCGCAAATGTCAAACTTTATTGAAATGCGGCTTTATTCGCTGTTTTAACCATTTCTTGCATTTTAGTGTAAACGCAAATATTTGAAAAAAATGGAGCTTTTAAAAAAAGCTTACGTAACTGTGTGATCACGTTCGTATCGCCGATGATCTTTGTAGCAATAGTGTCGATTGGAAATATCTTATTCATTCTGCTCTTTGGACGAAAAGCTTCATTTATTGATTTATTTTATTTTTTCAATATTATCTCTTTTTTTTATGATGAGGCGATGATGGAGCCATGCAGTTTTATCTGCAAACCCTTATAAGTAGAATAAACAGAACCACGGCACCACGGAAAAAATTGGAGCTTTTAATAAAAAAGCTTACGTAACTGCGTGATCACGTTGATATTGCTCTGTTTTTAACGTCGGTGATCTTTGAAGCAATAATGTCGAGAGGAAAAAATCTTCATTCTGCTCTATAGACGAAAAGCTTAATTTATTGGTTTATTCTCTTTTTTTAATATTATCTCTTTTTTTTGTGATGTGGCGATGATGAAGCCATATAGTCTTATCTGCAAACTCTTATAAGTAGAATAAACAAAAACGACAGCATCGCTGTACGTGCCTGAAAACGACAGCTGCACGAAGATTACCGATCATTGCCGAGCCGCCACCCGCATTATCAACACGTACATTATTCATAGATTTTCATGACTAGTCCGAGCAAAGGCCTTCCGAAAACTCTTTTACTCGAAGTTCTAATATCGGCTGCGATGCGCAGCGGCAAAGTATTGCACCTTTTCTTTCTGTTCCACTCAAGCACCGTTTTCTTCTCCGAGGGAAATTCGGAATCGGATCCTCGTTCATCATATTTCAAAACCCTGAGGAATAAGCAGCTGTTGGGTTATGCTGTCAAAAGATTCAGTTCTCCCAGTTTGCTGTCTTGTGGTCAGCGATGTTTGATGGCGTCGTGGTGTACCTCCACAAACTTCAGGTTGTTTTCCGAGAAGGATGGCAGAGGAACTTGTGAACTGAACTCACACAACATCTCAGTTTCCAACGAAAATATCAACGTTGAGGACCGGGAGCAAGTTACTTTTTCACTACGCCTTAAGGTGATTTACTTGTAGTATCTCAATTTAAAAAAGAATTATACAATATACTTCTTCTTTCGCTGATCGAGTTTACCCCATTTAATTTTCAACTTGCATAAAACCGAAAAAAGGCAACCATGGTTGAAAACCGATAACTTTAATGATTCTTATCGCCTTTTCAGTCTTTAGGGTAAAATCGCAATTTCCTGATTAAAGAGATTATTGCCTTTCAAGGCGAACAATATAGATTATCAGGGTTTTTAATCATCGCTGTGTGAGAGCGCTAAAAGCTTATGGGTTGACCCAAAATAGAAGTCGTACGAATATCCTTCATGAACCAATTATCACTTCTTTACTAGAACCAACCCGAGGGTCATTTCGAATGTTTGCTTTATATTTGCGAAAAATTTCGTTTGTGTTTGTGATGAGGTTTGTATGATAAAAAGTAAACAACACTGTGTCTCTGTTGAAATTAGAACGTTTGATGAATACATTATTTTCTTTTCATTTCTATGTCACACAGTTTTCATCTTTGCATGTAAATAATCATTATTACAAAATTCAGATCGGACATCCTGTCAGCAAAACCTTTTGTTTTTAATTTTTTTTCCTTCTAAATATTCCGTGGAAATAGTGTTTCTACGATCGTGTGCATATCATAATTGAACTTACTTTAAAAAACAAATGGATTATTTAAGTTGAAGACAGGTGTTCTCAACCATTATGTTTGTTCACGCGTTGGTTCTTTTCATCTTGGATGGTTTGGTTCCAGTAATCAACTCCTTTTAAACGAAAAAAAAAATTGATAGTGGTGAGAATTTTAACATGCACTCTTAGCATTGACGTATACAGACAAAGGCTAGTAATTATGGCGTCATTGCTCAAGGTGACAAGTTTAACGGCTTCAAGAAGCAATAAATAACACAGCTGAATTTTCCCCGCACAGCATGGTTTTTTGAGAACAAAATAATCAAAGCTTGTTCCGAAAGTCAGTCATCAGAAATTCACAAAAAAATACAAACCAAAGAAAAATTATCACTTTTTTTGTCCTCAATGTTTTTAACAGCAATTTCAATTCAGCCCAATATAAGCAAATCCTGAAAACTTATCACTTTTGCACGGACTTTGATATTGCTAAGGCTGTGGGACATTTTAATTATTAGAACCGCGACTGCGACTACCCACTTAGTTCATCATCTGCGTGCTGGAGGGGGGTATAAGGAATCTCTGTAGCGCCTCATTGATCAGCCGCCCACCGCTCACTGCCTCGTGGTGGGGGGGGTATTAATTTCTACCGTAGTCAAACATTATTTAGTTTCAATCGTTTTAAATCTGAAACATTCTTAACACTCTAAACAGCTTCAATATGATTTCTTCACAGACAATAAGGTTTCTATAAGGCGATAATATTAGCAGCAATCGTTGCTATTCATTCAAATCAATGTTTTTCTTAACTTCTGAAGCTGTTTACCGTGATTCCAGTCAGGGGTTTGAAAAAGTCACAAAGTTTAAAGTTCTTGTCGTAAATAGGGTCTGGATTTGAAGCCTCAGAGTCACAATCTTGCCCAAGCCTTTTGAAAAAAAGAGAGAAAATGTTTGCCATCCTCAATCGGAGGTGATTGGATCCCGTGATTTCGATACTAAGCTCAGTTATTATGAATTTCTAGTTTAGATTTCGTCTCTTATGTTGTCCATTTTTGTTTTCAGGGTTGTCAATTAGCCTTTTGCCTCAATGGTGGTTCTTGCTTGCATGAAAAGGAAAACCAAACCTTCTCATGTTCTTGCCAATATCCTTGGACTGGCGACAGATGTGAAAATAAAATGGGTAATCATGACTTTAATCATAAAGAAAAGCAAAATATTTTGAGTTATGCTTTTCATCTTTTTCAATATACGATTCAATAACCTTACATCAGCCTCAGAGATTGTTAAGTGAGTAGTTAGCTGGCAGACAGTGGGAGGATCATTCTCTATGAATAAAGATGTGGAAGAGATGAATTTAGTTCATAATGGCACCCAATATGAATTAAAGATGCCGGCTGAGGTATAGTTGAAAAAAGTTTGACTTTGAGTCACGCATTGAATTCAACTATTTCATTTCCCTTCGTCTTCCAGGGAACTCCACATGCAAGGAAATTTATCATAACAAACTGTAAGTAAGACGTAGAGCGTTTCAATCACCTGAACACTATTAGTAATAGCTTCTTCCAGCATCAAATGATAAAATTTGGTCGGTCTGAGTTAAAAATCCCAACAATTTTTATAATCCAAAAACGCCAAAGTTTTTTTGGTGACTACAATCCTTAAGGAAGACATAATATTTTAAAACTCCAACCTACTTTTTCCTTGAAATAATTCAAGTTGAAAGCTAAATAAGAGAAACTAGTATGCGACTACAGCCACAGCCAGTCGTCAATGAATTTTTCGCCTACGAAAAAAATAACATATTAATAATTTCACAGCATAAGCAAAGAAAAATTAAAAAAAGGCGAGGTACATGTTCCTAGAGTTTTGTACTTTAACGTCACTAAGCCACCCTTATGTATATACCTCATTCCTTTTTTTGTGAAATTTCTGTCTCATTTCTTTTAGGGCTGACGGGAATAAGGCCTATTTATTACAAATAGGTTCTGAAAAGGTCCCTGTGTACTGTCACATGACAAGTCTTGGCGAATGTGGTGGATATGGATGGACGCTGGTTATGAAAATGAATGGCTCATTAGTATGTACTCAGGTCTTGTATGGCTCTCAGGTCTTGCGCGAGATGTTCAGTGAAAATAGTAAACTGCTTTTACGATTTCCCATCGCTAGAACAAAACTACTTTTGGCGTTCCAAGATTCGTTTGCTTCATTTATTTAGATCTCATTAGAGCTTTTTCATTGACCCTGAAAACAAACAAAAGCCACAATTCGGGGTCTTGCGATCCTATGTTTGTTTTCGTTAGGATCGGAACAGATTATGAACCAGTTTCGATATACCCGAATAATCTTTTATTTTTGCATCCTTCTACATTTGAAAATCATGATTCACTCAGGTCTTGCGCCAGGTAAACTTTGTAATTATGAATTAATTTGATCATACCATGTCTAGAGAACGTTCCATTATGATGACGTCCTGTGGAGCAATTACAAACCTTTCAACCTTGAAGGAGGAAAGACTGGGTTTGACTCAAATGAGACAAAGTTACCGACTTACTGGGACACATCTTTCACCAGGATCTGTCTCGGTATGAAAATCGGCGAACAGGAAAACTTTACTGCCATTAACAAGTCGGCTAGCTCGCTATACTCACTCATCGCCGATGGGAAATACCGCGCCACCTCACTGGGTCGTAATACATGGAAGAAGCTGATTGGCTCACGAGCCTCTCTGCAGCGGAACTGCAACAAAGAAGGGTTCAATGCGGTTGGCGAAAATCACTCTCATTCGAAAGCAAGAATCGGTTATATTGCTAACCAAGAAAATGATTGTCGTACTTGTGATTCCAGAATTGGATTTGGTACTGGGGGATATCACGATGACTTCAACACGTGTGGTAACCAAGCAACGCATAACCCAGATAACGGCAACAGACATATTAGAGCTATGGGATATATTTTGGTGCAGTAAGCTCTTTCCAGGATATCTGGTGGTGCAGCATCGAAATCAATAACAATACCACTTCCGAAATGTACTTGGTAGAGAAGCAGGAACGGCGGCAGATAAGTTTGACAAACGTTAACGTTGGGCCAAGCTATCGATGCAAAGGAACATGTACTTTAACAAGATCTGTCTCCGTGCGGCGATCAATCGATATATCAACTGCACTGTCCCTCAATTGCAGTGATCACTGCTGGTGGATACTTTGACATCTCTCAGGGTCGCAACACTGTGAAAGGACCTGATGGTCTTGGGTGTGTTTCTTTGAAGCTGGACTGTGTCGTGGAACTGTCTGAGGCAACATACACCACAATCTAACCAATGTAAAGAAAGAATCAGTCTTATCTCGACTTTGTTTGTTTGTTTGCATTTTTTTGGTGATTTCTTCCCTCTTGTTGTGAAGGATACCAAAATGATTCTGAACGATGAACAAAGAATAAATTATCCAGGACCAATATGGCTCTCTGTACGCAATTATCGCTATTGGGGAATATCACTCCACTTCACTGAGCTATGGAACATCTAACGGAAGCTAATGAGCTGGAAGGCTTCACCACGAATCATTTACAAAAACGGTTTCACGACTCGTTCATTTCGATTGGCTTAACGTCAGAAAAGGAATATTTGCTAACAACCAAATTAGCAGTCAGCAGATTTGGAGCATGTCATAACGAATAACTAGCTTTTTACTTTTGCAGATAGTTTAAATCCTTTAAAACCACGAATCTCGACATTGTCAGCAAGCATAGAGATCTTTTGTTATTTCAATCGTTATCGTTGCAGTTATAGTTGCTGTTATTGAGCCTCATGACTTAATTAAGATTACATTATATCGTGCAACAGACATCCTCTCCTTGGTGATGATGAAACCAAAGCGCGAGCTTTCAAAATAGCTGCTGTACAATTTCATGTACTTGATGCCTTTGCTTCAGCTACTTTGACAATCGTGCAAAAACTACTTCAGCTTAAGTTAGTATTTGAAATAAATCTAAGGAATCTTTAAGGGGTTATTCATGATAAAAATAATTATTAAAATCTGGATCACTGGTTAATGCAATTCAAGAGTTTTCCATCATACCAAGCGGGCGCGCACATGAAGACGAGTTAAACCGAAAGTATTTTTGTACATTTCAATATTTCGTTCGTTCTTACAAAATAAAGTTGGGGAATATGTATTTTGGGGCGATTTTGGTAAAAACAATTTTTCCACTCGCGCTTGTTGGGTGTAAAACTAGTGATCATAGCCAACTCGGCCCTTCAGCCGCCGTTAGCTATCTATCGTCTCATATCCAACGTGTGCTGGTTGAATAATGGTTAATAACAACAGCTAGTTATCTTAATAAACGTAAGATTGTAAATTTGAGAAGATAGTTTGGTCCCTAAACAATAACGGACTCATAAACGCACAGGTTTTCAGCGGTTTGCGTGAATACTGAGTTCGTTAAATGCGAGAAAAAGAGAAAGTAAATGTGCGAGCGTGCCACGCATTTTCAGATTTTTTCTGGTTTTTGAAAGAATCTATGTGTTCAGCGAAGCCTTGTATTAACTACTGCGCCATATGTCAAACGTAAATTATAGATAGGCTGTGCAAGTGATCTGGGAAACGTCAGTGGCACGAGGATTGTCGAGCACACCTGCAGCAACTCCGATCTCATAACGATGAATAAACTTTGTCGGTCACGTGGTTATCATTTCTAAACATTGTTGAAAGAAGAAAACAATTAATATTTTATTAGAAAGTGTCGAACAATTCAGGAACACTTTTTTTCCGTTACTGTAAGTTCTGGCCTCCTTTTCAATGGCGTATAACAACCTGATGTTATTTTTCCTTTTTCTAAAATCCACAACGTTGATCGCCAGAGGAAACTCCGACTTAGATTCTCGTTCATCATATATCAAAACACAGGAAAACAAGGAACTCATGGGATTCGTTGTTAAGAGGTTTGATTCTCCCACTTTGTTATCGTGTAGTCGACAATGTCTAACAAATTTGTGGTGTTCGTCGATAAACTTCAAGTTTTCCTTAAAGAAGGACGACAAAGGAACTTGTGAGCTGAACAAGCACGATATCTCCGTTTTAAACGAAAACGTTTACTTTGATGACCGCGATGGAGTCACTTTCTCACTTTTTCTAAGGGTAATTTACCTTTTGTTGCTTTCAGTATTTAAAATAATTATGCATAATTTGTCATATTTAGCTGAATTAATTCAAAGTAGTTATTTAACTTTCGTAGTATCTTAAAAACCGCAAGGTTGAGCACCTACCCGCAAAAATTGAACAATAACTTTGAAGTAATCCGCAGTTAATCAAAACGAGACACTATATGAAGGTAGAGTTCGGAAAAAAATAAAAGTCATCTATCCCTAAATAATATTGTAAGCCAAACTTTACCTTTTAATGATAAGACTGAATTTTCAGGCCCTAATTTCGTCGCGAAAAATTGTACTAAAACTCGATCAGACTGTTTTGAAGTCAATCCTAATTTCCGGCGTTATCTAGCTATGATTTTTGAGAAGGATAATGCGGTTATTGTGATAGAATCTTCCATTAATTCACTCCTTGTGGCTTAATATATCCTGAAATTAAAACTTAGGGAGACACAATAGTGCATGATAATTTGCAATTTCCCACCTGTGCTCTTTTTGTATGTTAATTGCTTCATTTTCGAAGATATTTTGTTTATGGTACGTGATGTGGTTTGAAGTTTACAGAATAAATTAATAAATTAGAGCATTAGATGAAAAGAACAATTCCCTTTCATAGAACATAAATGACAAACTTCAACTTTTAATTATTTTTGTGTAAAGAAGCTCCTTTTGTAATAAGTTCATTGACAATTTTTCCGGGCGATTCGGACATGCTGCCGGAAAGAGAAGAAAAAGCTGCTCTTCCTTTTTTTCATTTCCTACCAAAAAGAATGGCTCTATTGTTATTATACATACGAAAAGAATTAAGTTCCTTGGCAAAATAAATGGATTTTAGTTTACTTTTCGACGGCTGTTCAGAGATCATGTCATGTTAGACCGGCCGGTATCAAAATTCATCTGGCCTCCTTGTAGCTTCTAAATAACGTCTGATACTTCACCACTACACCTTAGAGCCGTACCATTTTTGGTATTTTCGTTCTCTAAAGGAAGATATCCCAACGACTCCCGAATTGTCTTTTCGAAATTAGTCAGTTTGTCACCCTTTTCCGCCTGATTTCGCTTGGTGATGGACTTAAGTGCTCTTAAGTTGATAATTTTGTTCCAAAATACGGATGTTGTTGCTGCATATAAAATGCAAGTAGCATAAAAAGCAGCTTAATTAATGAGATACGGGGCTGAGTGGTTTGGCTTTCTAGTTAATTCAACAGAAGCACGAGAATTCTGTCAAAAGTGTATTTCATTCCATAAACCTTACGTTGTTCTCCAACAACGACGACTTTGAAGGAACATCCTCGATATCTCTAGATCTGCTGTTGAAGAAAGTGTTAATTCTGAGAGAGCTACATCCACAGTACTCAAGGAGATACATTTCGTCCTAACATAGGCCGTTTGTAAAAATAGCACCGTGAAAACCAGTATTAAAAACGATCAAGTCTTTGTCACTAGTTAACTAACTCAATTATGAGTGTTCCCCATATCAATCGTTCAAAAGAAACACAATTATTCCAGTCTGCAGCTGCTTCACTACCTAATGCGTTTCGAGACAAACATTTTATTCTTTAAAAAGAAAATTAATTCAGTCAACTTTCTTTGTTATGCTACATTAAATATCGCCCCAATATCACAGCCAGAGGTTTTTCTCTCAGCACTTATACAATCCCCATGCAGCCAAACAATGTATTCTTGGTAAAAATGGTTTTCAATCTTTCAGTTTCCCCTGTCGTATTGCGATTAACTTAAATCCACAATGCTAACGTTCCCGTAACCTCTTATATTGAAAATGAATAGAATTTCGTTAAAAATATTGGAATATTTACCTCAAAACACTGAAAGAGTTATCATTGTGGTGGAGCGATGAAAACCCTACTGCGCTCTCTTTCAAGACCAAGGATAAAACACTCAAACGCCGATAAATATTTTATTCTGTGTGAAATATATACGGAGGAGTAAAATTAAGTAAATATCGTGTATTTCTTTTCGCATTATGAAAACGTAATCTTTTCTATTGTTTCATAGCAGATATCACATGGATACAATGACATACTGCTTATCATAACATAACTTCTTTTAATAAAAAAATTTTCTTTTCAAAAGATTTGAATAAAGTCTCAGTTATATTAGTAAGCTAAAAAATTAAAGCCCTGCATGGAAAGTAAATTCGCCATATTGAAAAATTCAGTTGCTATGACGATATTGTTCTCTTCACATGTAGCAATATCAATGTTGTGTTCCCTGCGCGCACTGACGATAGCATGTTTAGAAACAGGAGAAATTCTGGCTTGCTGGGTAGCTCAGCCTGTTAACCATCACGTTGACCGTTTGCTAGCCAAGGGAGGATAAATTATCATCTCTTACGAGCGATTTATATTACGAGTGTTCTTTATATTCGCTAGGGATGTCAGATGACCAGTTGCCTTAATGGTGGTTCCTGTCTTCCCGACGAAAAAAGGCAAACATTCTCGTGCGCTTGCCAACAACCTTGGATCGGGGAAAGATGTCACGTGATTAGTCTTGGCGCATGCGGTGAGGGTGAATGGACGCTGGTTATGAAAATGAACGGTTCACAGGTATATAGCTAAAAGTTTAGTACCAAATTATTTTAGACTGATAGGCTGTAATGTTCTCAAATTTAACTCGCCATGGACAACGTAAGTGTGCAGGGTTTATTTAAAAGTATTCGCACTGATCCATCAACAACCGTACAAGCGATGCCTAAGATATATAAACAGTAAGGTTTTTTCGTTCTGTTGATGTGACCCTTTCTTGTATATTGTTGCTGATTAGGGAACTTTTCATTACGATTCTAAACTTTGGAGCAACAAGGAAACCTTCAATATTGACGGAGGAAAGACTGGGTTTGACTCAGAAGAGACCAAGTTACCGACCTATTGGAACACATCCTTCACCAAGATCTGTCTCGGCATGAAGATCGGACAAAGAATTAACTTCATACTCATCAAAAAGCAGGCTAGTTCCCTCTATTCATTAATCGCCGATGGAAATGGTCGCACGACCTCATTGGGTCGTGACACGTGGAAGAAGCTGATCGGCTCGAGGGCATCATTACAGTCTAATTGCGACCAAGAGGGGTTTAATGTGAAATGTGATGAACCAGGAAGACCGAAAGCTCGCATTGGAATCCTTGGAAACAACGAGAACGACTGTAATTCTTGTGACTCCAGAATTGGGTTTGGTACAGGAGGAAAACACGATGATTCCAACACTTGCGGAAACGAAGCGAAATATGGTAAAACACATATTAAAGCGATGGGATACATCTTGGTACAATGAGAGAAGACGAAACGATGGAGATGTGATTCAAAGGTGTATTGCATCCTTCCTTCGTTCAATTTGACATATGTCACAATCACTATGCTGTTCCTAAAGGTCTTCGTTCCCTCAGCAAATGCCTGGAGGACAGCACCCTCCGCTCCGCATCCATTCCACTGAACAGGGGTAAAAGATAGGCCTGAGAACGAGATTATTGTGACAGAACTGTGCTCATTCAGTAAATGGTGCCTATTTCTTTATTGCTTAAGCTCACCATTGAACGAGGCAAATTGTCGTTTTTTCTAAAAAAGTATGCGGCGACTGACAGTTTTTTTGTCTTTCTCTAAATTCATTAGTATCTTTTTTTCTACGAAATAAGGATAGCGAAAGGTACAGCACCTATTAGGTGGTCAAAAACGCGATTTATAGAGTACGATATTCACCCAATTGCAGGAAATTAACGCTTCATAAATTCACGTGAACTTGGAAATTTTCCGTCGGTTTAAATTTTGCTGTTTCGCCTCAAGCTCTCGATTGAATCGAGTTTTATTTGTTTTTTGTAAAATTCATAACAAAAGCTAAAATTTAACTTCTTAACACGGTATAGATACGCTGATATCATAGATTGTAAATAGCACTCGAGTTTTTTGCCCTTGAACTAATAGAGGATAATTTAAGCTCTCTTGCCTTGAAGCTAAACCACGTAATAAATTGCCCAAGCTCTCAATTAAATCGAAATTTTTTTGTTTTTTTGTAAAATACGAAAAAAAACGCTAAAGTTCAACTTTCTGACACATTGTAGATACGTTAGTATCATAGACTGTAAATAGCACTCGAGATTATTGCCCTTCAACTAAGAGAGGATTTGCTCCCATGCCTTGAACCTCGACCATGTCATAAATTTCCCAACTCTTGATTAAATCGAGATTTTTTTTTGTTTTTTGTAAAATTCGTGACAAGAGCTAAAATGCAACATTCTCAGTAACACAGTGTATATATGCTCGTATCATAAACTGTTGGTAGCACTCGAGATTTTTACCCTTGAACTAAGAGAAGATATCGTCTCTTGTCTTCAACCCCCGAGTATGGAATAATACCATAAATTTTTATTTTAAAAATACTGTGTCTGTGTTGTGGACTTCTGCAATAAAGTTGTCTTTATACTCAATCTGTTTCTTTTTACTGAACGTTTATCATTTGAATCTTTAGAGCCTCTTTCGTATCAATTTCTTTGCTCCTTGACCAATCATTGCTCCAACAATTAAAAGTGCTCAGCACAATGTTTGTCTTTGACTCTTTACTGAATACTTGATAAGTGTTTTCAAAATGGTAACTGTAATTTACCACAATATATACTGAATCAATGAAAATTAAGGCGAGGTTATGAAGAGAAGGGTGATCAAAAATTCTTAAAGGTTAAAAAGACCATGCCGAATTTAGCTTTTGTGGAAAGACATAATTGGACGAGACGGAGCCTCGTTTTGAAGTTAAATATGGCGTCAGAGCGGTGCATTAGTCCTCAAAAGAAGCTGCAAGGGAAAATGATAAACCAATTATACTGAAAAAGTCATCGAAAGAACTAGAATATTGTGAACAGTTATCAGATTTTGTTTGGTAATGAGATTGCCAACGACAACAGAATTTCTGATGTTTTTCTTGTTTCAAACTGCCGCAATTGTCGCCTCGGAAGGGAACTGGAAATCTCGCTATTTTCACTTCAAATTGCAGACAAACACTAAGCTTGTGGGATACGTTGTCAAACGGTTTGATTCTCGCAGTTTGTTATCGTGCAGTCGAGAATGTGTAAAGAATTTATGGTGTTCTTCCACAAACTTCAAGTTGTCTTCCGAGAAGGATGGTGAAGGGGCTTGTGAACTGAACGAGCACGACATCGCTGTTGTTGATGAACCCATCAAGTTTGTTGACCAGAAGGGAGTAGTTTTCTCACTACTACTAAAGGTAATTTAGCTCCTGCGAGATTTTTATCTTAAGAAGTGCACTTTACAAAAGCATCATCATTTTAAGTTCACGTTTGATTTTACCGGAACTTTTTAATCACTGTTGACTTCCATCGCTTGCTTGGAGCCTCAGTACTATTGTCGTAGAAAGCTTACTGAGTTCTTGCCTTCCAAACTGTTTAGGATGCAATTGTGGACATTTTTCTTTTGGCAATGTGTTTACAAATTTTGAAAGAAAAAAATTATTTGATGAAAAAGAGAAAAATGATTTTGGAGTAATGGTGACCGATATAAGAGTAAATCTTTCATTCAAAAATTTCATTTACAATAAAAAAAACTTCATAAAGCATCCCATTAAGTAAACCTTTTGTTTGTAGAGCACCTTTTCTCATATTTGACTTAATAAGTTTAACCGAATCTTTACAGCTTGTAAAATAAACAATAATCCATCGTTATATGTTCTTTGAAATTCCTTTCACATTGAAAGGTTTAATTAACACCCTTGTATCTCTCCTTTTCTACCGTTTCTTTCACCCCCTTATTTTTGGAATGATAATGATCAAGGATAAAGACTGGCGCCACTGACTTAACATCAATTGGAAACACGAAAAGCGATGAAGCTTGCTCAGAGCGGGAGGACTTTGGAGAGCTGGACTCGCAAGTTGTTTTGTCCCGATTTCCTGCAAGTGCATACTTGAAACCTCCTTGTGTTTCTCGTTCGAATAACTTCGGCCTAGCTACCTTTGAGTGTTATATAAACACTGTCGAGAGTAAATAGATATGTTTTTTTCAAAAGAATGGCGAGAAATAAAAAAAAAATGATAACAATTATTATAAACACAAATAAATCCAATGGAAATACAGTGGAATACAAAAATTGGAAATTTTTGGACTTCTCCGTTTCTTGAAACTCATGGATTAATAATAAATTTAACACTGATAAGGCGCATATATTCATTTATATATACTCATATGATCATTCAAGCCTTCTTCCCAATAACATATGTATTCAATTATTTGAATCATTTTCTTTTCCACCGTATTTTTTAAAAAATTCTATAACAAGTTCTTTCCTTAATCACAACTTTTTGTAATATTGTTATGATATATCATATTTCAATGTTGTTTCATTTGATTTCCTTCAGGGATGTTTGTTTTCTGGCTGCTTCAACGGAGGTTCGTGTTTGCCCAACGGGGAAAAACAAACATATTCATGCTCGTGTAAGCTTCCTTGGACCGGAGACAGATGTGATATTAAAATGAGTGCGTGATTCTAAATTTTCTTCACAAATGGATCCTAAACTTTGCTTAAAAATACGAAGCGAAATTAGTAACTTACCGTAGATGTTCCAAAGCTCTGGTTTTGGAGAAAAAAAAACGAAACAAAACAACAAGGAATCGTGATTTAAAGGAAAAGGCGACACTGAGTCAAAAAAAGTAACAAATAATTACAGTTCAATATACCCCAGATGATAAGATTGCTTGATTGTGAATTCGAAGTTAAACTATACTCTTGTTGTTTATTAATATTTCAGCGGCAACGACATGCAAGGAAATATATGACAACAAATTGTAAGTTATACTCTAGAAATATTTATATTAACACTTCTCTTCCGATATTCTTCATTTAAATCTCTGGTCTGATAAACACTTCTTGTAATAATAATTTACCATTACATTGTATTGTATCATCGTGCTCATCTAAAACTTTAGATATGCCCAGAGAATATTATTAGCTTTTAGCCAAATTTTTATTCAGCCTACAGTTTTTTTCCTTTTATTTGCATTTCCAGTGCCAATGACAACAGAGCTTACCCCCTACAAGTGGATTCTAAGAGTTTTCTTGTTTATTGTCACCTAACCAGCCTTGGCGCATGTGGTGAAGGAGGCTGGACGCTGGTTATGAAAATAGATGGCTCTAAGGTGCATACCTGGTTGTTTGTTTTGCTTATCTGTTTGTCTGTTTGTTTATAAGTTTTTTATTAACAGTTTTGTTTTATGTTGTTATTATTGTTTTATTGCAGTAGAAGCATCACTAACTACACTGAACATGATTACATCATCAAGAGATATTAGAAAATTTTATTATTCCATAAAACAACTTCAAAGATAAACATTCTCAAATAATTTATCAAGTCAAAGTAAATGGTATTCCGGGAGTAAAGTTAATTGGCTGGTGGTTTGCTGGAATGTCTTAGACGAGTTTAAATAGACAATGAATGGGATGTCCACGTAACCAAATTTTGCGATTCAGGGTGGGTTGCTTCAAGATCCTCCCGGGATCTCTTAGAATAAGAATGCTCTGAGAAAAGGACTGGGGGAGAGGTAGAGGCATGAGGGTTAGTGCGCCGAGATCCGGATCGAGAGGTCTGGGATCGACACCTGACCGGGTCATCGGGCTGTGTTCTCTGACAACACACTTTACTCTCACAGTCTCTCTCTACCCAGGGGTGGAAATGGGTACCGGCGAGGAGGAAGGCCTGATGAAATGCGGGGGGGTAACCTTGCGATAGACTAGCATCCTATCCAGTGGGGAAGGGGTGATACTTATAGTTGCTTCTTACCATGAAAACCGGGATAAACATAAGCTACGGCTGGGTGAGCCTCATGGCCCAAGTATGGACTAAGGAAAGGACTATTTGATAGTTTCAATCTCTTGCTGTTATTGTCTCTCATATCTATTGCTGATCACCAGCTAACTTTTCATTACGATGCAAATATCTGGAGCAATAAGGAAACCTTGAACCTGGACGGCGGAAAGACTGGCTTTGACTCACAGGAGACCAAGTTACCGACTTATTGGAACACATCTTTCACAAAGATCTGTCTCGGTATGAAAATCGGTGAACAGAACAACTTCATTCCTATAGACAAGTCGGCTAGCTCACTGTATTCACTAATCGCAGACGGAACATACCGCGCTACTTCCCTGGGTCGAGACGCGTGGAAGAAACTGATTGGTTCACAGGCCTCTTTGCAGCTCAATTGCAACAAAGAGGGGTTTAATGTTCGTAGTTTCAGATATGACAGGTCTAAGGCAAGGATTGGAATTATTAGTAATAACGAGAATGATTGTAGGAGTGCAGATTCAAGAATTGGTTTTGGAACTGGAGGCTTCCCTTCCAACGAACTCACTTGTGGAAATCGAGCCAGATTTGCAGACGATGATAATGGTGACAAATTTATCACAGCCATGGGGTATATTCTAGTGCAGTGACACCGTATTCCAAAGAGTCCAGCTCCTGATTAACACTTTGTACCCAAACGTTTTTTGTCATCTCAGTATATACATAGAATGACCGAGACAATAAAATGGTATATATTGCTTTTAGAAGGAAAACTGAAGAAAATTATGCTTCCAAACAAATGCAGTGAGGTTTTCTTGAAAACAAGAAAAAGGACGGGACGAGTGTAAGAGCCATTTTTTTATTAGAGCTTAGGGTCTTCAGTTTTCAGTTAGACATTCGGCCGGCACAATGCAACCTAGCGAGGGGGACAAGGTTTAATTCATACCATTATCATTTATATCATTTTCAGAGAGGAGGCTGAATTTGTGGTAGTTTTAGTCGTGCAGTCAGAAGATCAGAGAAGGTGATTTCTATAGTGACCCTCCTTCTACTAACGTTAATCGTTTCGCCCAGAATTCGTCGCGGTCGTCTTCGGACCCTGCCAGCATGACCCTTCTCTTTCCACTCGCTCGGTGATCGTGTTGAAGCCAGGTTTTTACAAACAATGAATTAACGCATACGATAAAAACACCTTTCCTACATATTTCAATCTAACATTCTTCACTTCCGAAGCATGCAGAGCAGCAAATGATTAGAATTTCTCGATAACTTGCCAAATTTCCACAACAGAACTAACAGTCTGACGAAAGTATAAATAAGCAATGAAAATATACAGCATTCAGTTCTAAAATTCATTTTGAGGTTCTTTAAGGTTCAGGTCTCTATTGACTTTGGATATCTACTCATAAGACATATGCAGCTTGATATATGAGAGAAAGTTAAAACGAGAGTTTTTTCGATATAACAAGGTACTTTGCTAAAGCAGCTTCACCAAAACAACAAGAAGATCAACTGTTTCAGATCACTATAATTTTTGGCAATATATCATTAAGAACAAGATTGAGCTGTGCGATGTAAAACAATCTTCTTTATACCAATCAAGTTTTGTATGTGATCGATCGATCTTCCTTTGACCCAAATGTCACAAATTAATATGATTGGGGACAGTGCTATGTGTAAATTCTTTCTAACGAAGATATGGTAGATTGATCCATAAGCTCAAGTTATCTATAGCTTTCCCGGTTTTTTTTTTTCGGCAAAAAAAGATCTGCTTTGTTAACGCTCAATTCAACGTTCTGCAAAGACAAAAGAAACTCTTAAAGATGTCTGTTTGGAAGACAGAAAAACATGATGTTGCACTTTCTATTTGTAAGCCGTTTGACGTCAGATCATACTAAGATAAACAGGAAGATGTTTTTTTTTACAATTAATCACGGCTTCTAAGAGCGATGTGTATAATAAGTACCTCCGTAAGCAACATGACTGTTTTGCAGAGCAATGAAACATCTCACAAAATAGGTCTATCGATTTAAAGATGTCGGCTGATGTTATGCAAAATAATCCCAAACTATGCTTGCGAACCATCAAATAGTATTTGTAGAGGGAGATATTAGTTTTTCTAGCTAGAGTGTGCTTATCAGTAAGGTTCTTGTTTAAAGCCGCACCATAATTTAACACAGAGATGTGAATTCCTGTTTCTAAGTTGAAACGACTGCCACACCCTAATCTTATCAAACAAATCTGGTGCACAGAAGACAAAGGATTTCAATGGAAGGGAGCTTACTAACACAATATCCCATCCAAAAATAGTCAAAGATCAATACAGCTGCCGTAATTTCTTCCGCCATACACACCTTAAAACCGATACAATAAGCCCATTGAGCGAGTAATGACGTTAGTACCACAGCCTCAATGGCAATTTGCCACCCACGCAAAGACTACATTCATAGCAGAAGATATAATGCAATTAGAAAAGAGTTCTAGAGTGTTGGATTAACCAATCTGTTGGAACCTGTTCTTACTTGGTTGATCAATCGTAGAAAGATTCTAGCCGGATGCAAGATAGGTTTTGTCTTCATGTATCCCTTGCAGCGATAGAGAAGAATATGGCAAGACAAAAGCAAACAAAAGAAATAAGGAAAAAGGCTAACCGCAAACGAATTAGTCGTCATTCTGATATCGTCGGAAACAAATTCTATATAAAGTTCTTTGCTGAATCACAACTTTTTATTATATTCTTATGATGTATCATATTTCAATTTTAATTCATTTGATTTCCTTTAGGGATGTTTGTTCTCTGGCTGCCTCAACGGAGGTTCGTGTGTCCCAATAAGGAAAAACAAACATATTCATGCTCGTGTAAGCTTCCTTAGACGGGAGACATATGTGATATTCAAATGAGTACGTCATTCTAAATTTCTTTTAAAATAAATCCTGAACTTTGCTGAAAAATGCGAAGTGAGGTTAGTAGCCTACCATAGATGTTCCAAAACTCTGGCTTCAGAAGAAAAAAAAAAACAACAAGGAATAACGATTTAAAGGAAAAGGCACCGAGTCGAAAAAAGCAATAAATGATTATAAATCAACATTGCCAGGATGATAACATTGCTTAGTGGCGTATTAGAAGTTAGAGCACACTCTTCATGTTATTAATCTTGCAGCGGAAAAGACACGCAGGGAAATATACGACAAGAAACTAAGGTTACATCCAAGACATATTAGTATTATCACTGCTCGTCCGATGTCCTTGATAATAATTTCTGATCTGATATAAACTTCTTTTAGGAACACTTTCCCATTCTATTTTTTCTATCTAATACTGTAAACAAGTAATCATCGTGGTCATCAAAGGTGACAAAAGCGTAAGAGCATACTGAAAGCGAGAAAATTAAACAGTTAGAGATTACAATAGAATAGAATCTGCTTATAGCCAAGTTCTTATTCAGCCTACAGTCTTCGTTTTTTAATTTGCATTTCCAGTGCCAAAGAAAACAGCGCTACAGCGCCTACAAGTGGATTCTGGGAGTTTTCTTGTTTATTGTCACCTAACCAGCCTTGGCGCATGCATGTATGCGCTAGTCATAAAAATAGATGGCTCTAAGGTGTATACCTGGTAGTTAGTTTTGCTTATCCGTTTGTTGGTTTGTTTATGAGTTTTTTCTAATAGTTTTGTTTTCTGTTGTTATTAAGATTTTATTGCAGCAGAAGCATCACAAACCACACTAAACATGACTACATCATCAAGAGATATTAGAAAATTATATTATTCCATAAACAGCTTCAAAGATAACCATCAAATAATTTATCAAGTCAAAGTAAATAGTATTCCGGGAGTAAAGTTAATTGGCTGATGGTTTGCTCGAATGTCTTAGACGATTTTAAATAGACACTGAATGGAATGTCCACGTAACCAAAATTTGCAATTCAGGGTGGGTTATCTCAAGATCCTCCCGGGATCCCTCTACAAATAGGGATTTAATATTCGTAGTGCCAGATATGACAGGTCTAAGGCAAGGATTGGAATCATGGGTAATAACGAGAATGGTTGTAGGTGTGCAGATTCAAGAATTGGTTTTGGGACTGGGGGCTCCCCTACCAACGAACTCGCTTGTACTCGATCGCTTTTTAAGTTATTAAAATGGACTGAATTACATTGAATTTTAACTTTTAAAAGGTTTACTTGATTCATGAAAAGCAAAGATTGGAGTGGCTTTGAGTATTCCAGCCCTGATTTCTCTTCTTGAATGCCGGGACGACGTATCGAGTCATTTGAAGCACTACCAGCTCTCCAGCGAAATGAGACCAGCTGGCATAATTTACCAAGGGACTCAAACTCCAGTTTCAGGATTCATCGAACGTCGTTTCAAAGTTTTAAAACCCACGAGTTTCGCGACAAAAGAAAGTAAATGCCTTTCAGGTAGATTTTAGTGAGTGTCCTCTCAGTGCCCTCTCAAATGTTCTGATGTTTAGAACATAACAATAACTGTTTTATTTTTTCCATTTTTTTTGTTGACGCTCAGTTCAACGTTCTGCAAAGACAAAAGAAACTCTTAAAGATGTCTGTTTGGAAGACAGAAAAACATGATATTGCATTTTCTATTTATAAGCCGTTCGACGTCAGATCATACTTAGATAAACAGGGAGGTTGTGTTTTTTGCAATAAATCACGGCTTCTAAGAGTGATGTGTATAATAAGCACCTCTGTAAGCAATATGACTGTTTTGTAGAGCAATGAAACATCTCACGAAATAGGTCTATCGATTTAAAGATGTCGTCTGATGTTATGCAAAATAATTGCAAATAATGTGTTTGTGAATCATCAAATAAAATTTGTAGAGGGAGATATTAGTTTGTCTAGCTGGAGTGTGCTTATCAGTAAGGTTCTTGTTTAAAGCTGCACCATAATTGAACACAGAGATATGAATTCCTGTTTCTAAGTTGAAACGACTGCCACACCCTAACCTTATCAAACAAATCTGGTGCACAGAAGACAAAGGATTTTAATGGAAAGGAGCATACTAACACAATATCCCATGCAAAAATAGTCAAAGATCAATACAGCTGCCGTAATTTCTTACGCCATACACACCTTAAAACCGATACAATAAGCCCATTGAGCGAGTAATGACGTTAGTACCACAGCCTCAATGACAATTTGCCACCCACTCAAAGACTATATCCTTAGCAGAAGATATAATGCAATTAGAAAAGATTTCTAGAGTGTTGAATTAACCAATCATTCCCCTATCCAACTATTATTAGACGTGTAAAGTTGTTTTGTGCATTCTTGTCTCCTTGGACTCTGCTGGAACCTGTTCTTACTTGGTTGATCAATCGTAGAAAGATTCTAGCCGGATGCAAATTCTACAAAGACGGGGTCACCGCGGAAACCAATTGTTAGTCCAGTAGAGAACTTCCTGCTGGCCAGTGAACAATAAAGTGAACCCACTGGCAAGCAGCTAAACGAGACTTATTTTAAGCGATGGTTTTCTGCCGGCAAGATGATTTGGTTTTATTAACTGAGTTGATAATGTAAATTGGCTAATGTAAAGAGTTTCTTAGGCTGACGTTTCGAGCGTTAGCCCCTTGTTAGAAAAAATATTTTTTCTTTTGTAGATCCCACGACTTTGAAAGAAACCTTGTATCAAAA